ATTCACTTTACAAACATGCTGTAGTTTCTGTGGCACATATGTGCTTTATTCACACCTGAATACCTCAGTAAAACTCAACAACAGCAACAAGTTACGTTTAAATTGTGTTTTTCGTTTCCCGAGGATGTCTGAGAGTGCTCATCTGTCTCGGACCCTTAGCAGGTGTGAGGTGGAAAAAATAAGTCTTAATATGGGTTTTGAAGGCAGGGAGATAGAGGGGCAACATGGAGGGACTCAAGGATGGGATTTCAGAGCGTAGAGGCAGAATGACAAAGCTCGCCCACCAACAGTGGGGCAGATAAGACGAGGGGATATTAAGCAAGCCAGAGTTTGATGAACAGGCATATCGGTAAAATTACAAGATATTGCAAAGATAGTGTGTGGATGCATTTGAAACAAGCTCACCAAAATTACATTTGTATGGCGCCTTTCATGTCGGGAGGACATCCCAAGGTGCTGTACAATCAGTGGTTCGGACCCGAGCTGGGTGTCAGGATTGGGGAGGGCGGAGGGCAGGGGAAGGAGGGTGATCAAAGGCATGGTCAAAGAGGAGGGTCTTGAGATGTGTCTTGAAGGAGGCAAAGGAGGGGCGAGGTGGAGGGACTGTGGGATGGAGTTCCAGAAAGTGGGGGCAGAGTGGCTGAAGGCCCACCCGCCAATGGTGGGGCGGGTGAGGTGGGGGATGTGAAGCAGGCTGGAGCCCACTGAGCGGAGGGAGCGGGCAGGTTGGTAGGGGGTTAGGAGGTTGCAGAGGTAGGGGAAGGAAGGCAATTGGAGGGCTTTGTGAGATAGTGGCGGAACTGGGCGAAGTCGCGGAGTTGGGGGAAGGCAGAACTGGTCAAGGCACGGATATGGGGAAGAAAGGATAGTTGAGGGTCAAACAAGACACCAAGGTTCTGGACTGGCTTAGCAAGGTGGAGTGTGCATCCTTGGATAATGATGTTGTCAGTGCTTGAGGTGTGGAGGCGCTGACGGGAGTCAATCAGGAGAGCCTCGGTCTTGTTGATGTTCAACTGAAGAAAGTTAGCTCTCATCCAGGACTTAATGTCTGACAGACATTCTGTCAGGACAGCAGTGGGTCCTGGAGTCAAGGGTGGAGGCAGAGAGATAGAGTTGGGTGTCATCCGCAAGCTTCCTGCTGTTTGTCCAGCTTGGACCACCATAAGGGCTTTGGCTTTCAGAGTTAATGGGAGCTGAGTGAGAAGTATCCCTGACTGGTCTGATCCTCCAAGTCCTACTGACAAGCCAGGCTGGGCTGCGCTCTCATCAGCAGTGCCCTGGAGTACTGCAGACCCGCCTGGCTTAGGAACTGGACGGGAGACAGGCACAGAGGGTTGGCTTGATTCTGATTTTCTGTGCCAAACAATAAAAATATTAAGTGATATGGGGAGTGAACTGATAATGTAAATAAAGAAAGGGTGATTCTAGAAAAACAAGTAAGTGTGTCACACATCGCTGCATCAAATAATTCCCTTCAGAAAATCTATTTTTCTGAAGTAAACTATGAAAAATAATTCAATCAACGTTTCAAACATGAAAATAGACATTCTTATGAAGGTGTATATGGTCTTAAGTGGGATTGAGAAAGTAAATCCAGAATAATACTTTCACGTACACTAAGGAAGCTGAATAAGAGGGTATAAGGTCATGGATACAATACAGAGGGGATTTTTTTTCCAGGACATACAAGGAAGTATTTATTTTAATCAGAGCAATTAATCAGAATGTGTCACATTGAAGGGAGTAAAAAGGAGACGTTCGAAAGAATGTCTTCTCCCAGAGGGTTGTCAATGTATGGAATGATTTGCCAGGGTGGCTGTTGGAGCAGAGTCAATTGAAGAATTTTTTTAAAAAATGCACAAGCATATGCAGAGGCTAGGTACTGGAGCAGACAGGGGAGGAGCAGGGAATTGGGATTAGGAATCGATGGAGGAGCAGGCACCAATACCAAAATTACACTAGTCTCTTACTGTGCCAGATATTGCTATGGTTCTATGAAAAAGTAGAGAAAAGGAAACAGAGATTTGTTTGCTCCAAGGCAGTGAATACAGTCCCGATACCTGCTTCTGTACTATATTTTCATTACTCCACGAAATAAAGAAATGGTTTAATCATGCCAAGCTGTAGCCTGTAAAAGCAATGGGAGGTGTCTGGATATGGAAAGAGTGAGATAATCAAGATCTGCATGGCATTCAGCACTTTCTATTTTGCTGGGAAAGGAGCGACTAGGAATTCCCTTCTGGAGGTGAAAGTACATTATCACTTCTTGATTTTCAGAGCACATCATTGATCTAGGAGAGTGATTTCATTTCAACACCAGTGAAATTGGATTGAACGCTTTGAAAATTGTTGACAGAAAATTAAGGCATGAGATGGTTTGCATCCACTGCCTGACAAAGTGCATAATGCAATGATACGAATGCCACTTTGATCATTATGTAATGTTATGGATAATGGGTTTATGACAAGCACTCAGGAATATCTGCAGATTGTCAAATTAATGTAACAACTCTTAAGGAGCGAAGTTTTGCACTGTATTACAGAACCCTTGGAACCAGAGTTGAAACCCAGCCCAAAATCACAGGATGATACCCCTTTCTCACTGCTGACTGAAGATGCTTTTTGTCATACGAGTTTCAGGCAATGCCAACCTAACAACAGCAGACCAGAGCAACTACTAGAGATAAGATAAATTACTTCCTGAAGTTTGTTTGGAACTTTCCCTTCACGGTCCCAAATCTATGACCTCTTGCTCTACTGCTTTGTGATCTGAAAGTATTGTTCAGGATTTACTGTCCTAATTCCATTTAACAGCTGATATGCCTCTGTAAAGCCCCCTCTGAGATCTCTCTTTTCAGGGCATTCACAGTCAGAAGATTGCCATTGACTCCTCAAAAAAAAATCTACTTACCAAAGCACTGCAATGAAATTTCCTTCTCCACAACAATTACAAATACTGAAAGCGAGAAATTGTCATGGGTTCCTATGAAGGAATCTATGAATACATTGATGACTTCTCAACTGTTGGGTTGTCCCCTTGAAAGTCCTAGTTGAGGCACACATGATGACACAGTAAAGGCAATTTAAATGTAGACATCTATTAGGAGTCATAATAGCAATAGCGCCCCCATTGCTTTACTTCGTTAATATAGTTTCCACATACAGCAGTCTTAGATCCAAACCCCAACTGTGAATCAGACAGGATGCCTGCTCTTGATCACTATCCACCGATTCCTATCGCATAGTGCGGATTTGTGGATATCCAAAATTATCCAGACTATACATATGCAAACTATTCAGAACTCTCCTTTCACTCTCAATGTCACACAATTCCATTGTCTCCCGATTCCCCAGCAGATCGAATTCAAGATCCTCATCCTCACCTTTACATCTCTCTACCCTACCTCTGTGAACTTATAATAATAATAATCCTTGCATTGATATTGCGTTTTTCACGTCGGGAGGACGTCCCAAAGCGCTTCACAGAACACACTGTAAAGTGAATTGACTGTATATTTGTGGGCGAACGCGGCAGCCAATTGCGCACAGCAATGTCCCACAATCAGTCGTAGATTGAAAATGACCAATTTATTATTGTTTTTTTTTGGAGGGATTATTATTAGGCTCTGTGTGGAGTAAGGAAACTTGCCCAAGGTTTCGCCCTCTGCCTGGAATTGAACTCGGGTCTCTCGCTTGCAAAGCGAGTGCTCTAACCACTGAGCTACAGGACTCCAGAACTTCTTTAATGATACCAACCCAGTCGCTACCTCAGCTGAGCAGCCACCAGCCTGCTTCATGTTCCCCATCCTACTGCACCATTGACGGTCAGGCTTTCAGCCTGTCTGCCACTATGCTCTGGAACTCCATTCCCGAGACTCCAACTTGCCCCCTCCAAGGTCCATCTCAAGATCTTCCTTTTTGTCCATGCCTTCGGTCATCTTCCCCCCAGCTCTCTCAGCTCCCACTCTCAGCTCAAGTACCAAACCAGGACCTTCAAATGCCTTAGGACATAATAATAATCCTTGCATTTGATATAGCACTTTTCATGTCTTCTCGACGTCGTAAAGCACTTCACAGAATATACTGTAAAGTGACTTTACTGTATATTTGTGTGAAATGCAGCAGTCAATTGCGCACAGCAGTGTCCCACAAACAGTCGTGGATTGAGTGACCAAATTATTATTATTATGATTTGGGGGGGATTATTATCCCCAGAAAAGCGATCCACCAATTGACTAACAACCAGGTTCCTACTTACTGCTGGTTAAAGAGAGGCGTTTGGAGTAAGGAAACTTACCCAATATTTTGTGCTGCCAGGAATAGAACCCAGGTCTCTCGCTTGTGATGCAAGTGATCTAACCGCTGAGCTACAGGACATCCTCCTGACATGAAAGGGGCCGAATAAATATAAATTTGTTGTTGCTGTTGTTGTAGCAGATAAGGACAGAATTGGCCTAGATTGCAAACCATACAATCTCCCCTTTCACACATACCTACCAATACTATGTGTCCACAGACAAAGAATAACCAATTAGGCACATACCCATAGAACTGTACTCAGCATAAATCAGGAGGGCAGGAGGAGTAAATTCACTAAATGCGACACTGAATTTAAACTGAATGATGAGACAGACAATGGCTACATTATATAAGTTGGTGGAGAAAATGGTCCACCAGGTCCACCACTGCCCTGATGTTGCTCTTAGCCAACATTCGTGCATAAAGACCATCCAGCAACGGTATCAAGAAATTTAGTTGATTTTCTTTTCCCTTATCACAGGCCAATTGTAAATTAGTTAATTCAGCTAGCATTGTTTCAATCCAGCCATCTTTGAAAAGGAATCTTTATAAAGCGAGTTTCAGGCAATGCCACCCTATCTACAGAATACTAGAGGAGAAAGTGGAGACTGCTGCTGCTGCTGCGGCCTAATGCTGCACCAACTGTGGCTTTACCCACGAGGCTACTCAGGATCAGTTAGTTATCTTAACCTGAAAGTTACCTTCATTGATGGCCTCCTTCACAGCCGTAATATAGACATCTGGTTCATCCTCGCAAGAGATGCATCTCCATTGGTCCGAGTCACTGAACAAAGTCCTCAGTTCTTCTGAGTCGGTCACACCACAAAGAAGCACCACCACTTTGTGGGCAGGTTGCAACATACTCTGCAGCGCACTTTGTACGTTGGGCATCACCTCCTGAAGCTGTTCTGACAACAGAATCAGGATGCATTTGGATCTCTCAAAGTCATGATAGTCTTGGCGCGATAAGGAAGTATCCTCCTTGAGAAGATAGGTTGAAACAGAAAAGCAACCAGATGAGGAGAGCAGGCCATTGAGATATTCGCTCCACTCATCAGCATCGTTTGCAAACAGGATGAGCACGTTCCATCCATTTTGGTGTCCTTGGGGAGAAACAAATGAATATTAATTGTACATTTGGTGTATAGGTCCTTGTCTTTATCAATCACCTCACAAAAGACCATGTACTTTTTTCGTTGGTCATCGGGTGTCTGACACACGCTGAAAACCATCACCATGCTTATGAGGGCCCAAACCAAACTGAGAATTCCATGCAACCCACTCACACATGGAAATTTCAGAGATAGATTGTTGGAATGGAAATGCACAATCTCTCCCTGGAGGGACGCATCCTGCTTAGCCAATTCTAGAATCAGGTAAGCAGGATGGTGGATGGTAGGTACCAGGAACCCCCTGCGAGCTTCCAGGTGGGCAATGCATTTCAGCATGAAATGATGAGAGCATTGTCACCGTCTTCCTGTCCGCAGCTCAGGCACATATCCCTTTCCATTGACCAATGGTTCCACCAATTGGAGGTGCAGAGTTAGAGCATCAGATGCTTGCCTCTCTGCAGGAAAATCAAGGTGAATTCCAGGCACTGGATGTACGAATTGGGACTCCAGGTAACACCTTCCAAGCTGTCGCTCCACGCCTTAGAGTTTCCTCATCAGCTATCTGGTGAACATCTGCCTTCAGCATGTTGGTGGTGGGTAGAACTTTACAGGACAGCTTGTGAGGTGCTAGTCACCTTTGGACGTCCTCCTGACGTGAAAGACGCTTTACAAATGTAATTTGTTGTTGTTGTCCTTGGCAAATAGACATGCCCAAAGAACAAATTAGATAGATTCCTGTTAGGAAATAATATTTTGGGATACAGTATATCGTTTGAGACATGACATGTGCATGTGACTGCCAAGAAGAGGGAAGGCGAACTAGATGGACCCTTTAGCAAGACGGAGCAAGATGGAGCTCTTTATTCAAATTCCAATGCTTTGCTTTCTCCCCAAACCTTTTTTTAATCTTTGTTGTTAACCTGTTGGTATAATTCCTGTTTAAATGACTTAATTGACATAAGTTTCAATAGCCACCTGTGGAAGGAAACATGATCCACATTCTGGTAAATCTTTTCTAACCTCCTCATTTTATACTTTCAGCATTAATCTACACTGTACCCCTCCCATCCCCCACCGAGTATTCTCAACTGTAATGATCATTCACCTCGTTGCTGTTTGCAGGACATTGCTATGCACACATTGGCAGATGTGTGCACAAATCACTACACTTCACAGTAAAATCTTGTGAAGCAGTTTGAGACATCTCAACGACATGATAAAGGAGCTGTATCAAATGCAAGAAATGTTACAATTATTATTAGGTGTTAGCTTGACTCATGTCAGCAGCATTCGTCACTAGTGTCAGATGTCCTGACCAACAAATTCCCCAAATAAACTTGTTCACTCACTCCGTGGCTGTTTGTGGGACACCGCTGTGCGCAAACTGGCTGCTGCATTTCACCCAGAAAATGTAGTCACTGCACTTTACAGTATATCCGGTGAAGTGCTTTGAGAAGTCTCAACAACATGATATTTGTGGAACTTAACTGTCAGCATTTTGGCTGCCACATTTGCCTATATCATCCACACTTCCCAGCAATTCCACATGAAGTCATTAATTGTCTTAGCTGGTAACTTCACGACAAACATCTGTTTGATTCCGTTTCTGTGCACTTTTGCAATAAATTATTGATGTTAACTCACTACAAAGAGGCTTGATGCAAGCTTCCCACAAAATATACAGTCAATTCACTTTACAGTATAGTATATGAAGCGCTTTGTGAAGTCTAAAAGACACGAAGAGGCGCTATATCAAATGCAAGGATTATTATTATTCTCAGACAATACTTCATAAAATCTCCTTGAATTAGTTACCCCAGTTCATTAATTTTTAAACTAATCCATTCCCAAATATCAATACCTCCCTCCCTCATTCAGTTAAAATTGTCATTAGTGAAGTCTAACTGATTCTATTTCTTTAATCCATTTTATAAATTGTGGCTTTTAAGAAATTAAATTTATTTGGGATCAGAAGCAACCATCTGTTTTCCTCCCCTTGCTACTTGCTCTTACTTTGTGGTAGATTACAATTGCTGCAGTTAGGATGTTTTTACACAATTACTTCTGTTTAATAAGTTAAAAGTTGCTAAGTTTCAGAATGACCTTCAGAGAAATTATTGGGTAATGCAAAATACTCATTCTACAGTCAGATGTTATTTACTGGAGTCGCTTGTTTGTGCTGTGTAAATGACAACATCTGCACAAAAATTGCTGAACCTTATATGTTTAAAAATGCTGAACCTTACATGTTTAAAAATGCAGAATTCAAAGAATGTGGCTACACAGAAAGGACAAAAAAAGCAAGTTTCTCAGACTGCAAAGATGTTCCTTGCTCGCTACCCATACTTCTTTGTTTTCCAGAATCTGTTTTCCCTTCAAAAACAATTTTCAATAGGATTGACACATTCTAACCACCCTCTGTGTAAAGTTTTTGTTTCTAACTTTTGCTTTAACTCTTTATGCAATGATCTTAAATTATTTGCTTGTTCAGGTGGACATTAAAAATTCCATGACACTTCAAAAAGTGAAGGGAGTTTCTCCTGGTGTCCTGCCAACAGACTTTACACCAAGGTCCCATTTGCCTATTCAGGCGAATGTTAAAGATCCCATGTCACTATCCCTCAAATAAAATGGTCACTGAGTCCATGACTGTTTGTGTGACGTTGCTGTGCACAAATTGGCTGCCATAATCACCCACCAAACACACTGTCATTACACTTTACTGATTATCCTATGAAGTGCTTTGGGACATCCTCTCAACATTAAATGTGCTACACTAAACATCAACATTATTATTTTATCAATATCAGTACCCTTTCATTACTGATCAGTAGAAATAATCTTTAAGACCTCCATCGAGTAATCCCCTCAATGTTCGCCCATTGCATCTAGCCCACTGATAGTCACCATATGTCACACCAACTATTCAAATCCGACAGTCACCTTGTTTCACAACAACCCCTCCACTGTCACGCCAACCACTCCAACCAGACAGCCATCGTCACTCCAACCACTCCAACATGATAGTCATTGTCACACCAACCATTATGACTCAGCAGTGATACTTTTCAAGCACGTTTCAAATGAAGGATACAGAGCGCGCAAGACAAAGGGATTTGGAGATAGAGTTACAGAGTGAATGAGGAGGCAAGTGGTTGAAAATTGACAACGGGAAAGGGTGAGGGCTGCAAACCGAAGAGTTCCAAATTTCAATGGGAAATGAAAAGCTACCTACCATTTGTGTCATTTAACTTTTATATCATAGCATTGGCCCTGACCTTCACAGCAAACATTTCCCGAGTTACAATACTTTATTTATGGTACCACAAGGTCTTGTAAATATGGCCAATTTAAAACAGTAGGAAGACAGGACACAAAGGACAAATAATTGCTTCAGATGAAAAAGATGTGCTGAGTGGGACCATGTTCTGAAATGCTGTTTCAATTATCTTTAGAGGCAGGGAGATACTTGGGGGAAAAAAAGGGAACCTTTCTTCAAGGAATGAAATGTTTTTGGAATTTTGTAGAGTACAGGACATGTGGACTGCACATGGTCTGTACAAGGAGCAGACTTGCCAGTTCTTACTATCATAAAAATAACTCATTAGCCATGTTTCATTGTGTTGTTGATTCTCTACATTTTAAGGTTCTTTAAAGGCCGTGAGTTTGTTTTTTCTAAGCTTCTTTGCACAAGATTTAATTACAATCACGTATCAATTTGCCTCCGATTGTATCAGTCTTGCCTTTGAGTTGGTCAGAAGGATGTGGGAACATAGGACTTGAGCGTGGAGGACATTCCAGTCCAGTACGGGGTGAGGGGAGGGGGTCGGGGGATGAGGATATCACCGCAATGTCAGAGGTGCCATCCTTTGGATGAGATGTTAAATCAAGGTATCACCTGGCTGATCTTCTGGTAGACATTAAACAAAATTCCATTGCACTATTCAAAAAGAGCAAGGAGTTTCTCCTAGTGTTTGAGGGACTTCGCTGTGCAGAAAATGGCTGCCTCATTTGTCAACAAAAAGTTGCTATCCATGATAGTAATTTATTGTTGTCATATTAGTCGATTGGCTGATCATTTTCCAGGGCTAATAATCCCTCCAAAAAAAATGTGGTCACTCAATCATGGCTTTTTGTGGGACAATGCTGTTTGTAACTGACTGCTGCATTTCTCCCACAAAAATAACACAACCAATGCACTTTACAATATATCCTGTGAACGCTTTGAGATGTCTCAACAACTTGATAAGGCACTATATCAAAAGTATTATTATTTAGTCGAACTTTGAAATGTTTGACTTGCTAAAGTACAATAAAAATGTGCTTTCGTCCACAAAATACACAGTCAATCCACAATCCACTCTACAGTATATCCCATGAAGTGCTTTGAGACGTCTCAACAATGTGATAAGGCGCTTTATCAAATGCAAGGATTATTATATATTACTAGCTGTACCCATTGCAGCTACGCTTGCAACAAGTTTTATTTAATCGTCCTTCTGTTTCGTCTGTAATTTTTTTTGTCCTTAAAAGGCTTGATCTTCGCTTCTTAGGCATCTTTTATCCCTTAAGATTAAGAAAATGTACTATTGAACACATCAGCATCCTTTGTTCATATATTTGCACACATATCCACTTGGAGGACTCCTGTGGGAAGACTCCCGGCACACAGATATATATTTCATTTTTATTAGAAAATGAAGACGTATCTCTCTGGAAGGGTGTTTGACCTCTACCACTATTTTGTTGCAGAATACCATGCATACCTTTTTGGGGCTTAATTAAAGTATTTTTTAAATATATTTTTTAATATAGCTCATCAACCATAGGAGACCCCCGAAAAAAAATATGCATATGAGGGTCCCCTATGCAAGACCCTTCCGATGAGATATACATCATGTCTCTACATCAATCGGATACTCCATTCTTGGTAGACAGACAGACAGACAGACAGACAGACAGACAGACAGACAGACAGACAGACAGACAGACAGACAGACAGACAGACAGACAGACAGACAGACAGACAGACAGACAGACAGACAGACAGACAGTCTTAAAGGGTCTCAAAGCACTTCATGGGTCATACCGTAGAGTGGATTGACTGTGTATTTTTGTGGACTAAAGCATTAGTATAGATTAAAAATGTTTCCTACACTTGAGAGATCTGAGCCCATCAACATCATTCCTGTTAAAAAATAACCTTAATTCTATTGGAAATAAAAATCAGGTTCAATGTAGCATTGGAATGTACGCTACACCCCTTGATAGTGGTTGTTGAAACCAGGCTATCAACATTATGAAAATAATAATCCTTGCATTTGATATAGCGCCTTATCGTGTCATTGATGTGTCTCAACGCGCTTCTCGGAATATACTGTAAAGTGAATGTGTATTTCGAGGGCGAAATTGTGAATACAAAGTGAAACACAACTTGTTTAACTAGTTTCATGTCGCATGTCCGATCCAAAGGGCAGTGCCATTGATTGCACAATCCTCTGGCGCTGACTGTCAATGCTACACCGGGTTGACAACCCCAGTTAATAATAATAATCCTTGCATTTGATATAGCGCTTTTCACGTCTTCTAGATGTCCCAAAGCGCTTCACAGAATATACTGTAAAGTTAATTGACTGTATATTTGTGGGCGAACGCGGCAGCCAATTGTCCCACAAACAGTCGTGGATTGAAAATGACCAATTTATTATTGTTTTTGTTTTGGAGGGATTATTATTAGGCTCTGTGTGGAGTAAGGAAACTTGCCCAAGGTTTCGCCCTCTGCCTGGAATTGAACTCAGGTCTCTCGCTTGTAAAGCGAGTGCTCTAACCACTGAGCTACAGGACTCCCACACATGTTCACAAATGTAAATATTTTAGGATCGTTTCATTTCTTCTTAACACCAAGTTGCTTACATAACTAGACCAGTGACATCTAACTTCAGGGAACGGGGTTAAACATTTTGGCAACAAGAAACTATTTTTTTTTAAAAAAGCGTTTCACGTTTTTTTTTAAAAACCTGCTAAGATTTGAAAGCTGCTGTTAAAAGCTTGCAAAACTGTTGCATTTTTTTACACACCACATGTAAATTTATCGAATTGCATCAGTTTCCATCCCAAACCATAACCCAGCCAATACTCCCCACCACACCCCCCCAAAAAAACATTCAAAAAAGATTATTTTGGAGAGACACTTAAAACATTCACAAGTATTCACATTTAGAGTCCTGTGGAGTCCTGTAGCTCAGTGGTTAGAGCACTCGCTTTGCAAGTGAGAGACCCGAGTTCATTTCCAGGCACAGGGCGAAACCTTGGGCAAGTTTCCTTACTCCACACAGAGCCTAATAGTAATCCCTCCAAAACCCCAAACAATAATAAATTGGTCATTTTCAATCTACGACTGCTTGTGGGACATTGCTGTGCGCAATTGGCTGCCGCGTTCGCCCACAAATACACAGTCAATTCGCTTTACAGTGTGTTCTGTGAAGTTCTTTGGGACGTCCTCCCGACGTGAAAAGCGCTATGTCAAATGCAAGGATTATTATTATTATTATTATTATTAAGTACGACTATTCACAGCACAATCCAAGCAGGTCAAAAAAACTGGTGTCCCCCCCCAAAAAAAAAGAAAGAAGAGGAAGCAGAAGTGTAGAAAGATAATAAAAGTTACAAACAAACAAAATTTTTAAAAAAAACAGCAACGAATTTTGCAAACGAAATGCCAAAAAAAAAGCACACTTACCCTGAGCTGCCATGGTCCAGCTGTCGTCTCCTGTCAATCAATCAATCAATCAATCAATGAATCAGTCAGTCAGTCAGTCAGTCAGTCAATCAATAAATCAATCCTCCAGGGTTTGAAACGCTCTCAGACTGCGACTGGATCGTGGCTCACAGAGTTTCCACATCACACCGACATCACATTCATTCACATGCTTCGAAATGCAACTTCTCTAAAACGCAAAGGGAGTTTTGCTTTTTCTCCTCCCACTCCCCAACACACACACACACACTCACTCACACACACACATCAACGCAGATCACGAGAGTGAGTGGGTGAGAGGGGGAGTGAAAGAGTGAGAGAGTGGGTGAGCGAGAGAGTGAGAGAATGAGTGGGTGAGTGAGAGTGGGTGAGTGAGAGAGTGGGTGAGAGAGTGAGAGAATGAGTGGGTGAGTGAGAGTGGGTGAGTGAGAGTGGGTGAGAGAGTGGGTGAGTGGGTGAGAGGGTGAGTGAGTGAGTGAGTGGGTGAGAGAGTGAGTGAGTGGGTGACAGGGAGAGTGAGTGGGTGAGTGGGTGAGAGAGTGAGTGAGTGGGTGACAGGGAGAGTGAGTGGGTGACAGGGAGAGCGAGTGGGTGACAGGGAGAGTGAGTGGGTGACAGGGAGAGTGAGTGGGTGACAGGGAGAGTGAGTGGGTGACAGGGAGAGTGAGTGGGTGACAGGGAGAGTGAGTGGGTGAGAGAGTGAGCGAGTGGGTGACAGGGAGAGTGAGTGGGTGACAGGGAGAGTGAGTGGGTGACAGGGAGAGTGAGTGGGTGACAGGGAGAGTGAGTGGGTGACAGGGAGAGTGAGTGGGTGACAGGGAGAGTGAGTGGGTGACAGGGAGAGCGAGTGGGTGACAGGGAGAGTGAGTGGGTGACAGGGAGAGTGAGTGGGTGACAGGGAGAGTGAGTGGGTGACAGGGAGAGTGAGTGGGTGACAGGGAGAGTGAGTGGGTGACAGGGAGAGCGAGTGGGTGACTAATCAGTGGTCGGGACCAAGTGCGCGGTGGAGGCGAACTCTCACACCCGCGAGAGAGAAAACACACAACACAACAACAACAACAACGACAACAACATACAACCACCGCTGCAGCTCCCAAACCCTCTGCCGTCTCTGATTCGAGTTCAGTAACTTCCCACGGATTTGCCACTCCCGACACGAACCCTCCCCCCACCACCACCACCACCCACTCTCTGCCACTTAAGACTCGTCACTTAACTCCAACTTTTAAACTCTTTCACAAGAGCAGTGGCTTCGGAATTTCCTGGTTCTCTCCCCCCCCCCACCCCCAGACTCGTCACTTCCTCACCAAGTCAAAGATACCTGTTCATATCATGTCTTCTTGGTAAACTTGGCTCAGTGGGTAACACCCTTTCCTTTTGGGGAGGGGTTGGGTTGGGGGGTGGGGGGGGGAAAGGGAGAGAGAGAGAGGTCCAATACCCCCTCCAACAGGACCTCAGCTCAGTATCGACTGTTGGGTCTATAGGTCGAGGTGTAACTGCAGATAAACCATTGAACCCAAGTGGTTAGTTATTAAACATCCCATCAGATCATTCAAAGGAATGGTTCCCAGCTCTCCTGGTCAACCATGAATTGGTCCCGCACTGGCTTTGGGACCCTTGCCCTGTGCAAACCCAACCCTTTGGAACTCCATCCCGACAGTCCCTTCCCCCCCCCCCCCCCCCCACACCCCCCCCCCCCGTCCCCCGTTAGTACCATAGCGTTCACGTTTCATTTCGTATTATTGGTCGTATTAATCATGGTAATAATAATAATCCTTGCATTTGCTATAATCACGTCCGCGCGACGTCGCAAAACACTTCGCTGAACATACTGCAAAGTGAATTGACTATATTTTGTGGGCGAACGTGGTTTCATATTATTAGTCATAGTAATAATAATAATAATCCTTGCATTTGATATAGTCACGTCTTTGAGATATCTCAAAGCGCTTTACAGAACATACTACAAAATGAATTGACTGTATATTTTGTGGGCGAAACGTGGCAGCCAATTGCACACAGCAATGTCCCACAAACAGTCGTGGATTGAAGTGACCAATTCATTATTTTTTTGAAGGAATTATTACCCCCAGAAAAGCAATCCACCAATACTATTAACAACCGGGTTCCTACTTACTGCTAGGTAAACAGAGGCATGTGGAGTAAGGAAACTCACCCAACATTTTGTCCTGACAGGAATTGAACCCAGGTTAGGGTTAGGCTTGCAAAGTGAGTGCTCTAACCACTGAGCTACAGAACTCCACCACTACTTCCCAGAGGTTTTTAACAGATCAACACTAAAACCATGCCCTCAACATCCAGCAACATTGTTTTAAGATCTACATCTTTGTCATAAGCAAAGCTGAACTTCTAGATAGGCTCAAAGGGGTTGAAAACCAGCAAATCCCTCAGAACGATTGAATTGTAACCCAGGGTACTTAGAGACACAAGGCAGGAGATTGGAGTAAGACAGACATTATGAGGGAGTCAATAACCACAGATGAGGTTGCAACAGACTAGAGGTGAGAAAATGTGGTTCTCATATTCCAGAAAGATGGCAGAACCACACCTAGCAACTTCGACCCATTAGCCTGAACTCAATATTGGGAAAACTGATGGAGCCAATTAATAGAAGAACAATGGAAGATTATATAGATTTATATAGAAAGTAGCAGGGAAGCATAGCAGTCAGCCCTCAAGTAGTCTATACTGATGTACTCCACGTGAATATGATTATCTGCATAAAATGATAGCTAGAACAGATTCAGAAGCGGTAGATCTTATCTGACCAACACCATAACTTTTAATTGATCTTGGACCAAAGATTATAAGATTGTTTGCCAGTACAGAGGTGGGAAATGTTATTCTCTTTTCACATAACATCATGGGATCTTTGACATCCACCTGAATTGGCAGACTACATCACTTAATAATAATAAAATTAATCCCTGCATTTTGTTACAGCGCCTTATCATGTCATTGAGACATCTCAAAGGGCTTCACAGACCACACTGTAAGGTGAATTGACTGTATATTTTGTGAGCGAAATGTGGCAGCCAATTGCACACAGCAGAGTCCCACAAACAATCATGGATTGAGTGACCAAATTGTTATTTATTTTTTGAACGGATTATTACCCCAGAAAAGTGATCCGCCAATCGACTAACAACCAGGTTCTTACTTATTCCTAGGTAAACAGAGGAGTGTGGAGTAAGGAAACTTCCCTAAGGTTTCGCCCAGCCCAGGAATGGAACCTGCGTCCTCTCGCTTGCGACACGAGTGCGTTAACCAATATGCTACAGGACACTACATATTCAGGGAAACATTCTACTGCTGGGAATATACTATTTTGCCAATTAAGTTATGAATATGCTGAATGTTATGAAGATACAAAACTGCACACTGGCCTGTCTCGCTCAGTATCCATTATGGCCAAGCTTTAAACTTGGAAGCAGCCTGGATGTCTTGTTTAGCACTCCCCCTATTGTGAAGTATAAAAATTGTAAGTGCTTTCACTAAATAAAGAGCTGCCTGCAATCAACTAACTACTGTGTACTCTTCAATTAGATAAGCCAAAGGATCAGTAGGCAGGCTTCTTTCTTGCCTCTCTTACACTCCTCTTTCACCCTCTCTCTTTATTAATAATACTAATAATCCTTGCATTTGATCTAGCGCTTTTCACGTCTTCTAAAATTCTCAAAGCGCTTCACAGAATAAACTGTAAAGTGAATTGACTGTATATTTGTGGGCAAAACGTAGGAGCGGATTGCACACAGCAGTGTCCCACAAACAGTCATGGATTGAGTGACCAATTTTATTATTGTTTATTTCTTGAGGGATTAAGATCAGACGTAGGTTTTGCCCTACTACAAATCGAACCCAGGTCTCTCGCTTGCAAGGCGAGTGCTCTAACCTCTGAGGTACAAGACATCTGCGGTCACATTGGATAGTCCCAAAGTAAAAAACATAATCAACAAATATTCAGTGATGTAACCCTAACCCTCTAACTGACAGAAACTCCCCCCACTGGCAGATACTGACTTTTTTGACAGTTACATCTTCATTGAAAGTTACTTCATTGACACACAGTTACTCCCTCGCTCACAGTACCACCCTCAGTGTCAATTATTCCCTCACTGGCTCACTGGCTGTTTCTCCCTCATTGATCATGAGTACTTCCATTCCAGTTACTTTCCGGCCAGTTAATAATAGTAATATCATAATAATCCTTGCATTTGATACAGTTCATTATTATGTTGTTGAGAAGTCTCAAAGCACTTCACAGAATATGCTGTAAAGTGAATTGACTGCGTATTTTGTGGACCATGTTTGTATACTTTGTGTATTAACTGGCTACAAGGAGGCACGACAGCGAGCAACGTCTGGGAGTTCTGTCGTAGTGATGGTTGATCGACCTGTGCAATTCGTCAATGAGACTTGAAGGTGTGGATGTGTATTCACTCTCATAAGCCAAGCAATCGTAGACCTGTGCTGTGCTGTCTGCCTTAAAATCGTGAACGGGTTCAGTGAGCTGAAATGGGGAGCAAATAGTTACTCTCTCACTGATAATTACTCTCTCACTGACAGCTACTCTCTCACTGACAGCTACTCTCTCACTGACAGCTACTCTCTCACTGACAGCTACTCTCACTGACAGTTACTCTGAAAGTTATTCTCTGTAAAATTGGGTTCAAGCGTTTGTCAGAAACCACACCAAGGATATCATTAAAATGTTTTATTTGCAATTATAAAACCACACAAGCATAAGCATCATATTACACCCGACACTTTATCATTATTCGTTGTGCTCAAATGACTATTAAAGCGCTATTAAAGCACTATCTTAACAAGACACACTACTGAAGCACTATCTACATACACTCAATACTAAAATTCTAAACGTATATAAAAAAAACATTTTGTGACATATGAAATGTGCCTAAATAATCTCTAACTGTTTTGTATGTATGTTGGGTGCTTGTTTTAGTAAGTAGGAGAGATAGTACCAAGCAGGCAGGAAGTCGTGACGAAGTTCTAAGGCTGGCACGAAAGTTAAACACTGTGTCTGGTGTGCTGCTGGCTGCAAACATCTCTGGCTTGCTTCTAGCTGCAAACGTCTCTTGATGGTCCACTCCAGCATGGGCTGAACTTGTCCTCTTTGCGGTCCACTCCCGCGAGAGCTGAGCTTGTCCTCTTTCCCTCAAAGGCACTCTTCTCCGTAGCGGTTCTTCCTCTCCTCAGGGGCTCGAGTATTTCTAAGTTTGGGCAACCGTTTTTTATACCCTTTGTCGCCAGCCATCTGTATTCTTTCTCCTTTCCTCTCATTACTTCTTTCTCTAATTGTCAGTTGTAAAACCCTGCTCTTTTGCCCCAGCATCCTTTTCCTCAGTTTTAAGTGCGAATTTTGTATACCTGCCCACACAATTGGCCTCTCATCCATTCTCCTGGTCCAATTATTCCAGGTTCCTATCTCTCCTCCCCTTAGGTCATATGCCCTTGTAAGCACAGGGGAGAGGGGGGACAAGGCGGAGGGTTTGAGGATTGAGGATTCCATAGTTTTGGGACATAGTGGCTGAAAGTGAGACATCCGATGGTGGGGCGGAGCGTGCGAGAGATGAGCAAGAGGCAAGTGCCAGTTGCTCGGAGGCACAGGGTGGTGGATTAGGGAATGAGGTCGTAAAGGGAGGTGCCAAGGAGTGAATAGATTTGAACACGCGTGAGGATCTTGAAGTCGATCCGTTTGGTGATGGGGAGCCAGTGGAGCCTGGCGAGAACTGGTGAAATGTGGGTACGGAGTTTGGTCCGGGTCAGTATGCAGGCGGCAGAATTTTGAATGAGCTGGTTCTTTTGAATGGCGGAGCTGGGGAAACCAGCAAGGAGTGCATTGGAGTAATCCAAGTAGAAGGTGACAAATGCATGCACAAGGGTTTTGGCTGCCTTTGGGGTAAGGTACGGTCGGTGGCGGAGGTGGAAGAAGGCGGTCCTGATTAGGACCCAGGTTTGGGGGAGGAAGGACAGCTGGGGGTTGAAACGAACGCCTCGGTTGCACACTGGTTCGGTGAGTCTGAGGGAGAGCCCAGGGAGGTTGGGGAGTTTAGATCCGCAGGAGTGAAGACATTGATGGGAGCCAAGGAGCATGGCTTCCGTCTTGTCCATATTCCGCTGCAGGAAGTTGCAGCTGAATATCTCTCCCTCTCACTGACAGTTACTCTCCCTCACTGACAGTTACTCCCACTGACTGTTACTCTCACTGACTGTTACTCTCTCTCAATGATAATTACTCTCACTGACAGTTACTCTCAGACTGACAGTTACTTGCTCACTGACAGTTACTCTCTCACTGACAATTACTCTCTCACTGACAGTTACTCTCGTTGACAATTACTCTCTCACTGACAGTTACTCTCACTGATAGTTACGCTCTCACTGACAGTTACTCTCACTGACAGTTACTCTCACAGTTTCTCTCTCACTCTGTCTGTCACCGAGAGTTTCTCCCTCTCACCGACAATTACTTTCACTGACTGTTACTCTCAGACTGACGATTACTATCACTGACAGTTACTCTCAGACTGACAGTTACTCTCAAACTGACAGTTACTCTCAGACTCACAGTTACTCTCAAGTTGACAGTTACTCTCACTGACAGTTACTCTCACTGATAGTTACTCTCTCACTGATGGTTACTCTCACTGAGTTATTCTCAGACTGACAGTTACTCTCACTGACAGTTACTCTCACTGACAGTTACTCTCACTGATAGTTACTCTCTCACTGATGGTTACTCTCACTGAGTTATTCTCAGACTGACAGTTACTCTCACTGACAGTTACTCTCACTGACAGTTTTTCTCTCTCACTGTCTGTCACCGAGAGTTCCTCCCTCTCACCGACAGTTATGTTCACTGACTTTTACTCTCAGACTGACGGTTACTATCACTGACAGTTACTCTCAGACTGACAGTTACTCAAACTGACAGTTACTCTCAGACTGACAGTTACTCTCAAATTGACAGTTACTCTCACTGACAGGTACTCTCAGACTAACAGTTACTCTCTCATTGACAGTTACTTTCAGACTGACTGTTGCTCTCTGACAGTTACTCTGAGACTCGCAGTTACTCTCACTGAGTTACTCTCCCACTGACTAGTTACTCTCTCACTGACAGTTACTCTCTCACTGACAGTTACTCTCTCACTGACAGTTGCTCTCTGACTGACAGTTACTCTCTCACTGACAGTTACTCTCACTGACAGTTACTCTCTCACTGACAGTTGCTCTCACTGACAGTTACTCTGTCATTGACAGTTACTCTCACTGACAGTCGCTCTCTCACTGACAGTTACTCTCACTGACAGTTACTCTCTCACTGAGTTACTCTCTGACAGTTACTCTCTCACTGAGTTACTCTCACTGATAGTTACTCTCACTGACAGTTACTCTCTGACAGTTACTCTCTCACTGACAGTTACTCTCACTGACAGTTACTCTCTGACAGTTACTCTCTCACTGACAGTTACTCTCCCACTGACGGTCGCCCTCCCACTGACAGTCGCCCGCTGACTGACAGTTGGTGCACGGGTCGCTGGCCCCGCCCCCCCCCCCCACCCCGCGTTGCTAGGTGACGGAGCAGAGGGCGGAGCGCGCGCTGCATTCTGGGCCATCGTTTGCGCCGCCATGTTTGGTGTCAGCGCGGGAGCCTGACCCGCAGCCCAGGCCCGGGGAGCGCGGAGCCAGGTCCCCCGGGAGGGGGGGGGAGGGGGAAGGAAGGAGAGCCGAGCGACAGCCGGAGCCATGTCGGGCAGGGACGGCAAGATGAGCACGACGGAACGGGTGGTGAAATGTGAGTGCTCGGGGCTTGGGCGGCGGGTAGGAGCGGCGCGCGCGGGGCCGGTGCCGAGCGCCGAGCGCGGCTGTTCCCAGCCTCGGGGTCGCTCCGCTCTCCGCTCTCCGCGCTGCCCCGCGCCAGGCACAGGCCGTGCAACGGTCGCGACGAAGCCGCGGACGCAGCCTGGCAGCGGAGGCCGGGATAGGGCACACGGCTGAGCCGCGGTTCGATCTGTACAACAACAACAACAACACCAACCACAAGATTGCATTTGTAGAGCGCCTTTCACGTCGGGAGGACGTCCCAAGGCGCTGGACAGTTGGGTCGGGACCCCGAGCATTGGAGGGAGGGAGGGGGGGGGAGCGAGGAGGGGGTAGAGAGTCGATAATTGTACGTTAATCGCTTCCTTTTATTGCTTAAACACACAGTGTGTTGGGGTTACACGCGCAGGGACTGTGTGCTGTACCGCAGCACTGGGTCGCAGCCTCGTGTTTGCTGGAATATCCCAAGTAATTGAGTACTGCGAGCACCAGAATTGCTACCAGAAGCTTCTGGGTTTTGAATCTCGATGAGTCCTGCCAACCCGACATCCATTCAGAACCACTAAGAATTAGCGCCCTGCCTTAAAGTCTCCCGGAGCTGGGTCTCTCTGTATCTTAATAACAGTAATAATCCTTGCATTTGATACAGCACATCATTATGTTGTTGAGAAGTCTCAAAGCACTTCGCAGAATATGCTGTAAAGTGAATTGACTGCGTATTTTGTGGACCATGTTTGTATACTTTGTGTATTAACTGGCTACAAGGAGGCACGACAGCGAGCAACGTCTGGGAGTTCTGTGGTAAATCTATTTAGTGATGGTTGATCGACCTCTGCAATTCGTCAATGAGACTTGAAGGTGTGGATGTGCATTCACTCTCATAAGCCAAGCAATCGTAGACCTGTGCTGTGCTGCCTGCCTTAAAATCGTGAACGGGTTCAGTGAGCTGAAATGGGGAGCAAATTGTGTCTGCAGGTCCGGTTCCACTTTGAAAGTTGTGGCTGTATTTATCAATTGATTGCAAGTATTCCAGCATTAACACGCATCAAAGGAAACCCCCTACCTAGCACTGAACAGTTGTCAGTAATGTGGTGCTAATCCTTTTGCTAAATTTTGGATAATTAAATAATAATACCACAAAATGCTTTGAAAAGACACAATGGAAGGATTATTATTATAACTGATTATACTTATTGTATTGGAGACCACTGAGCTCAAATGTCCCTGACGTGATCTTGAATCTTCTGAACCAAAGTGTAATTATTCCCAAAGTGCCAAACTATTTCTCCTCGCTTGTTTTTGCATCCAATGTTGGTTTTGTACTTTTCGAGGAATGCAGATTTTGCACAATGTTTGGAGCAAATTACTCACATGTACTGGCAATTGAAGATGTATGTAATTATTAGTGGTTTTTACTATTCCACAAATTTCAATTAAAACATTGAAATCTCCTGAGTAATACTTTGGCAACGTGTTTAAGCCCTGAAACTGTAGTGGTATTGTATTCAATATGCATATGATTTACATTGATTTATGTAAATATTGGTGCTTTTGCATTATGTGTTTTTGAGTATTGTACTGCAATGCTCACATTTTAAAATATTCTGTTTATTTATACGGAGCTATTTGGTATAAATGTTACCACTTAAATTGATAGTGTATGGAGGATGAGACAAGGTTGATGTAATGAGAAGCAGACGGACTCTTAAAACTTGTACCCTTTTGTCACATTCCTTTTTCTGAAATTCCAATTTGTCAGATCATATCGGCCAACAAAATACTCAAGACATTACCCTTCACAGTGTATCCCATGAAGTGCTTTGAGACACCCTGCTGATGTGAAAGGCAGTTATTTTATTACAACAACAACTTGCATTTATGTAGCGCCGGCGGGGCAGAGTCTCAGAGAGCTTGACGCTGGTGGAGTCTGACACTGAGCCTGGGGGAGAGAGGAAGTGACCGTAAGCACGGTCGAAGAGGAAGGTCTTCAGTCATGATCTGAAAGAGGAGGCAAGGCGGAGGGATTGGAGGAGAGAGTTCCAAAGCTTCAGGGAATGGTGGCTGAAAGTGCGGTTACCGATGGTGGAGGGGACGAGGGACAAGCAGGAGGTCAGAGCCAGCCGACGGGTTAGGATTCAGCAGCAGATTGCGTTCTGCACCTCACCTGTTGTGACCATGAAGTACGATTTGGGGATGTTCTGTATTTGAAAGAAACAGTACTTTGAAGCATTTTCCATTTAAAGTATTTCCTTAAAATCATAAATGCTGTCAAAATATTGTATGCAAATGTAATTTGTTGTTGCATGCGATCAATTGAATTTGGAGGAGAGGCAGAAAGAAATTCCCACGGTAGGAGTCAGAAAGTTGCTTCCCCTCACATGAATCCACCATCTTAGGAATGGATAAGATTCTTTGTTGAAGCACGTTCAGGTTCTGCTATCCATGTGGATTGGATGTGTGTTCCATTTAAAAGGCTGGTCCTGGTTTGAAGTTGTGTTTTTACTTATGCTAAGTCTACATGAGCAGGCATGTGTTTCTCAAGCTCCTACACTCGTACTGACGGTGAACACTGCCAATTCTACTTATTGAGATCCTCAGGCTTCAGCTTTCTCACAAACACTTGCTGTTAGTTTATCGTCAACCTTATCAGTAGTTTGTTGTTTTTGTAGTTGCAATTCATAGAATCTTCTGTAAAATAAGTGCAAAGATGGCAGAACTCAGCCCTCGGAGTGCTTCTGAAGACATATGCTAGTATTGTGAAGGGAAGCAGTTTCTAGACAGTGGGAATGAATTTGACTTTTCTTTATAACTGTTCCCAGTCGCCTGTTTTCTTCCCCTCCCCCTTTCCTTTTCTCGTCAAAACCTGTTTCAACTGTCAGGTGGCGGATTCTGTGAGGTGTATAATTACAGTACTCAAAAAATCTTTGAAACAGAGTATTAATTATATTGGAGTGTTTGAGAGGTGCTTATGTATTGTGGATTGCTGTCATAGTAGCACTCCATTCCTCTGAGCATTATTGCAAATCAGTGAGGTCTCTTCTCAGTTTGCTTTTGTACTGTTTTTCCCTCTCTCCCATTTGATGAGTATGTTTTAAACATGCCTCTCATGCTTTTTCTTCCTGTCAGAGCAGTAACTTGTAATCCAAAAACACACTCCATTAATTTGTTCATTAATGCAGTTTCCACCAGGTTTGTTGGGTGGAAGATGGATTAAGCACAAAATTTCCAAATATTGAGTTACACAGTATCTTTCTTAACTGTTTCACAACCAATCCCTTAAATTGGTCTATAATTCGAGCACCTATCATCTTTCTCGCAAAGCCTTGTAACTGATGGGTACAATTTGCTTGTTTAATTTAGAGCAGTCTCACCACACAACAAATTATTTTTGAAATTGTGATCAACACTGGTAAGCCCATAGATTTACAGACAAAATATTTTCAATAACGAACACTACAATCAACCTATATTAAAAGTGCAATATATAAAATAACTGGAATGGGTCAATTACTCTTCAAATAAACAAATCTTTACTTAATTTGAGACTTAGTTCATAGTCAATTGAAGCTCTCTTTGCTGCCCAGTAGATTAAGCCTTTTATGCAAACCTTGCCCATCAAATGGAGACTAATTTGATGGTGGCCAAGGCTTCAGATCCTAAGCCTTAACCTCCAGAACTCTCTCCTTCTGTCTTTAACTCCTGCCTCAAATTCAACCTCTTGGCCAACTCCCCATCTATCCTGCCTGGGTGTCCATCCCGTCCCAGCAAAGTATTCCAAAACGTTGCCCTACGTGAAGGGTTCTGTATAAATGCAAGTTGTTGTCATTTTCAGAACTCTGAAGAATATTCAAACAAGAGAAAGTGAAAACCCCCTCACTGTGCCAAAGACCTTAGCTGCCAAAAATATCTCCCCAAAGAGATCTTGAATGCAGTCGTATCATAGGAAAACATCAGACCGTACTGACTGCATATTCATAATTAACACAGGAGAACGGTGCAGTTGTTCCCACATACAATCAGCCGTCTCCCATTGCATATTTCTAGTTAGACAGGTAGGTAGCAGTCAATGCATACGTCTGTCCATTGGGTATGTGAAAATTAGTTTGGTATTGATCGTTTCAGGTTACTAGATATTTTACAAAGAAACCACCAAGTAGTTTGGACACATTAAGCTATAGATATGTGAATCAATGTGTCGGTGCTATTTCAAGCAGCCACAACATGAGCATCAATCATGGAATGTCTAACTGGTCACATTACAGCCCGCTCTTTATTAGTTTCTTGAGGCTGCTTTCTTTCTCAATCTCTAAATGTGTCATTAACCTGCCGCTCAGATAGAGAGTGATGGTGCCCTTCCCTTCAACTATTCACTTGACCTGGCATGACTCTCGTACCTATGTCCAAGCTGGCTTTTTCGGAGAGGAATCCCTGGGATTAAGACTGTCTATCTGTGCACAAAGCCTCCTTCAGCTCTTATGAATGCAACACAAGCTAGATGATTGTTTTCTGTGATTAGGGGTGCTGACTATGTTCAGATAAGAGCATGTCTGTGGCTGGATTGTGCAATTTGCAGATTCAACAAGTTCTACAAAATATGGAATTTTGAGAGGTATAATTACATTGGAGTTTAAGATAGGGTTAGTATCGAACTGTGGGTTTACTTTGTACAGCCTCAAAGGAAATATATATTGGCTCTTAAAGGAGAGGAAACTGAATGAGGAGATGTGGGGCCGAATATATTGTGACAGAATGTGGTTCTAAGTATTTCTGTCCGGTAGTTTTAGCTTTGAGACAAAGAAATGCAAGTTGTTGTTGTTGTCTTCTGTGAAGTCCTGCCATTGGAACTTTTCGACTTTTTGTTGGGTATTTCCAACTGATGCGCATTGCAGAATGCTCACCAAGAAAGTCCTGGTTTCTGGTCAGTTTCTTATCCCCTGAACAATGCTCACTTTAGCCATCTTGATCTGAGCTGCTGGTCAGTGTGTTTCAGCCTGGCGCAGTGGTGGCACTCGCCTCTGAATCAGAAGGTTGTGGGTTCAAGCTCCACGTTGGGACTTGGAATCACGTAGGCTAAGATGACACTCCAGTGCGATACTGGGGGTGTCTTGCATTGTTGGAGGTGCCGTCCTTCGGGTGAGACGTTAAACTGAGGTCCCATCTGCTTGTTCAGGTGGATGTTAAAGATCCCGTGGCACTTTTCGAAAAGAGATGTGAGTTTCTCTCTCCTGGTGTCCTGGCTCTCTGTGGGATTTTGCTGTGTTGTGCCACGTATGCCCACAAAATACACAGTCAATCCAGATTACAGTATATCCACTTTGAGACGTCTCGATGACATGATGAAGCAGTATCAAATGCAAAGAGTATTATTTTTATTATTATTGCAGATTGAGAAAGAAAGTACCCTCAAGAAATCTAAAAAATGGACAATAACAGGACCAGTTAGACGTTCTTGACTGATGCTCACATTGTGTATGGTTGAAATGGCTTTCATGCACTTATTTGTTAATTTCTCTGTGCCTAAAATTAGTTAATACTGAATTTTCCAAATTTAGGGATATCTCCGAGGCCATTGTGCGTAGAGAGAAAGAGAGATGTTGTTCTAATATTCCCTAAAGTCTCAAAAGCTGCCTCCGTGCATTGTTTCATGTTGTGTATTTCCTGTTTATTTTCTCTTAATAGTGATTGTTGGAACACTTTGTGTTTCTGTCTCCCTCCTGCAGCTGTCCCCTTCCCACCGGCTCACCACCTGACAGGTGAAGAGATCTTTGACACCGAAGGCAAGCCCAGAGTAGATGTTTTGAAAAGCCATTTAATAAAAGAAGGTCGCGTGGATGAGGAAATTGCACTTAGAATTATTAATGAAGGGGCTGAAGTCCTGCGGAGAGAGAATACCATGATAGAAGTTGAAGCACCGATAACAGGTAAGGGCAAAGCTTTTCTTTGTGCAAAGGAAACTTCTGAGCTTTACACTGACGTTGGGGTTAAGAGGATAAAGATATTCGATTCCTTTTCATTCAAACTTGAGGCTAAACCCAGCTGAAACCAAACTTGTTCAAAATAACACAAGCTGCTCCATTCATCCACAAAATACAGTCAATCCTCTTTACAGTATAACCTATGAAGCGCTTTGAGACATCTCAACGGCATGATGGTGTTACATCAAATAAAGGGACTATTATTATTATATGCGCCCAGTTATATTTCTTGGAATAGTGGCACATTGTTTGGAACGCAACGTTAGGTTCTAAAAATCAAGTCTTTTTTAACTAAAAACAAACTTCATAATTCATTCTTTAATCTAACTGGAGAAGCATACCCTGGGTACCTTTAGATAATGAAATTTGAAAAACATTTGTTTTAGTAGTCAGAAGAAACAAAAGGTTGCCTTGTTTTCCTGTGAGCAGCATTTGCTAGAACCTAAATTAAATCGAGTTAAATTATCAAAATTGTCAGTCCCAAGTTGGTGAAATCCATCAAGACACGTAATTAACTTTTCACTATTCATCATTCCCGCTGCAGTAATGGTTGTAACTCTTATTAACACTGCCTAAGGCTGGTTCGCTACATGTTGCATTTGTTATGGCCAACCCAAAGCTGTGGAAAATTGGTCAATGTGGCTATATTTCAAGAAGCTTAACATTTGGTGCAGTAAAACTTCATTTAGCCCAGGATAAATGTAGGCTGTGAACCAGAAGTCGAGGGTAAACTACATTTGCCATTTTTCTAATCTTTTTCTTTTTTCCCTCCCCCTAGTTGAGAAATTAGTCAACACGACAGATCATTGCACGGAGCTCCAGCGGAAGCCAGAAAGAGATCAGCTAGTTCAGCAGTCAGTTTCCAGTAACTGAATGATCAACTATTAGTAGAAGGCTTAGTATATTGAGTAGGTAGTGTAAGTATTATTATTAGTTGTTGTCTCATTCACATTTAGTATAGAGGTTGTGAAACAGCTGAATATTGAAGTGAGATACAATGCAGGTGTTCATGTTCCATTTCACTGCAGCTTTGGCTTTCCTGAGCCTTTCGTGTCAGTGAACAGACTAAGGCAAGGTTGATGTCCATAGATTTCCTCGGCTTCTTAAAGTGTTTCACAGAATATACTGTAAAGTGAATTGACTATGTTTTGTGGGCAAATCTAGCAGCCAATTGTGCACAACAGTGTCCGACAAACAGTCATGGATTGAGTGACCATTTTTTTTAAGGGATTGTTAACCCCAAATTCCTACAACCGGGTTCCTATTTACTGCTAGGTAAACAGAGGCAATGTGGAGTAAGGAAACTTGCCCAACATTTCACCCTGCCCGGGAATCAAACCCAGGTCCCCTTACTCGCAAATATTTCTTCATTTTAATCAGTCAAGCCTGCTAGTGTTATCATTGCCTTCTGGCAAGTCCATAAAATATAGAGCTTCACTGTATGTTTAAATGCCCAGGATAAAATTTGGGAGGGAAGGGGTGGCAGGCAACTACATTTTATAGGACACCATACTCTAGAAAATATTCAATTCAAACTACCACTAATAATCAGTATTGCCCCTGACTTGCAGAAATCTGCGGATTCAGAGAGAGTTGGAATCTGGTGCACTTTTATGGTGTACAGTGTATTTATAAAGTAGTCGCTGCTACTTTTAGATCTCTGCTGGCTTATTTTTGGTGCTCACACCTGTGAGACTGAGGGAAGTGTTTGGGGAAAACCAAGTCGTGTAACACTCTTCGTTTGGATTCTGGCTACAAGCTCCTCCCACAGAGGAATGGGTGCTTCCCCACAGCTTGCACTGTGTTTGGGTTAAGCGGGTGAGCGATCTGCTCCTGTGTCTCTGTGTGTTATTAAAGTATTCAAAGATTTTTGTGGGTGGGATCGACAGCAACTTGCATATATATAGCACCCCTCGTGCAGGATTGTGGCCCAGAGCACTTGACAGTGGCGGAGGTGACTGTAGACACAGTCAAAGAGGAAGGTCTTCAGGTGCGATCTGAAGATGGGGAAGGAAGGAGCAAGGCAGATGAATAGAGGAGAGTATTCCAGAGTGGGTGAAAGCGTGGCCACATTGATGGAATAGAGGGGACGAGGGACATACCAGTCATGCAACGGGTAGTAAGCAGGTTGGAGAGGTAAGGAGCTGCCAGGGTATGAAGGGGTTTGAAAACGAGTGTGAGAATCTTGAAATGGATCCATTTGGCGATAGGGAGCCAGTGGAGCCTGGATCATACAATGAACAAGAGCAAAGTGGCAACAGCTGAAGGCTGCAATTTTTCAAAATTTGAAGTTTGATTTAAATTTGATACAATTTTACAGGAAAGTATTACATTTAAGCATGATTCTCTGTCACTTTGTTTGAAGGGATTTCTAAATTTTCTCAGGCTTTTCTGCAAACCTTTTGCCTAATGTTAATTTCATATGTTTTTATTCGCAAAATAATTGTTGGAAGACTGAGTGGGCGTTACAGCGCAGCCTTTACTCAAGTGCTTCCATTTTGTTATGAGGTGAGGGTGAGCTGGGGGTGTGTTGCATTGTCAGGTGCCATCCTTCAGATAAGATATTAAATCAAGATCCTGGCTGCCTTTTTCAGGTGGATGTTAAAGTTCCCATGGCCGATATGAAAAGAGACGGGAGTTTCTTCCAGTGTCCTGGTCAACAAGCTTCCAAACTAAAATTGGTCATTCACTTCAGCCATGTTTATGGGACATTGCTGTGCGTAGTTGGGCTGGCGCATTTGCCTACAAATATATACAATCATGCCACAGTAAATCCTGTGAAGCGGTTTGAGACCTCCTCCAAAAGAAAGTTGCTGAACTACATGTAACAATTATTATTATCTATTATTGTAAAGTTAATGGATGCCTCTTATATTCTAGTGTGTGGTGACATCCATGGTCAATTCTTTGACCTGATGAAGCTTTTTGAAGTAGGAGGATCACCAGCCAACACCAGATATCTCTTCCTTGGAGATTACGTAGACCGAGGGTATTTCAGCATAGAGGTAAGAATTAAGCGCTTACCTGGGCTGGGGCGTAGAGGAAAAACTGATGAGTAGAGGGAAAAACTGTTAATGAAATGTCATTCCTGCTTGACTTTTCATATTCAGTGTGAGGTCTAATCTGGCGATTTCAAACACGGTTTGCGTTTTGATATTAGCGTAGCATTGCCGAGTGTTATTTTGTTGTACTGTAGTTCCAGCATTACGAATATCCAGCTTAACCATGTCGGAAAGTGAACTGTGCCCTCAGCAATCTTGTACAGCTATGGCTTCCCTGATGGTCTCATGGGTGAAGCTGGTGAAGCATTGGGTCATGCAGACCGCTAAATCACAGGTTTGAATCCCAGGCTCTGCTAAGTGAGCTGATCTCATCTGGGCCATCAGTTGGGGCGACTGTTGTCCTCTGTACTCTTGTGTTAGGGAAGGGAAAATCAGCTAAATATGCCTTTCCTGATCACTATCCAGGGTCTGACTTTACTTCTTGTTCCAGCATAAGCAGAGAACAAACAGAGAGCAAAGCTCATTCTTCTGTACGTAATTAGTACACTTGAGACTCTACCCATGTGAAGGATGCTAAATGCAAATTCTTGTTGTTGTATGTACACAAAAATCATAGAATGTTCCACCAGACAAATGGTCCATTTGTGCCATGTCCAGTCTGTACACATGCTTTCTCTACATGAGCCACCTACTCTAATCTCATTCTCCTGCTCGCTCCCTTATACTCTTTATTATGGCTCTTATTTAAGTATCCATCCGATTTTGATTTAAGAGAATCTAATTCAGTGTGGTTTGTGGCAGCAGATTCTGCATTCCATCCATGCTCTGAAGAAAATGCTTTCAACCTCCCCCTTTATTTCTCTATGCAATCATTGTTGTGTCACTTTGTTTCCATTGATCGGCAAGAGGACACAATCTGTGTGATTTGTTATTTCTTCTGCCACTCGTCCAGCTTCTCCAGTCACCTTCACGGACAATTAATGCTGAACTTTGGGCAATTTGTGTTGTGAATTCCTGCCTTCAACTGGGAGCCAACTTTGGATTGCTCTTTAATTGTTTTATTTGGCCCAGTTTTATGTCATTTCTGTTTCTCTGTCATTCCCAATGCTGCTTTCTAACTGGAAAGACCTTTTGCCTACACCCGAAAGTATTCTTCTTCCTTTTTAAAATCTTATATACCTCAATAACAGGGTGGTCCAATTGGCGGTCTGCGGGCCGATTTCATCCATCACTCACTCATCCATTTCATCTGGCCCACCCGTTCCGTCCATAATCTGTAAATGTTCTTATGTTTCTGGAAGAGAAACACAAAAATATTCCTTATGCTGCCCACGGACATTTCTCAAATAGGGCATCCAGCCCTCAAACAGCCAAAAGGTTAGATCACATACTTTATAAGATCCCCTGTGAGATGAGACCTATCAAGACTGAAGAACCCTCACTTGTCTAATCATTGTTGATAGTTCACCTAATCATTGCTCATAACTCGTAAGGTGAATGATTGAAAATAAACTTCTGCTGTACCTTACTAATGAATCTGATTTTTATCGATGATTTGCTGTTTTCTAATTCACATGTGTGTGAGAGATTAATAATTTTTTTTTAAAACAGTGTGTACTCTACTTGTGGGTTTTGAAGATTCTGTACCCAAATACGTTGTTCCTATTACGAGGGAATCACGAATGCAGACACCTTACAGAGTATTTCACGTTTAAACAAGAATGTAAGTAACGCCCTTCAGCTTGTATAACATTGAATATATCTTCACAATAAGGACAACAAAAGAGAATAGGAAAAACAGGAGCCATTGTTTTCGGAAAAATGGGTGTTGGGGATGTGGACAGGTGCACAGGCGATAAAAGAAGAAACTGGACAAACTAGACGTGTCCTGCTTACCTAATTCTGGAATGTATTAGGCGCAGGTTGGAAAGGCTTGAGGAACCCAGAGTGTGCGTTGGGGTAACTGCTGGAGTCTATCCAGCTAAAACCACATAGCATGCCATTGACAGCACTGCTTGGCAAGCTTTCCCACTGTTTGTCCAGCTAGGACTACCGTACCTGTTAGAACTTTGGCTTGCTGGGTTAATTGGAGCGAAGTGGAAAGAGTCCCTGCCCCCAGTGACTGATCTGCCCTTCCACGTCCTGCCGATGAGCCAGGCTGGCCAGGTGGTCTCGATTCCGCCATTTGGTTGCCAAACATTTCATCTTCGAGCCAGTTCAGCCCCTCTTCCCTCCCCCCACCTCACTAGTTGGTCATTTGATGGCCCACAAGCACAGGTTTGAACCCACATTAGGTGGATGGTGGGTACCAGGAGCTTCTTATAGTGTTCATAGTTGTTAACTACGTCAGCATAAATCGGTGCCCTGTGGTTACTGTGGACTGGGGTGACAGTCCAGTTCCGCAGTTATTATGAACGGGCCAAAAGTAACACTGTGATATATGCATGGGGTCTGTAATGTTTAATGAGCAGTCTCCGTAGCCCGGTCACAGAGACATACGATTATCTGGTAGAGATTCATCTTCATTGTGTGCTGCATCTAACAGTAAATGCTCAGATGATAGGTTTCTACTAAAACTCCAGGTTTGGCATTGCTCAGTTGACTCACCAGCTAACACGTTGCCCTCCCAATTATACGGTTGCAGATTCAGATTTCCGAAACCTTCGTCAGTCCAGTGCACTTGGCACAGTGCAAATCAGCCTTTTTGACTCTTGGTGCTGTCCTTGGAAAGTCTTGCAGTTGTAGAGTGTTCATAGTTGTGGGATGAAGTTCTTTCTCCACTTAGTGCAGTGCACATGCTATCAGCCACCAGACAAAACAGAGCCAACCAGACCCTACGGGGCAATGTTATAAGCAGTGTGTTTGGAGGAGGGGGGGAAGCTAAGGATCAAAGCACAAAGTATTAGTAAAAAATGAACATTGAACAGCCATGCATGGTTTATCTTTCAAGTAGTGAGTTTAATGCCAGCGTTTATCACCCAGGTAAAATCAAGTATTCTGAAAGAGTCTACGACGCCTGCATGGAAGCATTTGACTGCCTTCCCCTTGCTGCACTTCTCAACCAGCAGTTTCTGTGCGTGCACGGTGGCCTCTCACCCGAAGTTCATAACTTAGAAGACATTAAACGGGTAAGATCTTTAAATATTAAAGCTTGATTAATAAATGCTTTGAAATAGCAACTTTCTCAGGCGGGTGTGGAGGGGGAGGGGAATAGACTGTTTCTTTCAAAGTCCTTTCCTGAAAGTTGGGTTGATTTCAGAGCCTGTGAGGTACATTGCATGTTCCCTTCCCCACGATTGGTAAAATGCTGCCACAGAGCACAATTCTTCTATTTCCACCTACAAATCTGATACTTCCATCATCCCATAGGGGTTGCGAGCAACACCTTGTATAGTCGAGTGAGCTCACCTTCTGGTGTATGGAAGACCTTGTTCTGGGCAATGTCTGTTGTTTCTTTCTCTCATGTCAGCAGCAGTTTGCTCTTGTCGCCCACACACCAAACGTTCACAGTTTATATACCACTTTATTTTGTCATCCAAGCTGACTCACTGCAGCCTTGAGTGTAGCAAGGTTTGGTTTGAGTCTCTGCCAACTTTCTACAGCTTTTCTTTGCTTGTGTGGTGCTGGTTACTCACCAACGCCAACTCAAATAGAGACAGACCCTTCACTATCTGGCGTATCTGCTCAATCACTGTGGTCACCACCCAATGTCAGAACCTGGGAGAATACATACTCCTGTGCTCCGCACCATTGTCCCATGTAGTTACGTAGCGTTCAAAACTATGCAAGTTTTGACGTGCTTGTATAACTTGTTGCAAGTTGATTTTGGCAACAAAAAAGTTGAACGCTCCCACATTTCTCCCAAGTTTGCTGAATCAGAACGACAGGAATTACATTGCCTCGCTCCTGCCTGGATCAAGGAGCGCAAAATCAGCCAAAATGTCTTCTATTCAGCAACCCCTATTGGAGGTGCATGTGTGGACATTGGCTTTGGGCAGGATGAAAATCTGAATCAGCTCAGAAGCTCCTGAACCTGGCCACATGAATACAATTTTGCAGCATGGAAAGAGGTCATTTGGACCTTCGTCCCAGTGTCGCCTCTCAGAAAGAGCTCTCCTTTTCAGCCCCAACCCCCTGCCCATTTGTTTTCATTTTTTTAAATGTTTGTCTAGTTCCCTGTTACTTACTGTCCAAGTCATCAGCTAATGCAGGAGCAACAACCAAAGTACTAGAGGGTTTATAGTACTGTGCGTTACATTACAGAGAGGAATAATTGTGAGGTTTGGGGGGGGAAGGGGAGAGAGAAGAGAAGTATTCTCAAGATCAAAGCTGTGTCAATCAAGGCTCATTCTCCTTCTGCGAGTGTAGTGGGGGGAGCCTTAGAGACTGAACTTCCTACAGCATTAGCCCAACCTTTGGAATTGGCACAGATCTGGTGTCAGACTGATGCATCCTGTCTGGGAATGGCTCTCATCACCCACACTTCAGCGACGGTTTAACAGGCAGTTTGGGTCCAGTCCAGTTGTGTGCTGGCTGACTTTGCTGATCCAGTGCTCTGGTATTGTGATGCTCCAAGCTGCCTTTAGCATCGAGTCCCAGAGCTTTCCACCTCTGTTAGTGTTTGTTACTTATTTGTACACAAAAGTTAAATGAATAAGGATTATGCTTTGATTAACTATAGGTACAGTCTTCCTCATTCTGTGAATACAGTTCAAGCTCCACTTAAACTCTCTGCCTACTTTTTTTTTACTTATTTGTATAGCCAGAGCCTCTTGGGGGTCTTGTGCTTTTTCTCTGGCTTTGAAAAGAACAAATTTATGAAGCAGGCATTTTATATGGGCAGGTGAGAAGGTGTGGTGATGGGGAAATTGGCTTCTTTGTGTAAGTCATACAGCACTGAACTCTTAAAGATACTGCCCCATCTACCAGTTTATTGGTGTGGAGGTCAAACAAGATTGAAAGAATGATGAAGGCTGTACCCACAATATTCTACTGTAACCATAAATTCCTCTGTTCTGTACCGGAGACACTACTGTGCAAGCTATTATTGCTGTTCTTTTCAGGCCATTTTGTTAATAGTTTACAATAATGCCTCCAAGTCTTCAAATAACTGCTGATGTTTTACAATAATGAGAGTTGTGCGCTTTAAATCCTATTAAGCCTTTTTTGACATGTCCCTAACAGTTAGATAGGTTTAAAGAGCCACCTGCATTTGGGCCAATGTGTGACTTGTTGTGGTCAGATCCTTCAGAGGATTTTGGAAATGAAAAAACCCAGGAACACTTCAGCCATAACACTGTCCGCGGGTGCTCCTACTTCTACAGGTGGGCAACTCCACAGCCTGATTACATTTAATGCTTTTCAATATTACTTTCCTGTGCCTGAGACAGACTTTAATTGGACACTGTTCTTTGTTTCAGCTACCCAGCTATTTGTGAATTTTTGCAAAATAATAATTTGTTATCGATAATTCGAGCACACGAGGCGCAGGATGCAGGGTAAGACTGACATCACATTCTGAGATCACATTTCACAGTAACTCGGCACTGGGCGTACTGTAAACTGGATGTAAAATCGGGTTCCAGAGGTAAATTTTCCTCTTCTACGTGCTCCCCCTCGGCATCCGCAAATTTTCTTTTCGGACAGATTTGCCCTGCCCAGGAATCGAACACCGGTTCTTTGCTTTGCAATATATCTTATCAATTTACAGCACAGAAGAAGGTCATACAACCTATTATGCCTGTGCTGGCCCTCTGAAAGAGCTACCTGTTTCATCCTATTTTTAATTTTCCTCCCTCTCCCTTTTAATTTTCAGCTTTTTAGATATCGAACTACCTCTTAAAAGCTAATGGTGATTCTGCCTGAAACGCGGTTCTAGGTTGGACATTCCATGTCCTAAGAATCGTGATTTTTTAAAAAAAAATTCCTTTTGCTCTTTTGGTAATTACCTTAAATCTCTACCCTCCAGTTACTGACTCACTGACTGATGGAAATAATTTCCCCCTCACTGTTTCAAAACCCATTTACATTTTAAAGCCTATCCGGTCTCCTTTCAATGGTATGTTCTGGGGAAAAATGCATCAGTTATAGTAATAATAATCCTTGCATTTGATATAGTGCCTTTTCTCATTGAGACGTCTCAAAGCACTTCACGGAATTATACAGTGAATTGACTGTATATTTTGTGGGCGAAACACGGCAATTGCGCACAGCAGTCAGTATCCCACAAACAGTTGTGGATTGAGTGACCAAATTTTTTTTATAAATGTATTTTTGTGAAGTAAATCCTGGAAACCGATCCACCAATTGACTAACAACCGGGTTCCTACTTGCTGCTAGGTAAACAGAGACGTGTGGAGTTAGGTTTTACTCCGCCTGGGATTCAAATCCAGGTCCTCCCACTTGTGAGGCAATTGCTCCAATCCACTGAGCTGCAGAACTCCACCAGTTTCTCCACTTTCTTGGACTTCTTGAACTTTTGGTCAAATAGTAAAGGGGAATTCATTTCGAAAATCCTTCCAAGGATAAACTATTTGGAGCACGTTTCTTACTTTTCATTCATAAACCTAGGAATGTGCAGGCCTGGATAAAACCATTTTAGTCCTTCCAGAGGGTCTTCTTTTCATGCAATATCTCTCAATTTCAAATAGTCCTCAATCCACCTTCACAATCAAAAAATCCATTCCCTCTTCAAACTGCCCACACTCTCCACCTCCACTCTCCCTGAGCAGCCATTCCCCATGCTAATGCACTCTGTGTGAAGTACTTCAATCTGAGCTGTTCAGCTTCCCTCGTCTGAGTTTGAGTGGATACATTATGTGGCTTTTGCATATTTGAAAATGTTGTTCAGATTAACTCTTTAACCTGCTGCCTACAGTCATTACTTTAGATGAAGACGAGACATTAAATCTGTTGTGTTGAATCATCTCCCTGTTGACTATGATGCAGCGGTGAGAGGGTCTGCAGCACGACACTACTGTGAGGCTGCAAGTTGTGCTGTTTTCTCTCATTGTATCCTTTCTGACCTTGTGTTTCTGTCAGTTCTGTAGAGTCCTGTAGTGTAGTGGTTGGCATGCTCGCTTCCCATGCGAGAGGACCCGAGTTTGAATCCCGGGCAGGGTGGGATTGTGGGATCAATCCAAGTGTCGGGACTTTGAGCGCGGTCCTGAGGGAGCATTACATTATCAAACCTTAGGCAAGTTTCCTTACCCCACACACCTCTGTTTATCTAGCAGTAAGTAGGAACTTGGGTATTAGTTGATAGTGGATCGCTTTTTGGGTGTAACAATCCTTGAAAAAAAATTGGTCATTCAATTCACGACTGTTTATGGGACACTGCTATGCGCAATTGGCTGCCACATTTTGCCCACAAAATACACATCAATTCACTTTCCAATATATTCTGAGGGTTTGATCCATGATTTCTGGGTGTTCTCCAGTCCCTTGCCCAAAGAGACACGATCATTATTTGAACCTTGAGCTTGTTTAACCGGGAAGGGGTGCTCACACCGCACACACACGCACCTCTCAGCCGGAATCACTGAATAGTGTTGAGATGTGACAAGCGTGGCAGGTTTTCCCCCTCCTTGTTTAGTAATGGAAAGATTTGTGTTAGCCTAGCCCAGTCTCTCGTCTCTGAGTCAGAAGATTGTGGGATCAAGCCAAATGATGGGACTTTGAGCTCACATCGTCTAGGCTGATTCTCCATCGCAGTACTGAGGGAGCATTACATTATCAACTTTATGCCGTCCTTTGAATGAGATATTAAACTAAGGTCCTGTCTGTTTATTCAAGAAGAAGTTAAAGACAATGTTCAAAAAGAGGAGGGAGTTTCTCCCAGTCTCCTGAACAACAATCCCCCAGATAAGATTGGTCATTCAGTTCATGGCTGTTAGTGGAGGATCACAGTGCGTAAATTGAGTTGCTGTATTCACTTACAAAGCGCACAATTGCTACACTTTATGACATACAGTACACTGAAACTCAGACATTCTTCTGATGTGAAAGGCTATATCAAATGTAAGCATTATAATTGTTGCCCTTCCATCATCATTCCCACTGAGATCTGCTGATTTAGCACAGACCAGTAATCAAACTTGGGACCTTTCTGGTCTTCACTAGTCACTCACATCCTTATTGGTCAGAAGATTGAGGATTTAAGGCCCAAATTGGGCCTTGAGTTAACTGAGTAGTAGTTCAGACACTGAGGCATAGTACTGGGGAAATGCTATATTTTCTGCTGAGACGTCCTGACTGCCTGTTCAGGTGGATGTAAAAGTTTCTGTGGCACTATTCGATGAGAGAAACATCGTCCTTTTTCATGGCGCCCTGGCCAATAATCCCCCAGATAAATTGGGTTTTCACTTCATGGCTCTTTGTGGGAAATTGCTGTGTGCAAATGGGCTATTGCATTTGCCTACAAAATACAGTCACTATAATTGACAGCTAGTACTTGTGAAGTGCTCTTGAGACATTTCAACATTATAAGTGCTACAACAAATCCAAGCGCAATTATTATCCTTGAATGCTGTCTACTAGCTAGCATCAGGAAGAATCTAAAATAAACTCAAATTTGAGATAAATATCTTACAGTTTCAGTGTACATTGTATTTATGTTCACCCGCCCGCCCCATGTCCCTCTTTGTTTTGCCTCATCCCACACCCCTGTTATGAGCAGTAAGTTAGTTCTGCAGCCCACAGGCAAGTTCTGCCACGTGTAAACCTTGAAATACAGTATGGGGAAGTAAGTGATATAGAATACTACACCCAAGAATATAACCAGCACTAATCTGTTGCTGCATGCTCTATTGTTTATGCAAAGCACAGAACCCATATAGTATGAAGGAGCAGATGAGCAGCACCAGCCATGGTAACCTGACGCTATCCTATCCCTAGTTTCATTCTGCAGCATTCAGCCATCACACTTCACATCCTTTGCTGTTCTCCTTGGTGTGAATGATTACAGTAAATGCAAAAGCAGAAATTTAATTTAAAAACTTTCATTAAAGTCTAAAGAATGTATAGTCCCAGCGGGCAGAGAAACTTTGAGAAAGTCCAAAGGGAGAAAATAAAACCAATTTGAGTAAAAAATATCTCAGGAACTTTTTGAGTTCAATATAACTATAATTAACAATAATCCTTGCATTTGCCTAACATTGGTAGAACATCTCAAAGTGCTTCAGGATTTCCTGTAAAGTGCAGTGATTGAATATTTTGTTCGCGAGCATGGCAGCTAATCTGCGCACGGCAGTGATTAGGAGGGGAGAATTTATACCCAGATTTGTCTTTTTTTCTATAAAGTAGTTATGGACTATCTGGTCCTATAATAATATTAATAATACTTGCATTTGATAAGCGCCTTATCACGTCATTGAGACATCTCAAAGCGCTTCATAGAATATACTGTAAAGTAGAATGACTATTTTGGGGGTGAAACATGGCAGCCAATTGTGCACCTTCCTTTTGCTTCCAGATGCATCTGAATTTTACAGAGGAGCTGAGGATGTGGAGGAGGAATTTAACTTAGATGTCATGACTACAAATGGAATTGACAAAATAAACCAAACAACAATTTCCTTTAGTCTGACAAACAACATTAACACAAAAGGGTGTGGAGTCCGGTAGAGTAGTGATTAGCGCACTCACCTCCCAAATGAGAGAATCTGGGTTCAATTCCTGGGTAGGGCAAAACTGTGGGAAAGTTTCCTTACTCTACACACCTCTGTTTACCTAGCAGGAAGTAGGAATCCAGTTGTTAATCGATTGGCAGATTGCTTTCCGGGGGTAATAATCCTCCTCCAAAAAAAAAATGTCACTCAATCCACGACTGGTTGTAAGACACTGTTATGCGCATTTTGCTGTCACGTTTTCCGCCCAAAATACACAGTCAATCCACTTTATGTCTCAACAAAGTCATAAGGCGCTATATCAAATGCAAGGATTATTATTAGGACTCTGGGTACAATGGTTTACGTCTTGCAAATGCACCTCCAGCAAGTCCAGCCAGTAATGTGAAGGGCTTTGAGACGTCCTGACATAAAAAGCGCTATGTAAATGCAGATTGTATTGTATAAGGCATAGATGCAGAATTGATTGGGTAGTTCAAGGAGACGGGTAATGGCCACATATCTGGGAATTATGAATATTAAGGGCTATGGACAGAAGGCACAGAAGGGAGATTTGGGATATGGTGTCCAGGAGTGGTCTGTGGTGAAGAGAGCTCAGTGACCAACTGACATCTCATTATTGAGCTATTTTGGTAAAAGGACACAAAAGTCCTGAGCCGACTTGCCTCATGTCACTGTGTCTTGTGTGGGTGTATTGATTGCTTGCAGTTGGCCACACAGTGACGGGCCTGGCTGATTGCGTTGTGATTTATGTTAAACCTCGGGCTGCTTTTACTATTGATTCCGAGGCCGTGGGTGATTTAGTTGAGAAGTAATTGCTTTTCACATTTTTTGTCTCTGCAGCTATAGAATGTACAGGAAAAGTCAAACCACAGGCTTCCCGTCTTTAATTACAATTTTTTCTGCACCTAACTATTTAGATGTCTACAATAATAAAGGTAAGTTAACTTTCTTTTAACCTTTCTTTTATTCTTTTACTACTTTACTGTACAAATTCCATTTCCCTGTGAAGTCCTGCAGCATATTGGTTAGAGCACTCGTCTCGCAGACGAGAGGACTTGGGTTTGATTCCTGGGTGAGGCGAAACCTTAGGCCAGTTTTCTTACTCCACACACCTCTGCTTACCTCACAGTAAGTTCGATCCCGGTTATTAGTTGATTGCCAGATTGCTTTCTGGAGGTAATTCCTTTTTTACATTAAAAAAGTCACTCAATCCACGACTGTTTATGGGACACTGCTGCTGCGTTTCGACCACAAAATGCACTGTCAATTCACTTTACAGTATATTCTGTGAAGAGCTTTGAGATGTTTCAATGACGTGATAAGGCGCTATATCAAATGCAAGGATTATTATTATAAGTGAGCTGTTTTTCCCAGAACATAGCCGATTGAAAGGAACTGGATAGGATTTTAAAATATAAATGGGCTTTGATTATTTGATATTACAATTATTTCAATTGTATATTCCATCAGTAAGGAATTATTTCCATCAGTAAGGATTATTATTCCCCCCCTTCCTTTCTCTTAAGGCATTTTGTGAACTTTCATTTTAATGCCAAGCGTTTAATACCATCTTTGTTATCTGGTAGTTTAATCATCGGTGTCCGATTTTCCTTAATCTCTCTCTTCCCTCACATGAGGATTTTAAGCATGTACTTAGAATGTAGATAACAAGGTAGTTAGTATTCCAGAGGGATTTTCTGCATTTAGGTTTCACACATTTTACTTTAGAAGCAGAATTCCATAAATGGTAGAGGTTCTGAACGTAGAAGTTCAAATCTAGGGGAATTCTATGATTTAAGCGGCTCCATTCTGCCTTTCAGTCTAATCTGTTTTCAAGTAAATGCAAGGTTACCCTCCACCCCTCCTGATCCCAACCCACAGCTCGGGTGCAAATCCTTGTATCCAGGGCTTTGGGATGTCCTCCCGATACGTTGTGCAAATGTATTTTGTTGTTGTTTTGGTCCTGGCCAACAATCCCCCAGATAAAATTGGTCACTTACTCCATGGCTGTTTGTGGGCCATTGACGTGCACAAAGTGGTTGCTGCATTCATCTAAAAAAGTTATAGTCTCCGCACAGTAAATACTGAGAAGCGTTTTAAAATGTTTCCATGATATGGTAAAGCATGTAGTTATTCTTTTTAACACTGGGAATTGAATTTTCTCTCTCTCTTCAGCTGCTGTGTTGAAATATGAGAACAATGTGATGAATATTCGGCAGTTTAATTGCTCTCCACACCCCTACTGGTTACCCAACTTCATGGATGTTTTCACGTGGTCACTGCCGTTTGTCGGAGAAAAAGGTAGAGCAATGTACACAAAAATCACCCAAAGTGAATGCAAAACACCCAAACTAGATGTGGACTCGTAGGGTAGTAATTAGCGGGCTCGCCTTACATGCGCATTCGATTCCTGGGCAGGGCGAAACCTTAATCCTTACTCCATACGCCTCTGTTTACCTAGCAGTAAGTAGGAACTTGCTCATTAGTGGATTGGAAGATCGCTTTCCGGGGTAATAATACCATTTTTAAATAAAACTGTGGAGCACAGGTGTCCACACACCTCTGCTTACCTCACAGTAAGTTCGATCCCGGTTATTAGTTGATTGCCAGATTGCTTTCTGGAGGTAATTCCTTTTTTACATTAAAAAAGTCACTCAATCCACGACTGTTTATGGGACACAGCTGCCGCGTTTCGGACACAAAATACAGTCAATCCACTTTACAATATATTCTTATCAAGTGCTTTGATATGTCTCAATGGCACGCTAAGGTGCTTTATCAAATACAAGGATTATTATTATTAACCTTTGGTTTGCATTGTACAGTTACAGAGATGCTGGTTAACGTCCTCAATATCTGCTCGGACGACGAGCTAATGTCTGAGGGAGAAGATGCCTTTGATGGTAAGAGCGATTTTACAGCTAATCCTTTTGTTGATGTGATTCCTGGTTTGGAGGCTGTAAGGTTCTGGGAACTTGGGAATATAAACTGAGCACAATCATTTCATGCCAACCTTTTGTTTTCACTGTCAACACATTAAGCTTCTGGCTTCCAACAGGGGATGCAATTCCAGCTCCCTTCAACAACAACAACAACAACAAAATTACATTTATACATTCATGATTCTGAATACAAAGTATTATCTGAACCTGAATATTCCTGGAGGGAGGGAGTGATGGGAAGAAAATAGCCACATTACGCACCCAAATGGGTTCACACTTGAGTCCCATAGTTACAAGGTGCAGGAGATGAACCATATGGTGGGTACTGCACATTGTCCAGGATGGGTTTTGTGACATCCTCCCGACATGAAAAGCGCTCTATAAATGTAATTTTGTTGTTGTTGTTGATGGGTTAGATGATCCTCCCCTTTCAACAGCCCCATCTGTCAATCAGATAGAGGGAGAATCTGGGCTGAGCTGTGGGAGAGGAGGCTCAATGTGAGCAGCAGCCATCCTGGGCAACCAACAGCCATCCTGGGCCATCAGCATTCAGCAGCCTGTAGAGGGTTGGCAATACTACCTCCACTGGCTGGTTGGTTGCATTGCCTTTCGCTCAGCACTTCTGCAGGTAACAAAAATAATAATAATAATAGTCTTTACATTCGATACAGCGCCTTTCATGTCGGGAGGATATCCCAAAGCGCTCACAGGATATATTGTAAAGTGTAGTGACTGTTTTATGCGCCAACACAAAATACAAGCCATACAGTTTTTTTTAAAACTTCACAATTTTGGTAACGTTGATAATGCGGCATTTTCAGCCCAGGTTTCACACTTGAGTTTTTAAGTGCAGTATGTGTTGAGTCTAGAGCCTCTGTCAGCCTCACTCGACTCCCAAGTTGTGATTTGAATTTTTTTCACTCCTGAACCCAGGGTAATGATTAATGTGTGGGATACAGTGCCCTGGTACCAACAGCCCTCCCATGTCATACCTAAATCATACCCAAGAGTGAGTGTCTGCAGGCTTGATAATGGGTTAGTGCATGTGGGATCACATCTGTGCCTTATCAACCACAATCTATACGCTCTTCCTGGCAGGACCTGTCCTACATCTGTAAGAAACTATAGTTTGACTGCTTTTTAAGTAGTTTCTAGGGGCTGTGATTTCTGCAATAGGTTTTAAATTGTGGTTTGTATCCCAGGGAGAGAAATGAACTTGCTAAACACTGAAAGGTTCTTCCAATAGTTTTCTCTTTAAAGTGCAGATCTGTCCCCTCACTGCACTCAATATAAGCTAGAAGGTCAATTGCCTGCCCTGTGCTGAGTTACTGACTTCAATCCGAGCAATTGTCAGGACTGCATTTCGTTTCCATGTCTCTGGGTAGGGGAGGGGTCATCATCCAGGGTTCTTCCTACCCCCACATCACTATCCAGGATTGATCACCCGAATCCCCCCAAACGTTTCATATAATGTGTTTGAACTGGAGATAGATGTAGGTTCTGCAGGCGTTCTCCCAGTATCACGCCCAGCCTAAATGTATAAGACTTGCTGTAAATTTAAACAGCCAACCGACCATAAAATACAAAGATCTCCTGAAAAATATTCTGGAAGCTGCTGGCACAAGGTAAATTAAAGCAGGGCCATTGACAAAGATTATATTGTCGCGTCTTGGTGGCAGTAATTCCTTTGCATCGAAAGGCTTTACTTGCAGTTTCTTTTCTTCCATCGACTATCATCTTCATCCTTGACTTCACATCCTCACTGCTCCTAATTCTTGCACGTTTGCGGTGATCGTACTATGGTAGCTAATTACCTTTCATGAGTGCTGTAACATCTTGTCCCATCTTTCTATAATATCCATGTTCCTAACTAAAATGTGGCCCTCCTTTTAAGAGGGGTGCGAATAATTTTTATTACAACGCACTTTCTTTGAACAGTAAATGACTAGGAAGAATTTGTGGAGAAAAGACATGCTGATCATGAATATTCTTCCATTTTCAATCAGTAAATATCTTCGCTGAATTTAATCTTTTGTCTATGTATCTAATTCTTCATGTTTTGTCTTTTTGGGGGCATTCATTCCGAGTTACACTTCCAAAATAAATTATTTAATTTTGTTTGTCTGCATTCGCCTGTTCTCTCCACCATTCCACTTCCTTTGCTGGATTCTCCATCTGAAGAACGACTCATTTATGGCAATAGAAAAGGTACAGACCAGACAGAGTTCGACTGTTCTGAAATATGACTTCCTAAGGCAATGTGGCCAACAAGATTTTAGTGTGTCAGTTTCTTAAAAATAATCCCAACATTGGTGGAATCGTGAATTCAGATTTCGCGATGTATCAGTCATATTTCTTAACATCTGTCTTTCTGTGCATGCAATTTTCCTCCTTTCTTCCTCCTTCCTGCCTCTTTATTAACACTGTTACTTTCGAGCCATTTATTGCTGTACTAAATCCCCCCTTTGGATCAGCTTCTGTCAAAAGTAAGTTGCATGAATTGAGACAGTGTTTGTTTGTGGTCCTCATTTGATTGGTGTCAGGTTTCCGTCTCTTTTCCCTGCCCCGTCCCCAGTGTTTCAGTGACTGAAATAGTTTTTGCATGTGATTGGGTAGAGGTGCAAAAATCTGTTTTAATTTGCAATGCAGCATCAGATCTAGCAGTTACGTATAAGAATAGTGGATTGTCAGCTCTCGGACTGGCTCAACAGTACTGTAATGACATTGTGTTGTAGATGATTAGATCTCCAGTTGCCTGCTCAACTGTAGGGTGTGCTCTGATGACCACTAAGGTTTAAGATTTATCTGACTGTAATTTTAAGTTTACCTACAGGATTGTTGTATACTAATCTCATACCCACGATGACTGTGTAACTAATATTCCCAAGTAAAGGGATGAATAAGCATCCAGTCTTGACAATGACATTCATGCTTGACTGATCTGTGGGGGGAATGGAATAAGAAAGATATCTCCACCTGCACCTGTTCATGAAATACTGTAGAATTGCAAGGTCTTACTACAGCCCTTGTCTGACTGGGCCCTGTTCAAAGCAATGTTTCCTTGCGCCTGGAATGGAATGCGCATTCTCTCCCTGGAGAGGCAAATCCTGTTTACCTAATTCCAGTAAGTAATAGGCACAGGTTGTCAAGAGTCAAGGCTTGGGGACCCCAGAGTGTGTGTTGTGATAACTGCTGGAGTCTAATCAGATAAAACTACGTAGCTTACCATTGAGAGCAATACCTGTGAAGCGTTCCTGCTGTTTGTCCAGCTAGGACCACTTTACCCATTAGGGCTTTGGCTTTCAGGGATAACAGGATCTGAGTGGGAGGATTCCTTCCCGCTAGTGACTGGTCTGCCCTTCCAAGCCCTGCTGATGAGCCAGGCTGGTTGTACTGTCATCAGCAGTGCCCTTGAATACCACAGAACTCGCCTGACTTAGGAACTGGACTACCGAGACCGCCACTGAGTGGGGGCTCAATTCCGACATTCCGTTGCAAAACATGTCACCTTCCAGTTAGTTCAGCTCCAAGCAGACCCCAGTTGCTTCTCCCCCCACCCCACCCCGAGGATAGTCATTAACCCGACAAGTGTGGGTTTGAGCCCCCACTAGGTGCATGGTAGGTACCAGGAACTCCCTGCAAGCTTACTGGTAAAATACGTGAGCATTGCCATCTTCCTGTCCAAAGCTCGGGCACACATCCCGTCCCACTGAGCGATGGTTCCACCAGTTGGAGGTGCGGAGCTTGAGCAGCAGCTGCTGACCTCTCTACAGGCCACTCAAGGTGGATTCCCTGGTGCTGGAAATACAAACGTGTGTTCACAAATGCTTAGCGGCATGTGCACCTTATGCTGAATATTTAGCTAAGCCGTCGACTCACAGTTGAATGGTACAAACCAATGGTGCAAAAGTTTGTGGAGTCAGCACGGGGCACAGCATGGGAGATGGGTGTCCTCGTACATCCTCACACGCCTAATGACAGTTAAATTACAGCTTTTAGCCACTATGGACCCTAACACCACCTGCATGATTAGACCTTGACAATTCAGCTGCTTTTAGAATGACATGCCCTGTGTCCTTGTCTCTCTGTGTCTCTTTCTCTGTCTTTTCTTTCTGTGAACTATGGTTACAATTCCACCTCTTATTGCCTTCAAAAAGCACATCTCTGTATGAGCTGAACTGTAAATGTTTTGATGAAAGGTGAACCAGGTGTACTTTCTTTTGCAAGTATAAATTGTACTAGTCTCCAAACCTGCACAGATACTTTCTTTACAGCATAATGTCACGGTGTGAAGAGGTAAGTATGACTGAAATATACTTGAAGTCATTTTGATTTAATTTGGAAATAAATGCAGAAACTTGGGGACATCAGATAATAATAATCCTTGCATTTGATATAGCGCCTTATCACGTCTTCTAGACGTCTCAAAGCGCTTCACAGAATATACTGTAAAGCGTAGAGACTGTATTTTGTGGGTGAAGTGCAGCAGACAATTGTACAGAGCAGTGTCCCACAAACAGTCATGGATTAAGTGACCAAATTAATTTTTTAATTCATTTATTTTTTGAAAGGATTATAACCCCCTGAAAAGTGATCCGCCAATCGACTAACAGCCGGGTTCCTACTTACTGCTAGGTAAACAGGCGTGTGGAGTAAGGAAACTTGCCCAACATTTCGCCCTGCCTAAGCATCAAACCCAGGTCCTCTCACTTGCAAGGCAAGTGCTTTAACCATTAAGTTACAGGACTCCACATGGCTTCTCATCAAATAGCCAGTAAAATTGGGTCAGATTTTACCTCCAGTACTGTCTGATTGAAAACTATCTGTTACCAGCAGTGTGTGTCCTCATGTAGCTGTGTGTGAGCGCGGGGATGTCGTGTGGGATCGCAGTTACTGAGCTTGCGACGTTCTGTTTGAAAGCAGGCACAGCAGCGGCTCGCAAGGAAATCATCAGGAACAAGATCCGAGCTATCGGCAAAATGGCCCGAGTCTTCTCAGTGCTCAGGTAGGTCTTTCTGTTCCTGTATATCGGTCGGTGTGTGAATGTCTTTTCTGGGGCTATCATTTTACTGTGGTACATTTGGAATGAAATTGCTCTGTTAATCACAGTAAAAAGACAAGGAAATCAGAATAAAACTCCCAGATCTGTTTTGTTTGCTGTGGGTTTGCATATCTGGATCCTGACTTTGAGTACTAGACCATTCCCACTTACGGTTGGATGCGTTTGGTACAGAGGAAAACTGATGGGGAAATTTTGTAGCACTGTCAGCTGTCACACAATCACTATAGTGTATTGCACTTTGTAGAGGAAAGGGAGGTGGGGGAGATGAGTGTTAGTGAGGGATAGAGAGAAAGCTAAAAGACCAGATAGAATACCCAGGGAATAGATGGATATACAAAATGAGTGACTGATTGTGTGACAGGGAAGAGAAATAGGGAAGTGAATGAAACCCAATTTGAACATAAAATGACTGAATAACAAGAGACTAATAGTAATGACAGAGCGAGAAACCCTTTCCCCATTGGCGGTAGAGAGAAAGAGATGCGTTGAGCTGGCTCCAAGATGACGTATCGGAATGTCAGAATTGAGCCAGCCCTCTGTGATGGTCTTGGTAGTCCGGTTGCTGAGTCAGGCAGGTCCGCAGTACTCCAGAGCACTGGTGACAATAGCACAGTCAACCTGGCTCATTGGCAGGACTACTTGGAAGGGCAGACCAGTCACTCCCATTCAGCTCCTGTTAACCTGAAAAGCCAAAGACCTAACGAGTAGGGTGGTCCTAGCTGGACAAACAGCAGGAAAGTTTGCCAGACAGTGCTCTCAATGGCAAGCTATGCAGTTTTAGCTGGTTAGACTCCAGCAGTTACCGCAACACACACCCTGGGGTCCCCAACCCTTGGTTCTTACCTACCTGCGCCTAATACTTTCTGGAATTAGGCAAGCGCTCCAGGGAGAGATTGCGCATTCAATTCCAATAAGTATCTCTGGAATTTCCACGTGTAGGTAGGATGCATGGAACTCTGGCTTGGATACACTAAAGCTTGGTGAAGGATCAGACACACGGCTACCCCAAAATAATCCATCAACACAGATGCTGGTGCTACCTCCTCCGATAGAGCTATCTCCTATTTCCAATTCCTAGCTCTCTTCCTCTGTGTTGGGCGTCTGACAGTGGGGAGTTTCATTTCATCCCCTCCCTTGTTGTACAATAATTCTAAACCCTGCTTCGCTATGTTCGATGTTTTCAGAGAAGAGAGTGAGAGCGTGCTGATGCTGAAGGGCTTGACTCCCACTGGGATGCTGCCTAGCGGAGTGCTGGCTGGAGGACGGCAGACCCTGCAAAGTGGTAATGATGCATTGCCTCTTCCTGTGCCTCAGATGGAATGGGGCACTTCTCACTGTTTCAATGGCACTACACGTAATGCATGTCCCGATTTCTTGATGCTTTTTAGTTCCTGTCTCAGTGGCTGATGCAATGTTATATGCAAACTCCAGCAACTTGTACTGCATGCTAACCAGGGTACGTACATGTGATAGCAAAGTGTTAGTCACCTTGGCGGGTAGCAGTCCATTTTATTTTTCATGACTTTTTAGACAGTTAGATCTTTGGTTGTGCCTTGAACGTCAAGTATTGACTTTTCTAACCAGATTTGTTTAATGCTCGTCTCTGTTATATATTTTTAATTGAATCTGGTAGTTCTGTGCACCATGACACTTAACAGCAGTGGCTGAAAGGTCAGTCTACACGTGTGTGTGGAATGATATGCTTCCATTGCCCGTGACTGTGTAATGCCTCCTCTTGCTGTTTAGCCTAGTTTTTAAGTTTTTCACCTCTGCTTGGTGACTTTTCGCATTTTATTTTGGCCTTGGTTGAGGGTGGAAGGAAAAGAGGACACACAAAAAGGGAAGGTGACTAAGATGCTTTAGTAAAGTGGTGCTGTCACTTGTACCCCGGTGAAATGATGGCCACATACATATGTGTGTGTCCTATGTTCATGTCCTATGTTCCTGTGTATCTATCACTGACTTCACTGAAATGTGCTCAAACTTTGTAACCTGCCTTTTCTTCCTCTTCTGATCTAGCAGTGCTCTACATCTGTCTGTCTTGTTGTTTGTAGTTGTGTGTCTGTATATTTGTCATCTGCACTGTCACAGGGAATGTTGTCACCCTCCACTTACCTTGCATTATCTGCAGACAACCGCTTATACGCAAGAGCGAGCACTTTGATATTGATCTTAAGTGCTGCAACTCGAGCAGGCATATAAATGGAGCGGCGAGCAATTATATTGCTAACAGCAGCTTAGTTCGGCTTGATTTTGATGTGCAGACCTGTTTTATTTGACAATAAAGTGGACTGTGTGGAATTTCACCTGTAAACTGGTTTGATTTGAATGCTTCACAACATGGGAGACGGCCACTTTGCCCAAGGTCACATAGTTGAGTGTGAGAGTGCTTTGTGTGGGAGAGCAGCCTGACATTGTTTAGCCCAGCGTGCAGGCAGAGTGCGCTGGTGTGGCCTGTTCCTGACGCTTGTTATGGTGACTCACTGTTGGTGGGTGGTAATGTCAGGTTGGCACAACCATCAGGCAAAAGACTCTAGCTGATGAGATCTCCATGGGGAGTGGCCCAGACAGGGTTACAGGGCTCAACATTTACAGAGGTGCAACCTGTGGCCACTTTTCGAATGTTTGACATTAAATAGATGGAGTTGGAGCTCACCCAGACTAACAACTTTACCAAGTGCCAGCAGTGCAGTCGAGGTTAACAGGAGTTTGTAAACTTAAAGCACGTTCCTTGTCCCACCTCAAGTAGATGCCAGTCTCAAAGTTGGGTAACACGGACGGTTTCTGGTGGAGCCAGAACAGATTATTTTGTCCACAGTATACAGTCACTCCACTTTATAGTATATTCTGTGGAACACTTTGAGACACCTCAACGAACTAATAAGGTGCTATATCAAATGCATGTATTATTATTTATTGATCACTGCTAGAAGGTTTGCATAAAGAGACTATTATTTCACGAGCATAGTTGAAATCTGATTCTTATGTTCGTTAAGGTAACAAAATGCTGAGAAGCTGTTGAAACAGTCTGATCAAATCCACTTCCAAGTAGTATAATCCAATGCCCATCTGTACTTAAAGGTGCATTTTTATGTTTTATGTAGACTGCACTAATCTTCCTACAGAACCTTTAAAAGAGCAGTCTTTTTAAAATAATAATATTAACCCTTTCATTTGATATGTGCAAGCGGGTCTTTTTGTCTTGGTGAAAGACAAAGAGCTATTTATCACATAGCCCCTTGTTAGTCTGTAAAGACATTTAAAACAAACTTTACCACACCTCACTGTGATAACGACTCACTTGACTTGTAAAAATGCAAGATTTCTTCACATCTCATTCAGACAAGACCACACAAGGAATGCTATCAAGCTCTCAGAATACAAATTAAGTTGTGTTCAAGTCAGTACTGTACCAGAATAACCTCAAAGCACCGCTCTGCTAAAATAGGTAGGGGTTAGCAGAATAGAGCTACTGTGGCTCGGGAACTGTGCTGAATTAGTAATCATCCTTACATTTGATAATCAACATACAGTGATTTAGTGACCAGTGGTATTCCCACCACAGAATCCAGATAAATGGGGAGACCTTACTGACCTGTGTAACAGCTATAGGCAAAGTGAGGCTAGTTCATGTTTCACATTACCACAATCTCTAGAACAAGGGGCCTGACCACAGAATTCAGATGATGGGAACATGTAGAACAGACTGCACAGGGGAGACTGAGGAGGCGCCTGAGTGTAAGAGTGCACAGTGAATATCAAGCTAGATGGATTGCAAATGCCCCCTTCCTGTCCTGAACACACCTACAGATAGAAGAACTGTTCTCCCACGTTGAGTCCTAGTAGACAAAAGTGCTGCACTTCCATAGTGGATAATAATTCTGTGTTCAAAAAACCGTGACGCTGGTTTCACACGCAAGTCCTTGGACAGCCAGCAGGTGGTGTGTGATCACAGTTATTGTTCACGATGGTTGTTGCCTCGGTGGGACCCGCTATATTCGACATCTCAATCCATCCGACGCGCAAGTAAACTGAACCGTCCTGCCGCTGGTCTCTGTCCAGTCAATGCCGTGTTCAGTGTTCCCTTGTCTTGTTTACTTGTAGCTGGTTAACGTGTTGTTATCCTCGAGAGGCTTTGCTGCTTTGTTCAATATAGTTACTGGAGCTCCAAGCCGTTTAGAGATTAGTTCGCATAAGTTTAAAACCTTTGTGAGTAACTTATTAATGTGTAAATATTAATCTGCATATTGTGTTTTACTCTAAATGTGTGCCTATTTGAGTGCCTTTTCACGGTAACTTTTGGACCTGAAGCTCGTTTCATTCTGTTTAATATTTTTGTGTATTAAAGCTGTTCAAAATCTGGAATCCATTGCCATTCCACTTGGGATAGTCTGTACTGCCGCTGTTTGGTTCCTTGCTACTGTTACTTATCTCTCTCATTCATTTTGCATGCAACTGCTCACTTCTGTAACAGCCACAGTTGAGGCTGAACAAGGTACGACCAAGAATATGCCGGGGTGTGGGGATTAAAAATGATCCAGGTTTGGGTGTAGCTTAGCAACTTACACTAACTGTGAAGGAGTTTAGTTCCTCCATTTCATAAGAGGAGAGCACCCAAACCGATATTCATTTACTCTCTTGTGTTTTTGCTTTGTAGAATGTTACAATTAGTAGTTTTTTTTTACTGTTTGGAGGTGGGGGGAAAATGCTGGGTTCACAAAGGGTAGTAAATACTGAATCCTGCCAGGAACCGGACGTACATCATCACATTTCCTGTGGGAATGACGGAAATAGACCTGCCCAAGTGGTCAGCGTGTGTCACATCTGTTTCCTGGCAGGGTTTGTTACTTATAATCCTTTGCCAATCTAGATTGCGAATCACACATTTTAACCCTCTCCTCCTCCTCCCCTTGTGTCTGTAATAACCTTGAATTCAGTTGTATTGTGATTGTAACTCATGTCGATTTGTTAAGAAGCATGCTTTGACTTGTATTAGGCATGCTTTCCGCATGCTGCAGTGATGTCTTCCTGGTGTGTGATGTTCTCTGGTTGCACGTGATGAAAGTCTGATGCATGTTTCCTCCTCTATTTGCCCTGAGGATCTGAAGGACAACTCCGTCTGAATGAAGCGTGGTTTTCTCTGGTAAAACTCCACCCAAATTACGTAACTGGTTGACGGGAGGGGGAATCCTATTACTTAGCTCTCTTCCAAGCTGTGCTCTGCAAGTATTTGCACAGCTGTGGTAAAAGCTTAGCACAGTTTCCTAAATTGTAGTTTTTCCAATTGCATCCTATTTTCCAAGAGACTTTTTGCAGCTGCATTTTTTAGCTGGAAAAAAACACGTGTGCAAAAAAAAAGGGGTGAGAAGTGCAAAGTGGTGTCAATGATCCATCCCAAAATATTTCAGTTAATTTTTCCCCCTCGTACTGAAGAAAAAATGACTCCATCTGATTTCTGTCTGTAAGATAGGATTGTCCTCAGATCCAGTTATCGTTTCTAACATTTAATTGTCTAGTTGTACAAGAAAACTGAATATTACTCTAAAATTATGAACTGTTGGAAAGCAGTGTAATAAGTTTATAAGTGAGCATAGTCGGACCGGGGATGTGTGTTCTAATGACTGCTGTAACTGCTTCTAATCTTAAAACTTGTTTGACGTGTGCTGTGCTGTGCATTTTACATGGAAGCTGGTAGATTTTCCCAGGTATTTTAACTATTTGTTAACCTCTTAAATTCACTTACTCCAAAATACTGGCACATATTAGCCGCCTCAATAAATGCAAAATTCACAAATTTTAATGACAGGAGAATCCCATTCAGCTCATCGTGCCTGTGAGGAGCTATCTGTTAAACTCCAGTTCCCCTATAAAAGCTATTATGGATTCTGCTTCAACCAGTGTTTTTGGTTGGGGTGTTCCATGCCCTTTCTGTGTTAAAATTTATAATTTTAACCTTTTTTTTTAGTAACAATCTTAAATGTTTGCCAACTAGTTACTGACTCAATACCAGCACACATGTTTTTTCTCTATTTACCTTATGAACCCCCCCCCCCCCCCAAATAATTTGAAACACTTCATAAATTAATTTATAACTCGATCCGGATACGTGTCGGGAACGCTGTTCTCGGTTGGGTCTCCTCGAAGCTGAACTGGCGTTCCAAGGTGACATGTTTGGCAACGGAATACAGGAATCAGCTCCTGATAACCCTGGTCCTAGCTGGACAAGCTGAGTTTGCCAGATACTCTTAACACACACTCTGGGGTCCCCAAGACTTGGCTCCTTGCCAACCTGCATCTAATACTTTCTGGAATTAAGTAAGCAGGATGCATCCCTCCAGGGAGAGAGAGGGCACATTCCATTCGGACAATCTATCTCTGGAATTTCCATGTGTAGGTGGGACGCACTGAATTCTCAGTCTGGTTCGGATAATCTTAACCATAGTGATGGGTTTCCACATGTGCCAGACACCTGGCTGACCCCCAAAAAAAAAAGAAATCGGTGCCACCTTCCAGAATATTAGATTGTGGTATCCGAGGCATCCGGCAGGAGATTGGAAGCCGAGCGGAGTTCCAAAGAGTTGGCCTTAGCCCGTGTCAGAACCTAGAGGATTCTCCCCACTTACAGATTGCTTTTGCTAATCTTGCAATTTAGTCCCAGTGTCATTCACCTGCAGAATTTCACACACAAGCACATAGGGTGTTTATTTCACTTTCAGAATCCTAGAATCCTACAGCACAGAAGGAGGCCTGTCGGCCCATCGTGCCTATTCCGGCTCTTTGAAAGAGCTATCCCACTAGTCCCACTCCCCCGTTCTTACCCCGTAACCCTACAATTTTTCAAGTACCTATCCGATTCACTTTTGAAAGTTATTGTTGAATCTGCTTCCACCACCCTTTCAGGCAGGGCATTCCAGATCGTAACAATTCTCTGGGTGAGGAGAATTCTTTTTGAACCAGAGGGAAGATGAACCCGTGTCCTCTGATTTCCAACTCACTCACCAGAGGAAACTTTCTCCCTACCTACTCTTATCAAAACCGCTCATAGTCTTGAACACCTCTATTAAATCTCCCCTCAAACTTCTCCACTCTAAGGAGAACAATCCCAGCTTCTCTAGTCCCTCCACAAAACTGAAATTCCTCACCCCTGGTCTTCTTAAAAATAAATTCTACGGATTAGTTGCAGGAGGGGAGGAGAGCAGGTGCAGTGTAATGGCAACAGCAACTGAGCTGCCCGGCCCTCTGCTGTGGATTGGCAATCAGTGCTGAGCTATGGGGAGTGTGTAGGAAGTCACAGAACTCACTGAGCTGCGAAGCACCACCGATCCTTTAGCTCCTTAAAATAAAGCAGGCGCTTAGTCATACAGACACTCATGTCAGTCCTGAAATATAATAGGCCACGACTATTATCTCTCTTCCCAACTGCTTATGCACTCTATTCAATGATAGTAATCCTTGCATTTGATCTAGCGCCTTATCACGTCATTCAGACATCTTAAAGCGCTTCACAGGATAGTCTGTGAAGTAGATTGACTATTTTTGTTGGCAAACCTTGGCAGACAATTGTGCACAGCAGTGTCCCACAAACAGTCGTTGATTGAGTCGTGGATGTACTTTTAGTTCTGACGTTTCTATTTTGAAACGCTGCCTCCTGATCTTAGCAAGTGTCTGATTTTTTTTGTCTGTGGTGACCAGCTTTCTCGTTGCTTGTGTCGTTCACACAACAGGAGAAATAAAGTGGGAAGATTTTTTTTGTTACCCGAAACGCGGCAGCCAATTGCGCACAGCAGTGTCCCTCAAACAGTCATGGTCAATTTTTTTTTTAGGGTTTATTACCCCCGGAAAACGATTCGCTAATCAACTAACAACCAGGTTCTTAGTTACTGCTAGTTAGACAGAGGTGTGTGGAGTAAGGAAACTTGCCTCAGGTTTCACCCTGCCTGGGAATCGAGTCAGGTGTAACGTGCGTAAAAGAAAGAGCAGTGCCAAAGTATCTGGAATTAGGAAAATGGAGGGCAGATTGGAATTTTTCTCCTTCTCGTATGGGTGTCACACATGCACACCATCACTACAGAGTGCAGGAACAGGAACCCCAATGAGCCAATTTCTAATCAAACTCCAGTAAGTGAAACTTTGCCTTCATGACCACATTTCTTCTTCTGGAAAGGAAAGAGTCCATGATTTTGCAATGTCCTGACTCGACTTTAACAGCAAAACTCGTATTTAAATTCACTTCTAGTTTGGTTTAGTTATGCGCTCTGAGACACTACTGCACGTAGAAGGCGCTATATAAATCCAAGTAGTTATTGTTGCTTACCCCATTCCCTAACCTTGACAAGCCAAGCTCATTTTAATTCTCCTCCCTGTCACATCGAGTCCTATCTTTTGTTTTGGTCAGCCAGGTATCTTGACACACACGGAAACCCATCAGTCACAAGGGAAACTTTCTTTGGACTGTATTCAAACTCAATTCCGCTGACAGAGGAGAGTTCAGCCCCATCAGTCTGGGCTGGGTTTAAGCCCAGGTCCCAGAGATGAAGGTCTATATGGGTGCTAACCCGCTCCTCAACCCAGGGAAACCATAACTGTGATGTACGTATGTGACTCCAGGCGGGTAGTTGTTCCAGAGTGCTTTGCCTCCAGTCGTCCCATTCCATCACTCACTCATTTCTTTTGCATTTCATTAAGCAATCCGAGGATTCTCGCCCCAGCACAAAATCTGCAGCTTCGAGGAAGCCAAGGGGCTGGACAGGATAAACGAACGCATGCCTCCACGGAAAGATGGCCTCCAGCAAGTGGCTATTCATTCAGTTACCACAAACGCCGGTGAGAATAACGGAACTGGTGGCAACAACAACAACGCACAGTGACCGAACATTCAGCTCTTCCATTGCTTCCAACCTGCCACCATCCCTCCCTTTTACTCTTCCCCTCCCCTCCCCCCCACACTCCCCCCATACACATTTGCCTTGCCTGATCGTTCCCAGATCATTGCTTCCAATATGGTATCAGCTTCAACGCCAAGGAACTATGCAAATCTGGCGATCGAAAATGGTCTGTGTTGAAAAAAGCTGAGGTGCTCTTGAAACGCCAGCCTGCGATGGACAGGCCAATTGTGTGCATGTGGCATTTATCCCAGAACCCAACAGCCAAGACTTTTTAAGACTTTTTTGGGGGGGGAAAGGTTAATTTGGGCGTTTTTCACTGAACGCACATCTAGGAACCCGCATCTTACGCTCAACACTGACCCTCGCAGCGTTTACAGGCACGGCTGTTTTGAGACAGCTGATTTTGTTCGGAATTGGAACTGAAGCCGAGAGCTAACTATTTATTGACGAGGTATCCTCATCGTAACGATGTCTGTAAGACAAGCTGTTGGAATGGTCTTAAATATAATTTCGAAGCTGCCGAGATGTGCATTAGAAAGATGTGCCAAACAGCCGTGGTATTGGAAAGTGAGGTGTGTTGCTAAAACGCTGGCCTTGGGATTGTTGCTAAGGCTGTATTTCATTGCCTACATTATAGCTTGAGGATCAGGGAATGATTTATTTGAAGGGATGCTGATTGCTTTTAATGGAAATCAAAGCTTTTTTAAGTTAGAAAAGCCATCGTTAGTGCCCATCTTATGTTAAACTAAGAATCTCTGCCCTCAATCAGTGGTTTGAAATCAAAGCCCCACATAATAATTATAAGGTACTGTACTTTAATTGAATTTTGTACATTAGGGAATTCATATCAAGTGTGTAAAGCTTCGCTGTGTATTTTGTCTGCATGCGTTCCCCCATTTTGGACATATTTAATATATTAGCCCTGTGATGTACAGATCTGCATCAATCAGGTTATATAGATGTTTTGAATACCTTTAATGTAACGTGGGTATTAAACTTGCTTCTAATGCTATAATCCACTGGGCTGAAAGGCTTCAGGCATTTTAATATCTTTATTCTGTAAAAGGACATGAAAAATGACGACTTTTTTTTGTTGAAGCTATGCAGTGAGTCTCCCCAAGGCCGGCTTTCTGGTGAAAGTGTAAATTCACCAACGCATGTTAATTTTACCAAAACGTTTGCTTGGTTCAATTGCATCTGGTCAGAAATTATACCGAGATGAACGATTACTGACTGCCGCTGTACATTTTTATACTTTACCTACCGAGTTTCGTGTCTGGTTTCTGCTTCCCCCAGTTTGACATGACTTGGAAACCAATTCACTCGACTTTCTCTTTGATTTGCCATGTGCATACTTCTGTCCCGTTGGAAATACAGTACTATGCATGTTCTGAAATATTTAACTATTTTATAAGACTGTACACAATAAACGTATGCATGGGCCCCTGCTTTCATTGGATTCTCTGGATTTATTTTTCCTCGGGAAGTGCTAAATTCAAGTGAAGATTAAACGCAAATGGTAAGTTAAAGGTATTTTCAATTTGCACCATAATAATTATTCTTATAATAATCCTTGATAAAGCGCCTTGCACACCTGGAGGACGTCTCAAAGAGCTTAACAGCATTTACTGTAAAATGTAATTTCTATTTTGTAGGCAAATGCAGCAGCCAATTTGCACGCACAAATGCCCCACAAACAGGAATAGAGTGAGTGCCAATTTTATTTGGTGGATTACTGGCCAGGACACTGGGGGAAGCTCCCTTCTTTCAAATAGCGATGCAAGATCTTTAATATCCACCTGAAGAGGCAGACAGGACCTAGGTTGAATGTCTCATTTGAAGGATGGCATCTCAACAATGCGTTGCATTGGAATGTCAGCCTTAGACTATATATGTTCCAAATCCCGATTTGAGGCTCACAACCTTCTGACTCAGAGGCAAGAGTGCTGTCAACTGAGCCTGGCTGATACACAAAGTGTATGTTCTTTGTATATGACAAAGTACTGATGTTTCTATTCCACTGATAATGTCAACGTCTTAAAGCAATTACAGCCAAGACTAATTAATGCCTGTTTTGCAGGCAAACATTGCAGTTTTTTTNATGAGCAACCAACCTTGAAGTGAGGGGCCTATTTTATCTGTGAGATTGTTGACCAGTACATCAGGAGAAACTCCTTTCTCTTTTCCAATACAGTTATTGGATCTTTAACATCCAAACGAACAGGCGGACTGGTTTAAGATCTGGTCTAAAAGAGTGTTTTAAAAATGTCTTGCTTTACTTGAATTAACAACTAGGTCAGGGTTACTGGGAAGGGTGGTTAAGGCTAGGACGTACTCAATTGGGATGCTTAATGCTGTAATAAAAAGCGCTTCACGGAATGTATTGTAAAATGGATTGATTATTTGGTGGGCAAAACACAGCAGTTTTGGATTGAAGACCACTATTTGTAGGGATTATTGGTCCCCGGAAAGCGATCCGCTAATCGACTAACAATCAGGTTCCTGCAGTTTGAGGCCTGAAGGCTTGGCCACCGATGGTGATTATGGAGAGGGCAGGGAATGTGAAACAATCCTCATTGAGGTCTAAAATTAGCAACGTAGTTGGGCAGGGGCCAAAAAAGAATGTAAATAGTCCTTCACTTAATGGCCAAAGGAAAAGTGTAAAAGTAGGGAAGTCATGCTAAATTTAAGTACTGTAATTTTTTTTGGCAGCCAGTGTCTTGACACATGGGGAAACCCATCACTATGCTTAATAATATCTAAACCAAACTGAGATTTCCATGCCTACACTTGGAAATTCCAGAGGTAGATTGTTGGGAGTGGATGTGCACTCTTTCCCTGGAGGGACGCAGCCTGCTTACCTAATTCTGGAGAATATTAGGCACAAGTTGGCTTGGAGACCCCAGAGTGTGTGTTGGGGTAACAGCTCGATTATCAACAGCTAAACTGCATAGCTTGATTAACAGGAGCTAAATGGGAAGAGTTCCTGTCCCCAGTGACTGGTCTGCCTTTCCAATTCTTGCTGCTGAGCCAGACTGGCTGTGCTGTCATCAGCAGTGCCCTGGAATAATGCAGACCCACCTGGCTCAGAGAATATTAGGTGCAGGTTGGCAAGAGTTGAGGCTTGGGAACTCCAGAGTATGCATTAATCAATTAAATCACATAGCTTGTGATTGAATGGACTGCCTGCCAAGCTTTCCTGTCCAGCTAGGACCACCCTACCTGTTTGGGCTTTGGCTTGCAACCACAACATAGCCCTTTCACGTCGGAAGGACATGCTGCAAAGTTTAAAAAAAAGCTGAATGGGAGGGATTCTCTATCCCTAGTGACTTGTCTGCCCTTCCGAGTCCTGCTGTTGGGCTGTGCTATCATCAGCAGGGCCCTGGAGAAGAAACACTTGTTCTAAAATTGAACTTTACAACTCTAAACCTGTGTCTCAATTGTTTTACTGTCACGCAATACATTTCAGTGTATTTCAAGATCACTTCATCTTAAAAACAACGGTCCGGATTGTGTTTGGCCTTAATAAACGTCATTGAGACATCTCAAATGTTGTAAAGTGGATGGACTGTGTATTTTGTGGGTGAAACGCTGCAGCCAATTGCACACAGTAGTGTCCCACAAGCAGCGGTGGATTGATTGACCACATTTTCTTTCGGAGGGATTCATAGAATCATAGAATTATACAACACAGAAGGAGGCCATTCAGCCCATTGTGTCTGTGCCGGCTCTTTGAAAAGTGCTATCCAATTCAATCCCTCTCCCCATAGCCCTGCAAACTTGTCCTCCCCAAATAATTATCTACTCTCTTAAAAGCTGTTATCGAATAGGCTTCCACCACCCGTTCAAATCTGAACAACTCGCTGTGTAAAAAAAATTCTCCTCACCCCCCTCCTCTTTCCCTCAGGTTACCGACCCACCCACCAGTGGAAATTGTTTTTTTGTTCACCCTATCGAATCCCCTCACAATTTTGAAAACTTCTATTAAGTCTCCTCTTAACCTTCTCTGCTCTAAGGAGAATAATCCAAGCTTCTCTCGCCTCTCCTGATAACTGAAGTCCCTCATTCCTGGTACCATCCTGGTAAATCTCCTTTGCACCCTCTCCAATGCCTTGATATCCTTCCTAAAGTGTGGCGCCCAGAAGTGAACACAGTACTTTAGCTGAAGCCTAACCAGTGTTTTATAAAGGTTCATCATAACCTCCTGACTTTTGTATTCTGTGCCCCTATTTATAAAGACCAGTATCCTGTATGCTTTTTTAACAGTTTTATCTCCCTGTCCTGCAACCTTCAAAGATTTACTTATATGAACCCCCAGTTCTCTCTGTTCCTTCACCTCCTTTAAGATTCTACCTTCTAGCTTGTATTGCCTCTCCTTAATCTTCTCAAAATGCATCACTTCGCATTTCTCCACGTTAAACTTCATCTGCCACGTGTCTGCCCATTTTGCCAGTCTGTCTCTGTCCGTTTGCAGTCTGCTACTATCCTCCTCACTGTTTACTACTTTTCCAGCTTAGTATAATCTGCAAACTCCCTATACCCAAGTCCAGGTCATTTATATAGATCAAAAAGAGGATAAATAATATAATAATAATCCTTGCATTTGATATAGCGTCTTCTAGACGTCTCAAAGCGCTTCACAGAATACACTGTAAAGTGAATTGACTGTACATTTGTGGGCGAAACGCGGCAGCCAATTGCGCACAGCAGAGTCCCACAAACAGTCATGGATTGAAGTGACCAATTTATTAGTATTTTTCTTGTGGGATTATTACCAGGCGTGTGGAGTAAGGAAACTTGCCCAAGGTTTCGCCCTGCCGGGAAACAAACCCAGGCAGGTCTCTTGCTTGCGAGGCAAGTGCTCTAACCACAGGTCGCCATTTCTACATAAATGACCCGGACTCGGGTATAGGGAGTACAATCTCCAAGTTTGCAGATGGAAAGTTTCTAGGGGTACGATTATTACCCCTGAAAACTTACGAAAGCCAATCGACAAAAAACGGGTTCCTACATACTGCCAGGTAAACAGGCGTGTGGAGTAAGGTTACTCCCTGCCCGAGAATCGAACCCGGGTCCTCTCACTTGCGAAGCGAGTGCCCGAACCACTTAATCCTGGCATTTTGCGTTTTCCTCGCATTTGATGTCGCGCTTTTCACGTCGGGAGGACGTCCCAAAGCGCTTCGCAGAACACACCGTAAAGTGAATTGACTGTGTATTTGTGGGCGAACCCGGCAGCCAGTTGCGCGCAGCTGTGATGTCCCACAAACAGTCGTAGATCGAAAATGACCAATTTATTATACCCTTACGCTAACGGACGCGTTTTAAGAACGCGATAAAGGTCTGCGGCCTGTGGAAGTACACAATTTAAGCAGTCAGTCAAGAGGGGGAGTTAGCAAGGAAGTAGTCATTGGTTGGTTGGTCTTCCCTGGAGCAGGAAGCACATACTTTGCTCATTTCTCTTCCCTTTCACACTGGGCTGTTTGTGAGATTATTTTTGTGTGTGTGAGTGTGTGGCTGAAAAAAAACATATCATTTCTTGGATCGACTCCAGGGCCAGAGATTTTGTTCCCAAACGGACTGGTTCAGAGGCACATTTTAAAGCAGGTAAAAAAAAATTCCTCTTTATAACCTTTTAACTCGTACACACACACAGAGAGAGAGAGAGAGGGAGAGAGAGAGAAAGAAAAAAACACATCCCAGTCTTTTCGTTTACACTCAGTTTCCTCTTCTGGGGTTTGCTGTGTGAGGGTTTTTTATCAAAAAAAACCTCCACTCCCATCTCCCATCTATTTGGTCTTAAAACGATGTAAACTTTTATTTGATGCGTTGCAGAAGAAATTGAATGACGACCTTTCTTCTCTCCCCCTTCAATCCCTCCCTCCCCACACCCCCACCACCACCAAAAAAAAACCCCCAAAAATCTTGTTTTTTTAAAAAAAAATGCTTGTTAAAAGCCACACCCAAAACAAACACACACACACACATGTTACATGTTTAATAATTAATTGGGAATCTCCCAGAAAGAGAGAGAGAGAGAGAGGGAGAGAGGTGGTGGTGGTGGTGAGTTGATACTGAGAGCTGAGACATTGTATCTCGAACTTGCTTTGATTTCCTGGTTGGATACATTTTATGATCTGGTGTTTTATACACAGAGAGAGAGAGCGAAAAATCTTTCTTGAGTTGTTCCGGGTTTTAGCTGTGGGTTGCACCCTGTTAGGGTGTGTGTGTGTGTGTTGTGTGTGGACCGCCCTCTGTTACTGATTAGTCACTCACAATGTCATACAGATTTTTTCGCACAGATCTTACATGTGATTCTCCCCCCACCCCTCCCCGGGGACTGACGCAACCACCACCGCAGCAAACGAACTACGAATAACGATGCTAATCGTTGCGTTTGACATACGTGCAATCCACGCGTTGGTCACCTCGAGGCTCCACTACGGAAGCTCCCTCCTTGTCGGCTTCCACAACTCTTCCCCCCCTCCCCCCCGCCCCCGCAGGCTGCAGATCGTCCAGAACCCTGCAGCCCGTGCCCTCTCCCGCACCAGGCTCCGTGATCCCATCACCCCCACCCTCGCCCGGCTCCACTGGCTCCCCGTCCCTCAGAGGATAGAGTTCGAAATCCTCGTCCTCACTTTCAAGACCCTCCAAGGCCTTGCCCCCCTCCTACCGCTCTGAACCTGCTGACCCCCTTTCAACCCGTCCGCTCCCTCCATTCAGCGGGCCCCTGCCTGCGCCATGTTTCCCGCCTGACCCGCCCTACCATCGGCAGCCGGGATTCAGCCTCTCTGCCCCCACACTCTGGAACTCCATCCCACCATCCTTTCGCTTCGCTCCCTCTCTTGCCTCCTTCAAGGCACAACTCAAGACCCTCCTTTTCGACTGTGCCTTCACCGCTCTCCTAACCCCTCTGCCCTCCCACCCCTCTGCCCTCCCTCACCCTAACCCTGACCCCCCCACACTCAGGTCCTGATCTCAGACTGTTTAGCGCCTTGCGACGTTCTCCCGACGTGAAAGGCGCTTTACCAAATGTAATTTTGTTGTTGTAGTGCCTTATCACATTGTTGAGACTTTGAGACATCACAAAGCGCTTCACAGGATATAATGTAAAGTGGATTGACTGTGTATTTTGTGGTCAAAATACGGCAGCCAATTGTGCACAGCACTGAGTATCCCACAAACATTCATGGATTGAGTGACCAAATTATTCATTTTATTCTTGGAGGGATTATTACCTCTGAAAGTGAAACGCTAATCGACTAACAACTGGGTTCTTATTTACTGCTAGGTAAACAGAAGCGGATGGAGTAACAAAACTTGTCTAAGGTTTCATCTGGGAATTGAACCCAGGTCCTCTCGCTTGCAAGGCGAGTGCTCTAACCACTTCATTATGGGACTCCACATTTATACAGTTTATATATTAATATATAATGCAATTTATATATTTATATTTCACGTCAGGAGGACATCCCAAGGTGCTGGACACTCAGGGATTTGGACCTGAGCTCGGTGTTGGAATCAGAGGGGTGGAGGGCAAGAGATGGTGGGGTTAGGAGGGGTGACCAAAGTCACGTTTGAAGAGGAAGGTCTTGAATTGGGCCTTGAAGGAGGCAAGGAAGAGTGAGAGGTGGAGAGGTTCCAGGATGGAGTTCCAAAGAGTTGGGGGTAAGAAAGGCTGAAGACCCGACTGCCAATGCTGGGGTGGGCAGGCCGGGGGGACATGGAGCAGGCCAGAACCTGCTAAGCGGTAGGAGTGGACAGGTCGGTGTGGAGTTAAGAGATCAGAGAGATAGGGAGGATCTAGGCTGTGGAGAGCTTTAATAGTGAGGAGGTTTATTCTAAACGCAATCCAAAGATGTTTGTTCCGTAGCCTTCGAGAAGTGCTGGGTTACGTTGGGTGGTTGTTAGGACCCTCCGATACCTCCCCTCGGTAGGTATGGTGATGAAGGCACAGGGGAGTATCGCAACCCAGTACTGTCCCCACAGGACAAGACATGCTGGTGGTGGTTGGTGGCTGAGTCACTCAGCTCTTGTTAGGCTGGTTCCCATTTTGCCATCGAGAGGTTTTTTTTTTGATCAACCGGGTGTCTGACACACATTAAAACTATCGCCGTGCTTAACAGTATCCAAACCAAACTGAGATTTTCCTGCGTCCCACCTACACATGGAAATCCCAGAGATAGATTGTTGGAATGGAATGTGCACTCTCTCCCTGGAGGGACACATCCGGCTTCATAAGTAATCCTTGCATTTGATATAACGCCTTATCATGTTTTCGAAGTGTCTCAAAAGCGCTTCACGGGATATACTGTAAAGGGCATTGCCGGTCTCTTTTGTGAGCGAAAGCCGGCAGCCAAGTGCACACGGCAGCTGTCCCACAAACAGTCATGGATTGAGTTACCAAATTTTAATTATTTTTTTGAGGGATTGTTACCCTCGGAAAGTGATCCTACATACTGCTGGGTAAACACGAATGTGTGGAGTAAGGAAACTTGCTGAAGTGTTTGCTAGCCGCTAAATGCTAATTACTAAGCTACAGGACACTCAGCGGGTGGGGTTGTGGGGGGAAACGCCTGGATGTCGTGAGGACAACGGGTACTTCTCCATTGCCGGTGCACACTGGTGACAGAGACAATCCCTGTCCACCCAGTAATTAACTACACAGCTTTTAAAAGGCAAACATGGCTTCCCTGGTTTAGGCCCTCAGGCTCAGAAAGTGCAGGTGTTGTGGTTTGAAAGTGTTTTTAGTGACAAGGAGCCTGTGGTGTGTCGCTGGCTTCACTTTGTGTGGCGAATGTAGAGCCCAGGTCGTTCCCATTGTCCATTTCGCTTGCAAATACACAGTCACTACAATTCATAACAGCGGGGGCCAACCTGCTGCCCAATTTTATTTGGGGGTTTGTTGGCTAGGGCACCATGAGAAACTCCCTTCTCTTTTTGAATAGTGGAACGGGATCTTTAGCATCCACCTAAACAGTCAGATGTTAGACCTCAGTTTAATTCCTCATCCAAAGAACAACTTCTCCAAACAACGCAGCTATCCTGTAGCGCTGTATTGGACTGTGAGCCCACAACCTTGACTCGGAGGTGAAAGTACAACCGAAAGTACAACTTTCTCTCTAATCCAGGTCTAAAAAATAAACGTTTATGTGAGTGAGAGGAGGGAACTCATTACGGTATTTGAATTTACATTTTCTGGTTTAATAATAACCCTTGCCTTTGGTGTAGAGACTTATCACGTTATTCTGTGAAGCGCTTTGAGACGTCGAGAAGACGTGAAAAGCGCCATATCAAATGCAAGGATTATGATTATTATTATTATCGTGTCTTCGAGACGTGTCAAGGCACTTCACAGAATATACTGTGCAGTTTCTGTGAGTTTTAAAAACTGATTCCAGTGATGACTGTGTGAGCTTGGGCACTGAGCTCTTGGACGTTCGTCAGCTTGTGTCTGTTTGTAATTATACAATTAGTGTGTGTGGTCGGAGCAAAATGCATTGGACACACATCTACTTATTGTTGATTATCTGAAAGTCTTTCTGGTTTGCTCACAGTCCACTTTCTCCTCTACCCCTTTCATTGAATTGATTGCCTTCCAGCGGTTGAGGTTTCCACAGAAGCCCTCTAGTAACCTCACCCCAGAGGCCAGTGTTAATAATAGTAATCCTTGCATTTGATATAGCTCCTTCTCACATTGTCAGACGTCTCAAAGGCTTCACTGTAAAGTGACTGCGTATTTTGTGGGCAAAACGCAGGCTATTATTCGTGTCTGATTGACGCACCTGTCAGTCAAGCCAACAGTTCACCTGTTTTAAAGGAGTATGACTCAGCCACTCCACTCCTCCCTCCCCCTTAGAATATTTTCCACCCGCCATCTATGGCGACAGGCCAGTTATTGGGAAGGACAAAATGGGAGTTATTGAACAGAAACTTGTTCTGTCATGTGAGAACTCTGTCGTCTGCACCTCCCAGACACAGGGCGTGCCCAGCTTACGCCAGCACTACATCTCCTGCAGGCCTGAGCTGTGTAACCTGTCACTGATTCCACTCCAGCTCACAGAACTCTTCTAAACCAGTCCTCAATTCTCTCCCACACTAAACTCCGTACCCCCTTCGCTCTAGTTCTCGCTTGGCTCTACTAACTCTCCTATCACAAAATGGATAGATTTCAAGATCCTCTCATACATCTAGAAATCCCTTCATGCCCTCACACCTCCCTACCTTTCCGACCTGCTTATTCCCAATGATACCACCCGCTGTCTCCGCTCGACTGCCTCTTGTCCCTCGTCCCCTCCACTCCTTTATCAGCTTTCAGCCACTACGCCCCAAAGCTCTGGAACACTTTCCCTTATCCCTCCATCTTGCCCCCTCCTCCTCTTTTAGATCACGACTGAAGACCTTCCTCTTCGACCATGCTTATGGTCAAACTCTCCCCACCCCAGCTCGGCATCAGGCTCTGCCACTGTCAAGTGCTCAGAGGTGTTGACCCGCGTGAAGGGCGTTATATAAATGCAAATTCTTATTATCAATGAGAGAGGAAGAGCATGAAATGTATGTTAGAGTCTAAAAGGCAGTGAGGCAAACCAGAGTCTGGTCACTATTATCTTTTGAAGTGTTTTTAGATAGATACTTGTTAGGTCAGGGTACTAAGAGATTTGGGGCAAAGACAGCTCACTGGACTTGAGGTACAGATCAGCTGTGATCTTATACAATGGCGGAACAGCCTCGGGGGGCTGAGTAGATATCAGTGGTTACGAACACGAGAGAAGGTTGAGCTTTAAGCAAAGTTGCTGATTCGTGGGGTGTTGCAGCTTCAATTACAGTGAGACATCTCTTGCGATGCGGTTCCTGTCACGACTGCCCTGGTTATTAAATCTCTCGCTGAACAAGCTAGCCAATGTCTGGTTCAGTGACAGATATAACCGGTAGGGCATGTGTAGGTGGGATGTATGGAATTCTCAGCTTGGTTTGGTCAGCCGGGTGTCTGACACACGCGGAAATCCATCACACTCCATGGCGGTGGGTTTCTGCATGTGTCAGACACCCGGCTGACCAAACACAAATCTCTTGCTGATCTGCCTTTTTTTTATGAATGGGTGGATCATGTGTGTCACAGAGCCTGAAGGACAGGTTGGGAGGTGTCTAGGTCACTACATCTGTCTGCGTGTATAGCCTTGCCAGCACCTCCCAACCACACACGTGAGTGCTCCTCTGTACAATTAACCTGAAAGTCACCAATTGCTCATTGCTGTGTCCTGTAGTGTAGTGGTTAGTGCTCTCGAGTCACAAGTGAGAGGACCCAGGTTCGATTCCCAAGTGGGGCAAAACCTTATTAAGGGATTTGGGGCAAGGGAGGGTAACTGGACTTGAGGTACAGATCAGCCGTGATCTCATAGAATGTTTTCAGCCGTGTTTTCAACCACTATGTCCCAGAGCTTTGGAACTCCCGACTCAACCCCTCCGACTTGCTCCCTCTTTACCAGTCTTCAGCTTGCACCAGAAGATTTTCCTCTTCGACCGTGCCTACGGTTACCTCCCCTCCCGGTTCGGCATCAGGTTAAATGCTTCGAGACCCTGCCCCACAAAAATGGAGCTGTGTAAAAGGCTGGTTGTTGAGTGCGGTGACCATGGGGGTGGGGGTGGGGGGGCAAGGGCTCGCTGCGATCACTAAATCTCTTTTTCCTTTTATTCCAGAATGTCACAAGGCGGCTATCCAGCACCCGGCTATCCTGGGTATCCTGTAAGTCACTCTCACTCTCTCCCTGGACACTACCCATAGTATACTCTGTATGAACGCGCTGTTGGAGGCGGTTTCTCATGGCTCCTGGTGCAATGATATTTAGATAACTGATTACTGGGGGCAGGGAGTCCTCCTACTCAGCTCGGATTGCTTTCTGGCGCTAATAATCGCTCCAAAACAAAATGTGGTCACTCAATCTACGTCTGTTTGCGGGACACTGCTGTGTGCAATTGGCTGCTGCGTTTCACCCGCAAAAATATGCAGTCAATTCACTTTACAATATATTCTGTGAAGCTCTTTGAGACGTCTCAACGACGTGATAAGGCACTGTGTGTTTGTGGGCGAAACACGGCAGCCAATTGCGCACAGCAGTGTCCCACTAAAGGATCGTGAATTGAAGTGACCAAATTATTATTATTATTATTTGGAGGTGTGGGATTATTATCCACGTGAATCGATCCACCTATCGACTAACAAACGGGTTCCTGCTTGCTGCTAGATAAACAGAGACGTGTGGAGTAAGGAAGCCTGCCTTCCCGCCTGGGAAACAAACCCAGGTCCTCTTGCTTGCGAGGCGAGTACGTTAGTTAATAAGCTACGAGACTCAACAAGTTAATAATGGCTGTTATTAATCGTTCTTCTTTCTGCTTTCTTTCAGCCCCCGGGTGGAGATGCAGGCTACCCTCCCGCGGGCCAGTACCCATATCCTGGGGGGCCGGGGGGGTACCCAGGGGGGCCAGGGGTGGGGGCATACCCTCCTGCAGGGCCGGGGGGTGCTTACCCCCCCACCATGCCAGGTGGGGGCTACCCACCGGCTGGGGCAGGCTACCCTCCAGCAGCTGGTGGGGGTTACCCCTCAGCAGTGCCCGGGGCCGGCTACCCCCAAGGAGGAGCTGGCTACCCTTCTGCTCCGGCGGGGGGATTCCAGGCCCCCCAGGCAGCCTGGGGCTACCCTGCCCCCCCCACCAATGCACAGGGATTCCCAGCCTACCCGGGAGGTAAGCACTAATTTTCTCTGCAATGTGTGAGCACCTGTGTGATCTCACCGCTGGGGTCAAGGCAAATGTGGGTTTAATCCCCACACGGGTGGGTGTGGGGGGTAGTGGGGCTTTGCTTTGATGTCACAGTCCAGGCTGACGCTCCAGTGCAGTGCTGGGGGAGCGCCTCATTGGCAAAGGCGCCGTCCTTCAGATGAGATGCTAAACCGAGGACCCATCCATACCTGTTTGGTTGGATGTTAAAGATCCCGTATTGGAAAAGAGAATGGAGTGTTCTGGCCAACGTTCTTCCACATAAGTTGTTCTGTCATCTCTTAATAATAATCTTTGCGTTTGACATGGCACCTTATCATGTCGTTGAGACATATCAATGCGCTTCACAGGACATATTGTAAAGTGCAGTGAACTGTGTATTTTGTGTGTGATACGTGGCAACCGGTTGGTGCACAGCAGTGTCCCACAAACAGTCGTGGAGTGAGGGACCAAATTTATTTGGGAGATTGTTGGCCAGGACACCGAAAGAGAGAAATTCCCTTCTCTTTCCAAATAGCGCTATGACAGACGGGAACTTGGTTTAACATCTCATCTGAAGGACGGCACCTCCCAACAATGCAGCATACCCCCAGCACTGCATTGGATCGTCAGTTTAGACAATGTGATTCCAAGCCCTGATGTGGGGCTTCAACCCCAACCTTCGAAACTCCGAAATGAGAGCACTACCACTGTACCAGGATTGTCCCACACTTATTTGTGGGTCATTCCTATGTGCCAATATGCTGGCACGTTTACCTGCACTAATTCAGTCACTACACTTGATAGCAATTGCTTTGAGACAGTTTCCCATAATGTTGATGACATCAAATGGAAAGATTATTATTATTATTACAACGTAATGTCAAAACATCGCCAAACACTTGACAGGAAATCCCTGTCAAGTCCAGATAAACACGACAGCCATTTGGTACACAGCTCAGTATCGCCAGCAGCCATGAACTGAACAATTCATTTGTCTCAACGACTCCACAAAATAATTTGTTAGCTTCTGTGTGCAATTGGCTGCCACGTTTCGCCTACAAAATACACAGTCAATCCACTTCACAATATATTCTCAATGACATGATAAGGCGCTTGCATCAAATGCAAGGATTATTAATATTATTGTAAGTTTGTGTTCTGGTGGTGGTGATGGCTGTAGTGACTGACTGTCTGCCTTTTCCTCTCTCAGCTCCCGGTGCCCCAGCCCCCGGTTATGGAGCCCCGGGTTACGGAGGATTCCCTCAGGCGGGCGGTCCGACCTACCCGGGCGGTGCTCCGGGTTCTGCAGGTAATGTGACTGACCGCGGATACCGGCATTTCATCCTCCCCTGGCTTTGGCCCAGCTGCTCCTGTTAATTTGCCTCTGAAGCACATCACGCTTCCATACTGAACTGCCTTCTCCCTCCGCTCGGCGGGCTCCGGTCCACCATCAGCGGTCGGGCCTTCAGCTGTGCCCACACCCTTTGTAACTCCATCCCATGGTTCATCCGCCTTGTCCCCTTCCTCCTTCAAAGCCCTTCTCACTACCTTCCGCTTTGACCGCGCCTTAGGTCACCCTCCTACTCCTATCCTGCCTCCCATCCACCCCTCCTAATCCTAATCCCCAGTTTGGGTGCTAATCTTTGCGCCTTTGGATGTCCTCCCGATGTGAAAGGTGTATACAAATGTAATTCGTTGTTACACAACGAGTTACTCTGAGGAGCAGTGACTTTGGAGAGGCCAAGTTGGCAAATAAAACTGCTATTTAAAATAATAAAGGGATTTGATGGGGTAGCTACAGAGAGGCTCTATCCTCTGGCGGGGAAATCTAGAACAGAGGGGCATCATTTTAAAATGAGAGCTAGGTCATTTAGAAGTGAAATCAGGAAGCAGTTCTTTACACAAAGGCTAGTGGAAATCTGGAACTCTCTTCCCCCAAAAGGCTGTGGATGTGGATCCATTCACATTTTCAAGCCTGAGGTGGATAGATATTTGTTAGGTCGAGGTATCAAGGGATATGGGGCAAAGGCGGGTAAATGGAGTTGAGGTCCAGATCCGCCATGATCTAATAGAATGGCGGAACAGGCTCGAGGGGCTAAATGGATGATTCCTGGGGGGGTCCAAAGATCTCATCCAAAAAGATAGCACCTCTGACGATCCAGCCATGCTCGCCGACCTCCCCCCTCCCCACCCAGCACTGCATTGAAATATCAGCCTGGTCTGTGATCTTGAGCTTAATGTCTCTGCCGCGGGGCTTCTTTTTTTGGTCAGCCTGACATGAGGAAATCTATCACTAAGAGTATCCAAACCAGACTGAGAATTCCATGCATCCCACCTACACATGGAGATTCCAGAGATAGATTGTTGGAATGGAGTGTGCACTCTCCCCCCGGCTACTTAATTCCAGAGAGTATTATAGCCAGGTTGACGAGCCAAGGCTTGCGTTTGGTTAACAGCTAGAGTCTAACCAGATGAAACCATATGGTTTACTATTGATATCACTGTCTGGCAAGCTTTCCTGCTGCTTGTCCAGCTAGGACCACCCCACGCTAGAGTTTTGGCTTGCAGGATTAATGGGAGCTCACCTGCCCCCATTGACTAGTCTGCTCTTCCAAGTCTTCCCGATGAGCCAGGCTGGGCTGTCATCAGCAGTGCCCTGGAATACTGCGGACCCACCTGACTCAGGAACTGGACCGGAGACCGTCACAGAGGGCTGGTTTGATTCCGACATTCCTTTGCCAGTTCAGCTCCAAAGACCCCTGATCACGTGAACCAACATCAGAGAGCTTGAGAGGTTTTACTGTAAAGTGTAGTGACTATGTACTTGTGGCTGTGAAACTCCCACTGTGTGTCTGTCTGTCTCTCTGATGGTCTGTCTTTACTTGTTGTAGCTCCGAGTGCCCCAGGGCCTGGTTACGGTGCTCCTGGTTATGGTGGATACTCTCAGCCCAGTGGACAAAGCTATGGCGGTGGCAACCCCGCTCCAGGTAACTCAATCTTGGAGAAACTCATTCATTCATTCACACCTTCACCCAGGCTCCACTGTCCAAAGGTGTCACAGGCACAACACCCGATCACACTATCTGTCACTGACCTGGGAGTGTGGACAGACAGTGTAGCGGCAGCTTTACTGTGTGTCTAACTCTGACCTGGGAGTGTGGATGGACAGTGTAGAGGGAGCTTTACTCTGTCTCTATCCCTGACTTGGGAGTGAGGATGGACAACGTGGAGGGAACTTTACTCTGGCTCCAACCTGCACTGTCACTTACCTGGAAGTGCGTTTCGATAGTGTTAGAGGGAGAGTTACTCTGTCTCCTCGCTGTGCTGTGGCTGATTGTGAGCAGATATTGAAGATCATGTCTGACAGGGAGTGTAACACTCTATTGCTCTGTGTTGCAGGTGGATATCCCACTGGCCCTGCCCCTGGCCCTGCTATGAGTGGTCCTCACCCGCCCAGCTCCCAGGTATACCCGCCTCCTATCTGACCCCCTCATCTACCCACCCTCTGCCCAAAGCAAACATGCCCAGGTCCCAGCACTGCTCGCTAGCCACCAACGGCAGCCTTCAGCCCGAGGCAATGAAGCTGAGAAGGTGTCCGACACGGTGCAGGTTTGCTCTGTAGCAGAGTCACTGAAGAATTGCCTTGTGTTTATAACTGAAAATTGCTTGTCCAGAACCAGCAGTTAGCAGCAGCCCCTGACTTGCCCACAGCGGGGCCGCTCGGATTCTGATTGGAAATGGAACAAGATAGACCAACAACCTTCTGTCTAACCTGATACAAAGAAGCTCTCCGTCCCTCTCAGTGCGGGTCTGAACACGCAGCTCGTGATTTCCTTTTGTATCTGTAACCTTTTCTGCTTCCTGTGGCTGTCAGTCTGTGATGCTCTTCCTCCTACTGCTCTCTGTGTGTTGTGTGTGTGTGTGTGTGAGCGAGAGGCAGTGCTGTGTAAATCTGCCCACTGCTCGTGTTCACAGTGTCAGTGCGTATAGGGTGCCCGCAAAGTCCTGTTACCCCCATGTTATTTTTCTACAGTGCACAAACCAACAACTGAAACGTGTGGAAGATGGATGATAATTGTATCTAGAAGTACTTAACTGTAGTCAGTACAAGTGTTCAACTGTATTTAGTCGTACACAGGGCGGTTGTGAGTGAATGAGCGCCATCATTTTCATGGCAGATAATGATCCGCCGCCTTGTTCGGTGCCACATTTTCCATTACATGGATGGAGTGAGGACGCAAAATGCATCCCTTGGCAGCTTGTTTCAGCTCCTCCATAGTCTCCTATCCCTGTTTTGTAACAAGGGATAACAGGACTTGTGGACACCCTGTACAGTAGTGTGCAAATTGACTGGCACTAGCTTGGGTTCAGCTTGAGTCAAGCTCCCTGACTTGCAATCTCACTGCTCGGTTGAAAGGTTGTCGACCCCCGCCCCATCTCTGAGGAGACGCAGCCCTGGACCGTAGCTCTCCACAGCCCCCTCCTTTTCCCCTAAACCGGAACTAAGAGACAATGTCTCCATCAGTCTCCCAATCCTTTAACTCGTATCTTCTAGACTTGACTTGTTTTATGTGCGCCTGGCTTTATACTGAGTCATTTGATCTCCAAACAAATTGTCTTCCTTCCTACCCACTCCGCCCCCTCCCACCATTCCACCCCCCCCCCCCCCCCCCCCCCCCCCACTCCCCCCGACACACACATCAACCTGGAATCATCTTGGAGATGTTTATTAGCAATGCATGCTCCACCAGTGTGTTCCTCCCATTCTTCATTATTGTCCTTCTCTCTTCATCTGACGTGTTTGGTACCCAATCTTCATTACATGCCTCACCTCCTCTTTCTATTCAGTGTGTGGAACCCAATCTTCACTGTGATCCTTCACCTCCTTTCTTTGTTCAGTGTGTTCCACCAAATCTTCACGATGTGCCTCTTCTTGTCCTCTAATGTGGGCTATCCATCTCCTCCCCTCTTCTTCCAGTGTAGTTGGCAGGGAGCCTCCACTGCTCATTCATCATCAAGCGGGAAAAGAACCTTTGACCCAATTGATGAGAATTCTTTCAAAGCCTTCTTACTGAAGATAAAGGTGTGGGGATGCCTTTGGTAAATAGACCTCATGGCTGTGCTCCCAAAATTTTGATGTGTTGAGTGTCTCAATGTGTGTGTTCCACCAAATGTTCTCCTCTTGTGTGCTATCCAGTCTACACGGGGATGGGACATAGAGACTGGTGCAGCAACAATAACATATAGTGCCTTTCAGGTGAGGATGCTGTCACTATTTCCACTCTACACCAGGTTTGTGGCTGCTGGTGTTTAACCAGAACAAAGTATCACTCACACCTCCAGGTCACCAGTCTTCCTCTTCACGTCCAGACCAGAAGTTTATCCCTGAGTGTGTTTCCCTTACCTCACGTCTTGTACCGTTAGTACAGAGTGAATCATTTCCGAGGCACAAACTGTGCACCCTCGGGCTCTTCTCTTCCCTCTTAGGATAGAAAGCTCTGCCTCTATAGCACACTGAGGAGCGAGCAACACTCTGTATGTGCGACATTGTCCAGGACCATCTCTGGGGCCCTTCCTTTACTCTTCTATCGCTTGTGTTCTCAGGAGTTGAGATTCTTACTTCAGATCTGTTCCTCTTTTGGCGCTGATCGTGCAGTTAAATATTAGAGGAGCTGATGATGCTCACTCAACATCTCTGCTGAACTCAACGTCTCAGCATTTCTTCCCAGTTGTGTTTCTGTCACACTGTTGTGGATTCGATCCAGTTTGTCTGTTGTACTGGGTTGGGTGCAGAGTTGTGCTGTACTGGGCTAGATCTCGGTTCTATAGGTGCTTTGCAGAGCATGTGCCAGTCTTTTGTCAACAGTTCCTAACCACATCGCCTACCCTCTCTCCCTGTCCCTGGGAGACCTTGAAGACCAATCATTTTTTTCAAAAGACTATTTTGCTTTTCTGGCACCACTTCTCTTGAGGGCACCCTGTCCATCCCTTCTTGCCTGTTCCACCCTTGCCCTATAAAAAGGGAGTGAATAGGTGCAGTCTAGTTAGAGCAAAGTTTACGTCATCTCTTCCACCTCCAACAAATAGATCTCTCTGGTCCTACAAACCAGAGTGGAGTCCCATAGCATAGTGATTAACGCACTCGCCTCGCAAGCGAGAGGACCCGGGTTTGATTCCTTAGGCAAGTTTTTTTTACTCTGCACGCCTCTGTATACCTAGCAGTAAGTAGGAACCTGGTTCTTCGTCGATTGGCAGATTGCTTTCCAAGGTAATAATCCCTCCAGAAAAAAATAATAATTTGGGTGAGACTTCTCAACAATGTGCTACATCAAATGCAAGGATTATTATTATTATACACGCTCAGTCATAAAAGGCTCTTCATTGATGCCAGATTTCACACCTTTTGACTCTTCTGAGGAGCTTTATGAAGAAGATCTTCGGCATTGATAGACCATGACACTGGGCTCCTTCTTAGCCAGAGTGAATCCAGATGCTGCTTTATATGTGCCGTCTCTTTGTCATTTATTTTCCGTGAATTCTTTGTGTGTTACTTTGTGAGGCTTGGAGACTGTGAGAAAGAGCCTGTCAGAGAGGACCTTCTTGACACTCTTACCTTCCAAGCAACCTTGCCCCTCTCTTTCTCATCTTCCGTTCCGCACTTGACCCCATTCTCTGTTACGTGACCACCTTCACAAGGGTGCTGTAAAGCTCTCACTACCCTGGGGAAAACATTGCTCTAGCCCAGGACAAACACAGAACTTAACAAACGGCAGTGAGGGTATTCTAGAATACATTGAATTTCCTGTTGCTCTATTCCATGTTGAAGACGCTATGTATCTGCTTCCTTACCATGTTCAACCTCAAAACCTTTTTAAATAAAAAAAATTCAAAACTGAAGTGATTTGGAAGTTGCAGTGTGTGCGATGTGGAGCAGGCGGTCTTTCGTTCCTTATTAAGCGAGTCCTCTGCAGGCTGGTTTCATAATTCCTGTCCAATATTAACCCAAACCCAACTGGTGTGAGATTGAGGAACATCCAGTGTCCATCCGAGGCTTCTGGTCGATCAGAATCGAGCCTGCCCTCTGTGGCGGCCTCTAGTCTGGTTCCTGAGCCAAGCTGGTCTAAAGTATTCCAGAGCTCTGCTGATGACAGCACAGCCAGCCTGGCTCATCAGCAATGACTTGGAAGGGCAGACCAGTTACTGGGGGCAGGGAATCCTCCCACTCATCTGTTAACAAGCAGCGGGAAATCTTGACAGACAGTGCTCTCAATGTCAAGCTATGTGGATTTAGCTGGTTAGAAACTGCAGCACAATAGGAAACCATTCAGCCCATTGAGTGTATATTGGTCTTAGCTCCTCCACTGGATCTCTCTCCTCCAACCCCAATTTCCTCCTCACTCTCTTTTACATCAGTTTCTCTTCACATACTGATCTATTTTCCACGTAAACATTGTGACACCATTTCAACCGCGTCCACTTGTGCCAAATATTCCATGTTCTAACAACCTTCTGCATGAACATCTCTCCTAACTCTTCCTTCACTGTCCTGGATCGATCGGTGCTGATCCTGTCCTGGGGTCATGTCTTTATCGATTTGCCGCTCAGCCAGAATAGTCTTTAACTACTTATCAAAACCATTCAGGATCTTGAAGACTTCTATTGCGTTCCCTCCTAAACTTCTCTTCTTCACTCACCAGTTTATTTTAAACGTTCCTCTTATCTGTAAACTGTTCTGCCTGCTTTATCCTCTTCACGGTGTCCCATAGAGTAGTGGTTAGCTCGCGGATTGCGCGACTGTTTGTGGACCATTGCTGTGCACGTTTGGTTGCCACATTCTGCCCAAAAAATACACACTTTACAATATATTTTGTGAAGCGCTTTGAGACATCTCAACAACGTGATAAGGCGCTATATCAAATGCAAGGATTATTATGTGGCTTTGACATTCCTTACATACTGGAGCACCCAAATCTGCACACATGACTCCACCATAGCCTGACCCGTATATTGTATACAGCTGGTGTCACTTTCTTACTTGTGAATTCAATGGCCCTGTGGCTAAAGCTCTGAATCCTATTTACTTTTTTAATAGCCTTCATGACCTGAACTCTCACTTGTAAAGATCTCTGGATCAGGCTGGCTCTGTGGTAGTGCTGTTGCTTCTTAAGTCAGAAAGTTGATGGGTTCAAGCCCCACATCAGGACTTGCAATTGCATAGTGACGCTCCAATGCAGTGCTGGGGCGGGGTGTTGCAATGTCGGAGGTCCTGCCTTCGGATGAGACATTAAGTCGATGTTCAGTCTGCCTGTTCAGGTGGATATTAAAGATCCCATGGAGCTATTCGAAAAGAGAAGGGAGTTTGAAACCACAACCTTCTGACTCAGAGGCGAGAGTGCTACCACTGAACCAGGCTGACACACGAGAAGCTGTAATATCTCGAGCTGCCTTTTAGAAAAAACTAGGTTAGCAGAAGAACGGGAACTGATTGGGAAATGGCAGCAGTTATTCTTGAAGGAAGATTGAGAAACCTATTGCTTCAGGTGATGATTCCTCCCCCCTATGAGCCCAGTTCCATGGTAACAAGCCAACACTGTCACTGATGGACTTTGGTCAGGCACTCTCGTCTCTGAGTCAGAAGGTTGCAGGTTCAAGATCCACGTTGGGTGTTTTGAGCTCACAGTCTAGGCTGATGTTTCAGTGGGGGAGCGCCACAGTGTCAGGGGTGCCGTCCTTCGAATGAGGCATTAATCTGAGCTCCTGTCTGTGCCTGTTCAGGTGGATGCTGAGGATCGCATGGCACCATTGGAAAAGAAATATCTTGGCCAACCATCCCGCAAATAAAATTGGTCATTCACTTCCTGGTTGGTTGTGGATATTGCTGCGTGCAAATTGACTGCTGTATTTGCCTACAAAACACACAGTCACTACACTTGTTAGTAAATCCTGTGAAGCACTTTGAGATGTCCTGACAAGGTGACACTCCTCCATTGTCTTGCTCCTCTTTTCATCTGTGACCTACTGACTCCATGCCGGTCTATCTGCTCCCTCCACTCAATGAGCTCCAGCCTGACACACAGGAAGCTGTAATATCTTGAGCTGCCTTTTAGAGAAGACTAAGTTAGCAGAGGAACAGGAACTGATTGGGAAATGGCAGCAGTCCCACCCCACCTGTTCCACCCCGACCATAGTGGCCAGACCTTCAGCCTCTCTACCCCCAGCTTTTGGAACTTCATCCCACAGACCCTTTGCCTCGCCTCCTCTCTTCTTATCTGTAGACCCTCCTCTCGCAGAACAGACTATCCTCCCCTCACAGCATTGAGCTGTTTCTTAAATTCCTCAACCACCCTTCCTGCTAACCCTGTTCCAGCTATTAATAATAATAATCCTTGCATTTGATATAGTCCCTTATCGTGTTCGAGACGTCTCTCAAAGCGTTTCATAGAATATACTGTCAAGTGAATTGGCCTGTATATTTTGTTGGAGAAACACAGCAGACAATTGCCCACAGCAGTGTCCCACAAACAGTCATGGATTGAGTGACCAAATTCTTCTTATTTTTTTGAAGGGACCAACAATTGGGTTCCTACTTACTGCTAGATAAACAGATGCATGTGGAGTAAGGAAACTTGCCTAACATATCGCCCTGCCTGGTAATCGAACCCAGGTCCTCTCACTTGCAAGGCGAGTGCTCTAACCACTGAGCTACAGGATATACTGTACTGTAAAGTGTATTTTATGGGCAAAACACAGCAGCCAGTTGAGCACAGCAGTGTCCCACAAACAGCCGTGGAGTGAGTGACCAATTTTATTTGGAGAATTGTTGGCGAGGACACCGAGAGAGAGAAACTCCCTTCTCTTTTCAAATAGCATCGCAGGATCTTTAACATCCACCCGAACAGGGAGACGGGACCTTGATATAACGTCTCAGCCGAAGGACGGCACCTCCAACAATGTAACACCCCCCAGCGCCACATTGGAGCGTCGGCTTAGACAATGCGGTTCCAAGACCCTGATGTGGGGCTTGAACCCACAACCTTCTGACTCTAAGTCGAGAGCGCTACCGCTGAGCCAGGCTGACACACAGCCACATGAGCCGGCACAAACGGGGGTTCGGTTTTAACGTGTTGGACAAAAACTGGTAATGAAGAAGTCTCGGCCCACACCCCCACCCACCACCCCGCCGAGCGGGGAGAGAAAGGGAGGCAGAGCTGGATGGTGGCTGTGATTTAATCCTCTCATGTCTTGCCTGCAGCCCTCGATGCCAAACATCAACGCGCTATCTATCGGCAGTGGTGCGACCCAGGGCACGGTCAGGCCAGTGGGAAATTTCAATGCCCAGAACGACGCAGAGGTGATCCGCAGAGCCATGAAGGGGGCGGGTAAGTTACCGCAACATTACCACAACTCTCTCCCTCTCGCACTCTCTCTCTCTCTTCCACTCTGTCTGTCTGTCTGTCTGTCTGTCTGTCTGTCTGTCTGTCTGTCTGTCTGTCTGTCTGTCTGTCTGTCTGTCTGTCTGTCTGTGTGCGTCTATGTCTGTCACTCCGTCTCTCTGTGACACTCTCTCTGACATACACTCTCTCTCTCTCAGGGACGGATGAACAAGCGATAATCGACATCGTCTGTAATCGCAGCAATGATCAGCGGCAAAAGATAAAATTGGCTTTCAAGACTCTTTACGGCAAGGTTAGCGCAGGGTCAGCGTGGGGGGAGGACACAATGCGGATGGAGGGGGTCAGGATGGGGGGAGGGGGGCAGCGAGAAGGGATCGGGAGAGCGCACGCGGAGGGGACAGCATGGTGGGAGGGGACAAGGCGGGGACGCTGTATTGTGCTGGAGGTGGGTTGTATCGTGGGGGTGTTTTATCCCTGACTGGGCGCTGACACATGTATTGCTGTTGTATGAAGGACCTGATTAAGGACCTGAAGTCGGAGCTGTCGGGGAACATGGAGGAGTTGATTATCGCTCTCTTCATGCCAACCACTTACTACGACGCCTGGAGTGTGCGCAAAGCCATGGAGGTACCGACCCCACTGGAGCTCTCTGCTCTAACCCCATTCCCTGCTCTTTCCCCATCGTGTCGGTGCTGGTGCTCGCTCTCCCACTGGAGTTCTCTACTTCAATCCCATGCCTTGCTCTTTTTTCTGAACTATTATAAAAATTCAAGTTGCTTTATATTGAATTATCTTTTTAAACGCTTTTAATTCAGTCATGTTTGAACGTTAACTGGCTGTCAGTGTAACCACCCTTAGTCTAACCTCTGCTCTAATCCTCTCCCTTGAGGCGATGGGTGTTGGCTGCCTTCAGCCCAGATCACGCTGAGATCAGAATGAATCTGGATTTACAATAACAACAGTAACAAATTACGTTTACACAGTAACAAATTACGTCTTTCACATCGGGAGGACATCCCAAGGCACTGGACAGTCATGGGCTTGAACCCAAGCTGGGGGTTGGGATCAGGAGAGGAGGAGGATAGGGGTAAGAGGGTGACCGAAGGCGCGGTCAAAGAGGAGGGTCTTGAGACGGGCCTTGAAGGAAGCAAGGGAGGGGGCGAGGCGAAAGGTTTGTTGGATGGCGTTCCAGAGGGTTGGAGCAGAAAGGCTGAAGTCCTGACAGCCGATGATGGGGTGGGCAGGGCGGGGGAACATGGAGCAGGCTGGAACCTACTGAGTGGAGGGAGTGGACGGGTTGTTAACTGCCACCAGTGACTGGTCTGCCCTTCGGGTCCTGCTGATGAGCTGGGCTGTGCTGTCATCAGCAGTGCCCTGAAGTACTACTTTCCCATCTGGCTCAGGAACTGGACTAGAGATGGTCACAGAGGACTGGCTCGATTCTGACATTCTGTTGTCAAACATGTCACTTTGGAGCCAGTTCAGCTTTGAGGTGACATACTTGGAGGAGAGGGGTTGATGGCTGGAGCTGAGCGGGTTGTTGTTGCCCACAGGGAGCGGGCACTCAGGACCGAGTGCTGATTGAGATCCTGTGCACCAGGAGTAATCACGAGATCCAGGAGATCGTCCGCTGCTACAAGAAACGAGCTGGGACGCGACATCGAGAAGGACCTGAAGAAAGACACAAGCGGCCATTTCAAGAGGCTCCTCATCTCCATGTCCCAGGTCAGGGTGGGGGGCAGCAGAGTGAAGGCCAGAGTCAGAAAGTTGTGGGTTTAAGCCCCACGTCAGGACTTGGAATCACTTAGTCTAAGCTGACGTTGCAATGCCGCGCTGGGGGTGTGTTGCTTTGTCGGAAGGTCCCGTCTGCCTGTTCAGGTGGATGTTAAAGATCCCATGGTGCTATTTGGAAAGAGGAGAGAGTTTCTCTCCTGGTTTCTGGCCAACAATCCAACAAATAAAACCGGTCACTCACTCCGCAGCTGTTTGCAGGACACTGCTGTGCACAATTGGCTGCGGCATTTCACGCACAAAATACAGTTAATCCACTTTACAGTATATTCTGTGAAGCGCTTTTGAGACGTCTCGATGATAAGGCGCTATGTCAAATGCAAGGATTATTGTTATGAAGGAAATAGTTAACTTCACTCCTTGGCTGTTTGTGGGACGTCGTCGTGCACAAATTGGGCTGGGGCGTGCGCCCACAAATATACACAAGTCACTACACTTTACCGTGAGCCCTGTGAGGCTGTGTGTCGTCCTGCTGGGGTGAAAGGCAGTGTGTAATGTGAGGATTGTTGTTATTGCGAGTGTTATGGCGGTGTGTGCCTCTGGCTGATGTGCTATTGCTTGTTTGCTGTCAGGGTAACCGGGACGAGACGCAGAGTGTGGACCAGCAGAAAGCCAGGGCGGACGCCGAGAGGCTTTACCGTGCCGGCGAGGGCAAGCTGGGCACCGACGAGTCCACCTTCAACATGGTGCTGGCCACCCGCAGCTTCCCACAGCTCCGTGCCACCCTGCAGGAGTACTCTCGGGTAAGGTAGCCACCGCCATTTGCCCCACCCTACCCCCAGCTCCCTGCCCCCAGCTCCCTGGCCCCACCCCCAGATCACACACCCCTGTTCTCAGAGAACACTCCCCACCCCACACTCGCCCCCCAACCCCCACCCCCCTGAGCCTTCGCTTGTGGAGCGGCTGCAGCTGCCCTGAGTTGAGGGTTTACAGGTGTCTCTGTCTCCATCTCACTGTCTGTCTCTATATCTCACTCTCTGTCTATCACTCTCCTCCTCTCTCTGTCTCTCTCTCGTTCTCTATGCAGATGGCCAACCGTGAGCTCATCAACAGCATCGACCGGGAATTCTCCGGAGACGTCCGTGACGGCATGCACGCCATTGGTGAGACCACAGCGTCCGGGTCAGGGCTGGGGCAGAGCTTGGCTGGGGCGGGGGTTTTGGGCAGAGGCGGTGGCTCTGGCAGGGTGAGGGAGTCTGGCTGATCCCTCAGGGAGTAACCATGCTGTGGTGTGTTTCCCTCCAGTGCAGTGTGTTATGAACAGACCGGCCTTCTTTGCTGAGAAACTCTACAAGGCCATGAAAGGTCTCGGCACCAGTGACTCCACCATCATCAGGGTCATCGTCACTCGCAGTGAGGTGCGCATCGGCTTAGAGTAACAGCAGCTCGTTCCTCATCGCTTCCGTGCTACCGCTCTCCGGTGTCTCATCTCACTCTCCATCTCTCTCCCTCTCTCTCTCATGCTCATGTCCTCTCTCACTCCCCTACTCTCACTCCCCTTCTCTCAGTCCATCTCTCTCATTCTCTCTCTCTCTCTCTCTCTCTCTCTCTCCCCTCCCCCCACCTTCCTCACACATCTCAACGACATGATAAGACACTATATCAAGTGCAAGGATTATTATTATTTTTAATCTTTTCTCCCCCCTCTCACTAGCCAGCCAGCCGGGTGTCTCAAAGCCCTGTGCACTGCTTGGCCAGTCCAGTGAGAGGGTGGGGGGAGGGCAGTTAGAGTGGGAAGTGCTGTGTAAATGTGAACTGTCTGACTGTAACGCTTCTCTTGCCCGCCCGCAGATTGACCTGGTGCAGATCAAGCAGGTGTTCTGGGAGAAGTACCAGAAAAGCCTGCGGACCATGGTGGAACACGACACCAGCGGAGACTACAAGCGTATGCTGCTGTCCGTCATCGGCAACTGAAAGCCGCCCCCTCTCTCACCCCCTCGCTCACTCCCTCCATGCCTTAGTCAATGCCAAAGCCACTTTGAGATTCCCAGAGAGACTGCTCCCCGCCTCCCCAATCGCATCCCACCTCCCCGCTCCCAGTCCACCTCCAGTTTGGAAAAAATCCTGTTTTCCCCGGGATTGATTTTGTCTGCGTCGTAATCTGATGAATGCTTGTGGCGTCTCAGTATTCCTCCTCCCGCCTCCTGGGTGTTGAAAGGAAACCCAGTTGACGCTCAATTTCCATCCATCCGGAATTCTGCGCAGTTAAAGCGCGGAGATTAACGCTCAGTAAACCCCCAAATGCAATGTGTTCGCCACTGCTCGTCCTGCTGCACGTGTCACAGCTACATGTAACCAGGGTTGAATATCGTCACATCACCGGACCCCTCACGACACCTCGTTTCCATTGTGGGGGTGGGGAGAGAATTTTCAAATGACCTCGATACCCAGTTAGGGATCTGACTGATCCATTTGAATACATTGCAGCTGGGAAGGAATACTGATCTGAGCATTTCTTGCTTCGACGGAGAAACCTTTGCTCCAGATCTATTATTTGGAGGAGCCCTCCCTCCCCCAAGTCCCACCTCCATCTGTCAGTCATAAGTCACCCTAACGGTTCATAATTATACTGGGAGAGGATTATTCCACTAAATTTAGAGAGGGGAGAGCCACCAGCTGGTGGTTATCAAATCTATCCTAATTGACGCAAAGAATGCTTTTTTAAAAAAAGGCGCCCCCTTCCCCTGTCTCTGAATATCTAGTGGGAGAGACTTTAGACAACTATCTAAACAAGGTTTTAACCGGTAAAGCCTTTGTGAGTTTGCTGAATGTATCTGATTATTAATTCTATTATTCTGCTGTTATAGTAAGCTTGTATGTCGAATCACGTGGAGAAAGAAACTATTTGGGTTGTTTTGAAGCAGTGGCGCTTGTTGAAATCCAGGCAAAGCCTCGTTGTAACGAGATGCTTTGACTTCTGCCAAAATGGCTGCCGGTCCGTGCTTCCAAATCGCCAATGATGTCGTGTCCTGTGCGCTCTGCATGCGCGCTATACGCAGGCAGGCCCCCTGACATCAACTCCTGTTGGCGTCACTTCCTGTGCGTTCTGCTGATGGGTCACACCCTGTTGGATCCACAGTGTGAAGCGTTATAACGAGGTTTGGTCTGGTGCGAAGGAAAGGCGACCGAGCCAAATTCAGATATTCCCCCCAAAAACTTAAGCGAACCATGATTTAGTGCCACCCGCTCACTGCACAGGTGATTTATACAGAGCATCACCTGAATACTCGAGCCACATGCTGACACTAGGCTTAGCTGAGCTCTGCACATCTATCATTGTATCAAAGTCAAAAATAACTGCGTTGGACATCATAGATGCTTTTCTCAGAGAGAGCAGGAGAACCAGTCAACATGGATCCCAATATTGCCTGTAACCTGATGTTATCTTTACTTGTGATGGTTATTTGGACATTTCCAGCATACTCACACTCACTCACACTCAGTCACTTACTCATCTCATATTCACTCTCATACATTTTCACACACTGATACAAACACATTCTTTCACACGCGCACTCTCTCCACTGTCGTACATACTCTCACACATAAATACACACACACACACTCTCACACTATCAACTCACGCACACTCACATGCTCTTGCGCACACGCACACACACTCATTGTGGGTTAGACTGACCTATTGTTTACTCAGTCCTCACGTGTCTCAGGACAGGGCGAGGTCTGTTTGGAAGCTGACCATTCAATGGCTCAAAGTTCACACTCAGGACCCTCTTCCCCCCAAATAGCTACGACAATCTCTTCCCCCCACCCTCCCTCGCCTGCCCCACACCCACTCAGTAACCACCTGCTATAGTGACCTCTCTGTCCACAGCCATATCTGTATCAGCCACCGGGGTCCTGACCAAAACACAAAGCTTGTTTTTGAGGTTGGGGGAATTTGGTCAGCCAGGTATCTGACACACACAGAAACCCATCACCGTGCTTAACAGTCTCCCAATCAAACTGAGAATTCCTTGTATCCCACCTACACATGGAAATACCAGAGATAGACTGTTGGGAATCGAATGCGCACTCTCCCTGATTCTTATCTAATTCCAGAGAGTATTAGGCGCAGGTTGGCAAGAGCCAAGGCTTGGGGACACCAGAGTGTTGTAACCGCTGGAGTCTAACCAGCTAAAACCGCATAGCTTGCCTTTGATATCGCTGTATGGCAAGCTTTTCTGCTGCTTGTCCAGCTTGGACTACCCTACGGGTTAGGGCTTTGGCTTGCGGGGTTAACGGGAGCTGAGTGGAAAGAGTCCCTGGACCCAGTGACTGGTCTGCCCTTCCAACAAAGTCGGTCACCTGCTTAGGCTCCTCTCACCGTTCCTCCGTCCTCACACACAACTCCAAACACTTTTTCTGTGGTTCAGTTTTTGTACGGATCGACAAGTGACATCACGGTAAAATTCTTGGGGGTGGGGGAACTATAAAAACCCTGGAAAATGTTGCCCTACCCCAACCCCACCGCCAAGACTGGAATAATGGAAAAATCTCAGTTTCTGTGTTTCTTTGTGTTTTTTGCCAATTGCTAAAGTACGAGAAATGAAAATAAAACTATTGGATGACGCGCAGCTTTGGTTCTCTCTATTTGACAACAGCAACAATAAATTACATTTCCACAGCGTCAGAAGAATATCCTGAGCCCCTGGAACGTCAACAGTTTGCACCCGAGCTGTGGGTTGGGATTAGGAGAGTATGGTGGGTGGGTGCTTAAAGCAAGGTCAAAGAGGAAGGTCTTGAGACGGGTCTTGAAGGAGACAAGGGAGGCAGTGTGGCAAAGATACTGGGATGGAGTTCCAGAAGGTGGGGAGCAGAAAGGCTGAAGGCCCGACCGCCAATGGTGCGGCAGGCAGGGTGGGGGACGTGAAGCAGGCAGGAGTCCACTGAGCAGAGGGAGCGGGCAGGTTGGTAGGTGGAGGGAAAGAGCAGGGAGATGGAGAGGAACAAGAATGTGAAGCACTGGCCATGGTGTGGCTGGTACAGCATGTTCCCAAGAGAACAGCAACAACTTGCACTTATATAGCGCCCTCCACACAAGGTAGCGTCTCAGAGCGCTTATCAGTGGTGGAGCCTGACTCCAAGCCAGCGAGGAGGTGACGGTAAGCACAGTTGAAAAGGAAGGTTTTCAGGTGGGAAGAGGGGGGGCAAGGTGGAGGGATTGAGAGTGTTCCAGAGTTTCGGGACGTAGTGGCTGAAAGCGCATCCTCCAATGGTGGAGCGGAGGGAGCGAGGGACAAGCAGGAGGCCGGTGCCAGTCGAGCGGATTTTTCGAATAGTGGAGCTGGGGAGACCGGCGAGGAGTGCGTTTGAGTAATCCAGGCAGGAGGTGACAAACGCTTGCATGAGGGTTTCAGCTGTTTTGGGGTAAGGTACTGTCGGAGGCGGGCAATGTGGCGGAGGTGGAGGAAGGCTGTCCTGGTCAGGGACCAGATGTAGACGAGGAAGGACAACTGGGGGTTGAACCAGTCACCTAGGTACACACTGGTTCGGTGAGCCTGAGGGAGAGCCAGGGAGGTTGAGGTTGTTCAGATCCGGAGGAGTGAAGACGTTGACAGGAGCCAAGGAGTATGTATGGCTTCCGTCTTGTCCACATTCAGCTGCAGGAAGTTTACACTCATCCAGGCCCTGATATCTGCCAGACAAGCTGATAGGACATCGGCGGACCTGGAGTCGATACTGGAAGAGACCATGTAGATTTGTGTGTCATTCGCATAGATGTGGAAGTTTACTCCAGTTCTGCAGATGACATCGCCCAAAGGGAGCATATAGATAAGGAAAAGAAGAGGGCTGGGGTACCCTGCATGTGACCGGGCGGGAGCGGGAGGAGAAACCATTTGCCGAGATGAAGTGGAGGCAGTTGGTTAAATAAGATTCAAACCACGTGAGTACGGTCCCACTAAGGTGGATGAGGGAGAAGAGGCGGTGGAGGAGGATGGCGTGTTCGACTGTGTCCACGGCAAAGAGCTCCAGGAGGACTAGAAGGCAGAGAGATCCCTGGTCACAGATAGAGTGGATGTTGTTTGTGATTTTGACAAGCGCTGTCTCTGTGCAGGGGCTCGAGGAGGTAGTGGATGGGGAGGTGTGACCGAATTTGAGCTATAGGCAATCTATTCACTCACAGGCTGGTCAGCGTTAGAAGGAATGTTTATAGTTGTTTTTAACCAGAGGGGCACAGACCAACAAGATATCAGCTCTATGTATGGGGACTGCAGGGAACGTATGTATATATGTGTTAGGTGAGTGTATATGTGTATCTCTGTTAGGTGTGCGTTGTGTGTGTGTATCAGCGCCTTGTACGTCCTCCCAACGTGAAAGGTGCAATACAAATGTAATCTTGTTGTCTGTATCTGTCTGTATCTGTGTTAGATAAGTGTGTATGTCTGTGTTAGGCATATACATGTGTGTGTGTACCAGTTGAATGTGTGTGTTCCTGTTAGGTGAGAGTGTGTGTGGGTGGGGGTGGGCCTATATGTGTCAGATAAGTGAGTGTGTGTGTCTGTGCTAGGTAATTGTGTGTGTCTTGCGTGGGTGAGTATCAACAAGAACAACAAAATTACATTTATTGAGCGCCTTTCACGTCGGGAGGACGTCCCAAGGCGCTGAACAGTCAGCTGTCGGGGCCCGAGCATGGGAGAGGGGTGGTGTAGGGGTGAGGGAAGGCAGAGAGGTGGGAGGGTGACCAAAGGCACGGTCGAAGAGAATGGTCTTGAGACCGGCGTTGAAGAATGCGAGGGAGCAAGTAAGACGAAGGGACCGTGGGATGGAGTTCCAGATTGTGGGGGCAGAGTGGATGAAAGTCCGGCCACCGATGGTAGGGTGGGTCGGGCGGGAGACATGGAGCAGCCGGAGCCCGATGAACGGAGGAGCGGGCAGGTTGGTAGGGAGTCAGCAGGTCAGAGGTAGGAGGGGGCAAAGCCATGGATGGCCTTAAAGGTGAGGACGAGGATCTTGAACTCGATCCTCTGGGGGATGGGGAGCCAGTGGAGTCAGGCGAGGGTGGGAGTGATGGGGTCACGGAGCCTGGTGCGTGAGAGTACACGAGCTGCAGAGTTTTGGATGATCTGCAGCTTGTGAAGGGAAGAGTTGGGAAGGCCGATGAGGAGGGAGTTCCCGTAATCGAGCCTTGAGGTGACGAATGCGTGGGTGAGGGTTTCGGCAGCCTGAGGGGTGAGGCAGTGGCGGAGTCTGGCAATGTTGCGGAGGTGGTGGGAGGCAGTGCCGGTCATGGCGTGGAGTATGTGTGTGTTAGGTGAGTATGTGTGTGTCTGTGTTCCTGTGTTACTTGAGCGAGTGTGTGTATACAGTATACCCAGTGAATCTCCGTGCGGCCTTTGGGTGGCAGTACACTCCGTTGTTGTCTATTTCTGGAAGTTTTATAGTGAAAATACTGGAGACGATAGCAGGTGCTGGGAGAGCGAGGAAGACGGAGAGGGGAGCTGTGGCTTCAGGGATCAGCAAACAGCAACACTGAAAGATGACAGAGGGTTAGACAGTCAAACAGCAACAACATCAACTTGCATTTATATAGCGCCCCTCAGCGAGAATAGCGACCTAGAGCGCTTGACAGTTGCAGAGCACGACTCCGAGCTGGGGCGAGGTGGGGAGGTGATTCTAGGCTTTGGGACGTCCTCCCGACGTGAAAAGCGCTATATCAAATGCAAGGATTATTATTATTATTATTATGGTCGAAATGTAAGATCTTCAGGCGCGATCTGAAGATCGGGAAAGAGGGGGCAAGGCAAAGGGATAGGGGAAGAGTCTTACAGGGCAATGATACTGAGGACAAAGCCAGGACAAACATAAGAAGTCTATGGAAGGGCAGAGATGAGAGAGGATTAGGAGAAAACCATAGCAAAAAACACCAACCACAATAGTCAGCTTTCTCCAGATACATTTTAATAAAGCTTACATTTGATATCACATTTTATCATGTTACCAAGACATCTCAAAGCGCTTCACAGCATTTACTATCGTGTAGTGACTGTATCTTAATAATAATAATCCTTGAATTTGCTATAGCGCTTTTCACATCTTCTCGACATCTCAAAGCGCTTCACAAAATATACTGTAAAGTGAATTGACTGCATATTTGTGGGCGAAATGCGGCAGCCAATTGCGCACAGCAGTGTCCCACAAACAGTCGTGGATTGAGTGACCAATTTTATTATTGTTTTTTTTTCTTGAGGGATTATTATCAGGCATGTGGAGTAAGGAAACTCGCCCAAGGTTTCGACCTGCTAGGAATCGAACCCAGGTCTCTCGCTTGCGAGACAAGTGCTCTAACTACTGAGCTACAGGACTCCACATTTTGTAGATAAACGCGTCAGCTAGTTTGCACGCAGCTATGTCCCACAAACAGCCATGGAGTGAGTGACCAATTTTAATCTGAGAGATTGTTGACCAGGACATCAGAAGAGAGAAACTCATTTCCTTTTCCCAATAGCATTGCAGCATCTTTCACATCCACCTGCACAGGCACAGAGGGACCTTCAGTTTTAATTTACAAAGATTTACACAGAATGTACAACGCCACTCGGCCCAACCAGTCCGTTCCGGTGTTTATACTCCACGCAAGTCTCATCTCTCTCCCCTCCTTTCTCCTTACTTCCTCTCCCATATCCTCTATTCCACTGTCCCTCATATAATGGTCGAGCATCCTCTTGAGTGCATCCACACTATTTGATTGAACCACTGATTCAGGCAGTGAGTTCCACAACCTCACTATCCTCTGAGTGAAGTAATTCCTAAATTCTCTTTTAGATCCCCTTGTTGCTAGTTTATATTCGTGTCTCTTGGTTACGGACTCTCCAACCGTGGGGATATCTGATTTGAAAGACAACGCTTCCAACAATGCAGCACTGCACGGGAGAGTCAGCCTAGAATAGACTGGGAGATCAAGTCCTTCAGTGGAGCCAAAATAACTACTTTTGTTTGTCTGCATTTAACTGGATCTGGCACATCTCCTTAATTAGTCTAGGTCTTAAAGAATATTTTTACTTGTTACCTGACACAAAGCCTGGTGTTATCAGCAGGTAATAATAATCATCCTTGGCATTTGTTATAGCGCCTTATCTCGTTGTTGAGATGTCTCGAAGGTGATTCACAGAATATACTGTAAAGTGGATTGACTGTGCATTTGTCGGCAAAACACAGCAGCCAATTTCACCCAGCAGTGACTCACAAATTTGTGGATTGAGGTGATTATTACCCCCAGAAAGTGATCCACCAAACAACTAACAACCAGGTTCCTACTTACAGCTAGGTAAACAGAGGAGTGCGGAGTGAGGAAACTTGCCTAAGGTTTCGCCCCGCCTGGGAATCAAACCCAAATCCTCACGCTTGCGGGGTGAGTGCCCTAACCACTACGCTACAGAACTTGGCAATACTAGTACACAAACTGGTATTGTCGGGAGGTGGTGTAATGTGGCAAGACATTCTGTCCTCTGAGTCACACCAGTGTCTAGTGTCTCAAGTCTGTCCTAAGTAACCATTCTTTAGTGTGAGTCTGAGACTTGTCTCCCGCCCTCCCTTCTATTCCCCTCTCCCCCACTCCCCCCGGTACGAGGCCAGGCTGTTGTCAAATGCAGGTGCTCCCTGGCCTGGCCCGGCCCTGCTCCAGCACGCTGCTGGCGGTCTCCAGGCGGCTGGCGGTGTAAGTGCTGGCGCGGTTCAGTCGCTGACTGCGAGCCACCTTCAGCTCCAGCTCATCGTACTTACTGAGCCGCACGAAGGGACACCAGCGGAACGCTCGCTTAAAGCCGATCCGGAACCTGCAACACAGCACAGCATCAGGTCAGCAAAACAGCGCACAGGAGGGAAGGGAGTGAGGTAGTCAATTAGGGAGGGAGGAAATGAGCGTATGAGTGTGAGAGAATGCGAGTAGGCTTTGCTCACCGTTTGTTGAGGCAGCAGTAGATAATGGGGTTGTACATGGTGGAGCTCATGGCCAGCCAGAAGATGGCCAGGTAGACCTGCTGCATGTACGTCTCGTAGTAAATGTCGTTGTTGAAGCTGCCGAGAATGAAGTAGAAGTGATAGGGCAGCCAGCAGATCCCGAAGGTCACCACCACCACAATCATCATCTTCACCACCTGCAACACAGCGAGAGCTTCACTCAACACAACATCCAACGGACCTCAATAGAGCACCCAATGTACCTCAATGCAGCACCCAACACACCTCAATCAGCACCCAACACACCTCAACACAGCATCCATCACACCAGAACACAGCATCCAACACAATGTCCACACCTCAACACAGCATCCAGACATTTTCTACAAGGCCACAAACTCCCATAGCTATCTTGATTACACCTCATCCCACCCAGCTCCCTGCAAAGATGCCATTCCATTTTCCCAGTTCCTCCGCCTCCGCCACATCTGCTCCAACAATGCAACCTTTCACGCCAGAGCAACCGAAATGTCCTCATTTTTCCTCGACTGAGGATTCCCATCAACATTAACAGCCAAGGCCCTTGACCGTGTCCGCTCTGTTTCCTGCACCTCTGCCCTCACCCCTTTCCCCCCCATCCCAGAACCGGGATAGGGTGCCCTTAGTCCTCAACTACCACCCCACCAGCCTCAAGATTCATCACATCATCCTCCGACATTTCCCGCACCTCCAGTGTGACTGATCCACCAAACACATATTTCCCTCCCCTCCGCTCTCCGCATTCCTAAGGGTCACTCCCTCTGGGATTCCTTAGTTAATTCTGCTGTCAGCACTACCAGTTGTTCTCCTTCCCTGGCACCTTCCCATGCCAGCGCAGGAGATGTAATACCTGCCCTTTCACCTCCTACCAGACCACTATCCGAGGCCCCAAACACAGGTTCCATGTAAGACAGCGGTTTACATGTACTATCACTAATGTTGTCTACTGTATCTGCTGCTCACGGTGTGGTCTCCTCTATATTGGGGAGACTAAGCGCAGATTGGGTGACCGATTTGCAGAACACCTCCGTTCGGTAGGCAAGGTCAACCCTGATCTTCCGGTCTCCTACCATTTCAATGCACAATCCCATTCACAGTCTGACCTTTCCATCCATGGTCTCCTACGCTGTTCCAGTGATCCACAGTGAAAGCTTGAGGAACAACATCTTATCTATCTGCTAGAGGGACCTTACAGCCCTCTGGCCTCAATGTCGATTTCAGCCACTTCATACTGTAACAGCTCACCTTTCCCTTGCCTCCACCCCCCCCTTCTGTTACCAGAAGAGCTATCTTTTGTTATCACTACAATCATCACCCCAGACACTCTGGTGTGTTGCCTGTTCTGCACCATTAACACTGGGTTCTCCCCAGTTTTGTTTCAACACACACCCGTTTTGTTAAAAAATACCCTTTTGTTTTATGCCATATCACCTCTTTAACCTATCAACTAATACATTCTCTCCTTTGTCTTCTCTCTTTTTTTTGTCTTCTTTGTCATCTTGTCCTGCCTCCCTCTCTCAACTTGTCCTTAAAAACCTCTCCCTCCAACATACCCCAGTTCTGACGAAGGGTCGTGGACCCGAAACATTGACTCACTTTCCTTTCTTCATCGATGCTGCCTGACCTGCTGAGTTTTCCCAGCTCTCTCTGTTTTTGACCCAACATACCTCATCCAGCACCCAATACACCTCAACCAGCACCCAACGCACCTCAATACAGCACCCAACACAGGCCTGGCCAAGTCAGAGCAGACCAGATCACCATCCAAGCTGGGTAAACTGTGACTAAAACAATGTGTAGATTTATACAGTCGTACTGGTCACAAAGCACTGTCCCAGAAGCAAGGTGGGGAGGAGACAAGGCTTTGTGAGAGTCTCAGAGAACAGAGTGACTGTATCCTAGCCACTGAGGATAGAGGGAAGGATGTGGGGAGCGAGCAGCAGATCAGAGAAAGGCAAGGGGAGGATATTAAATAATATTAATAATCCTCGCCTTATCACATCTCAAGGAGTTTCAGAAGATATATTGTAAAGCAGTTTGTCTGTGTATTTTGTTGGTCGACTCCACACCATTTTGTTTAGAATGTATATCCGGAGGAGATTACGGTGCGAGTGATGGTGTGTGTGGATAAGGTGAGGATGGAGAGAAGGTGAGGATGGGGCTGGAGGGGTGAAGGTGATGGTGTGTGGGGGTAAGGTGAGGATGGGGTGATAGTGTGATGGTGTGTGGGGGTAAGGTGAGTATGGGGTGTGGGATGTAGCAGTGCCCTGTGTGACTCCACACTGCCCCATGCTGACCCTGACTGGCAGTGAATACTGTACAGGGAGTGATGCAGCGTACCTTGCGTTTGGCACTCAGTTGCTCATGGTATTGCTCAGAGGAATCTCCTGGGATCTCGCTGGCCCACAGTGTGATCCCCACCTTGGTGTAGGTAATGCCCATCACCGTCAACGGCATCAAGTAAATGAGCACGATGACAGCCAGTTGGTACCTGCAACACACACACGCACACGCATAGCACTCGCATCACTTCATCTGTCTGCAAACACCCTCACGTCACCTCAACTCTCGGACCCTGTCATGACAACAAATTGCATTTATATAGCGCCTTTCACGAAAAGAGGACGTCCCAAGGCACTGGACATTCAAGGGTTGGAGTCGAGGGGTGGGAGGATGACCAAAGACACGGTTGAAGAGCAAGGTCTTGAGAATAATAATATAATTACAATAATTCTTATACATTTGATATGAGATGTGATAAAGCACTGTATCATATGGGTAAGAATTATTATTATAAGATTTAATGTAATAATAATAATAAGCCCGTTTTTAAATAAAATGGTCACTCAATCCACGATTGTTTGTGGGACACTGCTGTGCACAACTGGCATTTTGCCCACAAAATATACAGTCAATTCACTTTACAATATATTCTGTGAAGCGCTTTATGTCTTAAGATATGATAAGGCGTTATATCAAATGCAAGGATTATTATTATAATAATCGCACTCTGCCACATACCAGGGGAAAGTTATCTGTCATTAAATATTGCGGGGTATATAATGGAGTCTCTCTTGACTCCTCCCTACCCGTCCTGTGTTGTGATCAGCCAACTCAGCACAAAATGGGATTGGAAAAGTGAGACTCTTACCATCAATCAGGCTGTCAATCAGGTCACACATGGGACTGAGATTGAGGGCAGATTCAAATATGTTTATGTCACACACATTCCTTTGAGTAATTCAACTCTGCCTCAGAAATGATAGTTGGCTTTCGTTCTGCATTGCTGGCACATGAGATACTGCTGTAACACAGCCCAGATGGAATAAGAATAATAATCATTTGGTATTGTCTTTCATTCATGTCAGGAGGATGTCTCAAAGGAAACACTGTAAAGTGGAGTGATTGTGTATTTTGTAGGTGAATGCAGCAGCCCAATTACACACAGAAGCATCTCACAAACAGCTGTGAAGTGAGTTACCAATTTTATTTGGGTGTTTATTATCTATTGACACCGGGAGAAAAGAATCTCCCTTCTCTTTTTGAATACTGCCTCGAAATCTTCAAGTCCACCTGAAGAAGCAGACGGGGCCTCGGTTTAACGTCTCATCTGAAGGACAGCACCTCTGACAATACAGCGTTCCCCCAGCACCGAACTGGAATGTCAGCCTGGACTACACGAGTTCAAAGCCCTGACGTGGGGCTGAGAACCCACAACCTTCAGACTTTGGTTGACCAACAAAATAATTATGGAAATAACAAAATAGCGTAGATTTATGCCATAAATCCAGAAATATTCAATCAAGGAACGTTTATACTGTTGGCCAACCAAAGATGTTGGCACCACATGAAGATGTCTAATCCCACTCTCCCGCTCACTTCTTTAATATTCCTCCACTTCACATATCTGTCTCAGCCTGGCTCATTTGTAGCACTCTCATCTCTGAGACAGAAGGTTGTGGATTTAAGCCCCACGTCCGAACATTGAGCTCAATGTCCAGTCTGACACTTCAGTGCAATGCTGTGGGGAGCGCTACATTTTTGGAGGTGCTGTCCTTTAGATGAGACGTTAAACTGGGGTCCCGTCTGCCTGTTCGGGTGGATCTCATGGCACTGTTGGAAAAGAAAAAGGTGTCCTAGCCGAACTGACAATCCTCCAGATAAAATGAATCACTCACTTCGTGGCCGTTTGGTGCAAATTGGCTACTATGTTCATCTACAAGGACACAAATGCGACACTTTACAGTAAATCCTGTGAGGCGGTCAAAGCTGTGATAAGTCCTGTAGAGTATTGGTTAGAGTGCTCACAAGTGAGAGGACCCAGGTTCGATTACCGGACGGGGCGAAACCTTAGGCAAGCTTCCTTACTCCACACGCCTCTGTTTACCTAGGAGTAAGTAGCAACCCAGTTGTTAGTTGATTGGCGGATCGTTTTCTGGGGGTAATACTCCCTCCAAAAATAAATAAATAAATAAATAATAATAATTTGGTCACTCAATCTACGACTGTTTGTGTTTGACACTGTTGTGCGCAATTTGCTGCCACGTTTTGACCGCAAAATATTCTTTACAGTATATTCTGTGAAGGGCTTTGAGACATCTCAATGACCAGATAAGGCGCTATATCAAACGCAAGGATTATTATTATTATTAAGGCCCTGTATAGAATGTGAGCTTATCATTATAAACTGTTGAACGTGAATGACAATTTCTTACGTGAGTTGGTGCTGACCGCCAATGTCTCCGGGCCAGTTCACGATACAGATTGTCCTGGTGTCCCGGTGTTCAACGTGAGCATAAAAACACTGGGGGAAAGCGAGTGCCAAAGCCAGGAGCCAGATGACCCCAATCATTATCTTGGTGGCACCCGAGGACAGCCGAGGCTTCAAGGGGTGAATTATAGCAATGTACCTGTACAGCAAGAACAGCGGAAATGTTTACACTACAGACAGGAGAGTCCAGCAATATACAATAATAATACTTGCATTTGATATAGCGCCTTACCGTGTCAGGTTGATGTCTCAAAGCACTTCACAGGCTTTACTGTGAAGTGTAGTAACTGTGTGTTTGAAGGCAAACGTGGCAGCACAATTGCACACAGCGTTGTCCCACAAATAGCCATAGAGGGAGTGAACAGGTTTCTTTTTGTTTGGAGGATTGTTGGTCAAGATACCGGGAGAGAGAAACTCCCCTTTTTGAATAGCGCCATTATTATTATTATAAGGCAGAATCTGGATTTTTTTAAGAGAAAATCTAGAATGGTGTTTTGGGGTCGTGGGAAAGCATCCTGAGAAAGGAACCTGCTTTAATGCAGGTTGTTGTTTTTGTACAGTATATATATTATAAGTCACGTGAGGTGATTTAAAAAGTCCTTCCAACGTGAAAGACGCTGTATTAAATGTAAGGATTACTATTATTTTCATTTTCCCACCACACGCAGAGGGGTTCAGTAACAGAATGTTCCTCTGAAAGCCGGGACGCAGGCAGCAATCTGTTTATTATTAAAAAACCTGGGACATTTACCATCTCTCTCCAGAACTTTGAGAACAATTGTTACAGACCAGGGATTTCAGGACAATGTGTTTCTTGTAGAGAAACTACAAACCGCAGCTTCTAATAGAGGTGTCAGCCAGGCTCAGTCAGGGACACTCTCGCCTCTGGGTCAGAAGGTTGTGGGTTCAAGCCCCGCATCAGGGACTTTGAGCTCACAGTCTAGGCTGAGACTCCAGTGCAGTGCTAAGAGAGTGTTGCGTTGTCATGGGGGCTGTCCTTTGGACCAAGGACCCATTTGTGCCCTGTTCAGGTGGACATTAAAGATCCCACGGCAATATTGGAAAAGAGAAGTTAGTTTCTCTCTCCGGGTGTCCTGGCCAACAATCTCCCAAGTAAATTGCTCACTCGCTCCATGGCTGTCTGTGGGACACTGCTGTGTGCAAATTGGCTGCTGTCTTCGCCTACCGTCACTACATTTTACAGTGAATCCTGTGAAGCGCTTGGAGATGAGTTGACAATGTGATAAGGCACAATATAAACATTTTGGGATTAATAGTATTATTATGTCAAAGTCAGGGGCTGTGAATATAAACCCACAACCTCCATATATATACATATTATATATATGTATATATAAACAAAATAAGTGGACAGAGAATAAATAAGCTAGTAAACAGACTCCCATTTCCATTATTCTTCGTCAAAGAAACGACTGAACACAGTTTGATCGATGGGAAATATTAATGTAAGAATATGCAGGAAAGTGAAAGATCAGTGCTGTCCGTTCGGCTGACCCAAACTCGCTATTGCTGCACTCCTCAGCCTCCCACAGGCTCACACAGCAAATTGGCTCTTTAATTTTACGGTCTGCCTCTATCTCTAGCCTGCCTCCTGCACATGCCACACTCCGTTCTCTCTCTGTGGAAACTCACTCGGTCTGTACTGTCCTTCCCTTTCCTGACCAGCAGCCCCTTCCTGTGGAGTTAGTAACCGTGTGAAATATTGAGTAAAACTCGCATAAGTCTTAGCTTTATAAATCGTATAAACACCTAAGTCATATGTTCACCCGAGTCCCATTCAGTTTCCTATGGAAACCACTTAGATTTCTTTACACTACTCATTTTAATCATCTCTAAACTCGTAACGCTGTTCCTCTACCCTCCATTACTCCTGCATTTACCGGCTGCATTGAATTGCGGGAAACATAGTCTTGATCCGTTGCTGTGATAAAGCGCTATATCAAACTATTATTATTATAGTATTACCTGTCCACAGCGATGGCGGTCATTGAGTAAATGCTGGCGAAGATGGCAGTGATGGGGAAGAAGTTGTGAAAGCGGCAGTATTCCAGCCCAAAGTACCAGTCGTTGTGGGTGGCATAGAGGAAGTTAAAGACGGTATTGAAGGCGCCCATGGAAGCGTCTGCGAACGCCAGGTTCACCAGGAAGTAGTTGGTGACGGTGCGCATCCTGCGGTGAGCTAGGATGATCCAGATAACGGTCAGGTTACCAATGACGGCGGTGACCACGATCAGGGCGTACGCCACCGTCCACACCGCCACCTGCCAGGTCGGCTGAGCATACACGTTCTCCAGCGTGCTGTTCACCTCCGGCCCCAGCACAGGCACCAGCTCCGACCCCGGCAACACAGCCGGCTCCACCGTCACACTCATCACACAGACAGGGACAGAGACAGGCAAAGGGGTCTCACTGCATCCTTCAGGCAAGATGCCGACTGTGCGTGTCACAGAGATAGGGAGAGAGTTACAGAGAGAGAGTCAGAGACAGTCAAACAGAGGAGAGAGAGAGAGAGACAAACAGTCACAGAGAGATAGGGAGAGAGAGATGGGCTGGATGGAGCTCAGCGTCATGTGGAGGGAGGAGGAGAAAGAGAGAGAAAGAGAGGGGGGAGCAGAGGGGGAGAAAGGGGGAAGCAGAGAGAGAGATGCAAAGTGAGTGGATCACTTGTAACTGTGGAATCAGATGAATGAGCAAGTGAATTTAAACTGGTACTTGTGTCTGTGTGAGAGAGAGTGGGGAAGGTAGAGGGTGCGGGAGTTTGACAGAGAGGGGATGTGACTGTCCTGACAACAACCACTTGACTGGAGCGACCGCTGGTTTCCAATCCCACCTCCCACCGATCTGGGAAATGAGTTCTGTTAAACCCATCTGCCTATCGCTGGCAAATAGATTTTTAAATCACCACAACAACACTCTGCCTCCTGGCAGTCCTGGTTCATTCAAGTCAATATTAGCATTACAGGCAGTAAAACTCAAAAAGAGAAGGGTGTTTCTCTCTCTTGGGTCCTGGCCGACATTCCCCCAAATAAAATTGGTCACTTGCTTTACACCTGTTCATGGGATGTTGCTGTGCGCCAGGTTCGCCTACAAAACTTACTACACTTTTCAGCAAAATCCTTTGAGATGCCTCGAAGACCTGATAAGGTATTGTATCAAATGCAAGGATTATTATTACTGTAACAAAGACTTGCATAGCACTCGTCGCATAGCAACTTTTCAGAGCACTGCACAGGGATTTTATGCAAGGGAGGAGGGGGAGAAGGGGAAGATGGCTGCAACTGTGATCAAAGAGGTAGATTTTAGGTGTGATTTAATAATAATCCTTGCATTTGATACGATAAAGAGCAGTGACTATTTTGTGAGTGAAATGCAGCAGCTAGTTTGCACATACCAATGTCCCACAAACACTCATGGAGTGAGTGACCAATGTTATTGGGACTATTGTTGGTCAGGACACCGGGACAGAGAAGCTTCCTTCTCTTTTCAAGTAGTGCCACAAGATCTTTCAAGTCCACATGAACAAGTATACAGGACCTTGGTTTAACATTTCATCTGAAGGATGGCACCTCCGTCAATGCAACATTCCCTTCAGCATTGCATTCCAGTGTCAGCTTGGACGATGTGATTCCAAGTCCCGACGTGTGGCTTGAATCCACAACCTTCTGATTCAGAGGAGAGAGTGGTACAACTGCGCCAGGATGACAAATTTAAGGACAGTTTAGAGAGAGGAGAGATGGAGGTTAGAGAGAGGGAGCTCCAGTGGTCAGGGGTGTAGCAGCTAAAGCTTGGTTACTGATGGTGGAGCAGAGGACATGAGGGCACACAGGAAGCTTGAGTTAGCCAAGCGGAGGAGCGGGGCAGGAGGTCACAGAGATAGGGAGGCACTAGGGTTTTATAGTTCAGAGTGAGGATTTTACATGAGGAGCCAGTGGAGCTAGGCGAGGACTGGGGTGATGTGCATTGGGAGTTTGGTGCGCGTGAGGAGGTTTTGTTGGCAAATGTGGGAACCAAGTTCCATACAACAAGAAGCCATAAAGTGAATGACCAAAGTAATTGTGGGATTGTTGACCAGGACACCGGGAGGGAGGAACATCTCTCTCTTTTGTGACAGTCTCGTGGGAGATCTTTAATGCCTTCCTGAACAGGCAGCCGGGACCTCGATTTAAGGGCAACACTTCTGACAATGAACTGCTCTCAAGAGTCCGTCTGCAATGTGGATTGAATTTACAACCATTTGACTCAGAGGCAAGAGACACTTCGTTGGGTACAGATCAGACATTCCTTGAAATATGTGCGTGTGCACTGACTTGAAAGTGGAATGTAGCTTTTATCAAAAATAGGATATGTTGCAAGCTGTGTCTGGTTTCCCAGTGAACTATCACAAAACACATTGAAACTGTAGTTCACATGCACAAATACAGATTGATAAGATACTCAGCAAATACCTAAAGGCGCAGCCCCTGTCCACCCCCACAATCGGAGTTTCATTTGCGGCAAAATGACTCTCAAAAAAATGAATGCAGCCAGTCTCCAAATCAAACCGCTAAGAGTTTGGTGAGTGCCAAGGCTTGAGACGTTGGGGTAACTGTAAGTGGTGGTGTGTCTGCCCAGCGCCTTGGGACGTCCTCCCAACGTGAAAGGCTCTTTACAAATGTAATTTTTTTGCTGTTGTCGTTGTGTGGATGGTGACGTACGCCCTGATCGTGGTCTAACCAGCTAAAGCTACGTAGCTTGCCACTGGCGAGAACCACCCTGCCCATCAGGGCTTTGGCTTTCAGAGTTAACCGGAGCTGAGTGGGATGATTGATTCCATGCCCCCAGTAACTGGTCTGCCTTTCCAAGTATTCTTATTATCATTATTATTATTGGAAAAAAAGAAGGGAGTCTCTCTCTCGCCGTGTCCTGGCCAACAATCCCCCAGATAAAACACGTCACGGCTGTTTGTGGGACGTCGCTGCTCGCAAACGGGCAGTTACTTTTAACCCACGAAGACGCAGTCAACGCACGTCTTGTGGGTAAAATCCCACGAAGCGCTTCGGGACGTCCTCCCGACCCGAAAGGCGCTCAATAAATTAAATCTTGTTGTTGTTGTTGTTGTTGTACCAAATGTCAGGATTTTTTTTATATAAAAAAAAGAGAGCTCTGGGGCGCTATCCTGGCGTGAGGGGCGCTATACGAATGCAAGTTCGTATTATTATTATTATTATTGTTATTGTTATATGAAGGACACGTCCAGTCGAAAGTCCCTTTAAAAAGCTGCTGCAGCCGCAGCTGTCGGCCGAGGGGGGGCGCTCCTTCCGGTCGGGCACCAGCCCGGAGGCGGGCGGCTCGGCGCCCAAGCGCCGCCGCGCCCATTGGGCGGGACGGGCGTCAGTCAGCGCGGCTCGCGCTGCGATTGGCCGGCGGCGGGGCGGAGCCGGAAGCGGGTTTGAATGCGGCGCGAGGCGCGGCGGTTGGCCGGGGGCTCGCGATGGCGAAACGGGAGGCCCGCGAGGCGCCGACCTGCCACCGCTTCTCCTACCTCTGCCTCAAGTTCACCCTCGTCACCTACTCCACCTGCTTCTGGGTAAGTATTGGCCACCCCCGGGGGGTTGTGTGTCTCTCTTGGTGGCCCCACCCCAGGGGTGTTGTGTTCTGTTGTGTCACTTGGTGTTGTCTCTCTTGGTATCGACCACACCCCGAGGGTGTTGGGTCTCATGGTTATATAGGTGGGTGGGGGGTGGGGGGGGCTTTGGATGGAGAGGGGGTGTGTGGGTGGGGGGGGGGGGGTCATTATTTTCCATGGCAGCAGGTGTATGGCTATGATGACCAGAGAGTCCTGCAGCTCAGCCAGTGACCTGGGTCTGATTCCCGGGCAGGGGTTGGGTGGTGATGGTGGTGGTGGTGGGGGGGGGGCGGCCAAACCTTGGGCAAGAGTTTCCTCGCTCCGCGCGCCCGATGGTAACCCCCCCCCCCCCCCGGAGCGAAAGAAAAACATAGCACGAAATAAAATCGGTCGCTTCAATCCACGGCTGTTTGCGGGTCGCCGCGGCCGCGGGCAGTCGACCGCCGCCTCTCGCCCTCGGACGTGCAGCTTTGCGGTGTTATCCCGCGAAGCGCCTTTGGTGAGACGTTCCGGAAGACGCGAAAAGACATCTATCGGATGCGAGGCTTATTATTTATCTATTATTCTAGAGAAGCTACGTCCAAAAAGTCGTGATACCCTTGCAATGTCCAGTTCAATAAGTCGTAAAGAAATGATGATATTTTTGACGTTTTTCTGAAGACAATAGGGTAGTTAAGACAACTTTTTGGGCACCCTGTATTTGCCTACAAAAAACGATAACTACATCCCGTCCCGCCGATGAGACGTTGAACTGAGGTACCGTCTGTCTGCCTGTCCACATGGATTTCAAAGATCCCACGGCGTTATTCGAAAAGAGAAGAGAGTGTCTCTCTCCCGGCGTCCTGGCTGGCAATCCGCCGAATAAAATCAGTCACTCACTCCGTCGCTGTTTGTGAGACATTGCTGTGCAAAACTTGGCTGCTGCATTCACTCCCAAAATACCCAGTCGCTACAGTTAACAGTATATCCTGAGAAGCGATTTGAGGCGTCTCCAACGATGTGAAAAGGCGCTAGATCAAATACAAGTGTTATTACTATTATTTGACAGGAACTCCTGTGAAGCCCTTTGTGATGTTTTGATGATATAAGGTGCAATAGCAAATACAAGAATTATTATTATTCCGTTGGTCCACTGTGTGGCAGAAACCTGGCGATTGTGTAGACCTGGGATCGCCGTGCCACCATTCTTTGGTGTAAAACCCCTGTGAAGTCGATTCTGCTCAGTCTAGGTAGGGAGCGGGTTTGGTAACTTAAATGGTCTTTTCTCGTTCCATGCTTTCCTGTGTTAATGTTGGATCATGTTCCTTGAGAGACAATAAGGACAAAGCCAGCCCTTGTGTCAGCCTGGCTCAGTTGGTAGCACTCTGACCTCTTGAGTCCAAAGGTTGTGGGTTCAATTCCCAATGTAGACGTTAAGCTTAGGGTCCCATCTATTACAGGTAAGCATTAAGATCACGTGTCCCTGCTCAAAAAAAAGAAAGGGTTTTTTGGTTCCTGGCCAACAATCCCTCAGATAAAACTGGTCATTGATTTAATGGCTGTTTTAGGGTGTTGCTGTGTGTAAATTGGTTGCTGGATTTTCCTACAAATACAATCACAACACTTTACTGACTCTTGTAAAGCAATTTGAGACATCCTTCTGACGTGAAAGGCACTATATCAAATCCAAGGATTATTATTATATTCAAAGTAACAATTTGTATGCTGTCCGACTTGTGATAACTTTCTGATAACTCAACCAGGAACAGGAGCTGCTTTCATGGCAATTAGCAATTAGCAAATTCATGTAACAAACATCCCTGCGAAAAAAATGTTTTGTTATGGAATGTTACAATGGTGGGTATTTACTCACACATTGAGTTACACTTGAAGATTTGCTTCATTAATAATAAGAAGAATCCTTGTATTTGATATAGCGCTTTATCACATTGTTGCGATGTCTCAAAAGCACAGAATATATTGTAAAGTAGATTGACTATGTATTTTGTGGGCAAAATGCAGCAGACAAACAGTCGTGGATTGAATGACCATTTTTTTTTGAGAGATTATTGCTGGAAAGAGATACGCCAATTTGCTAACAACTGGGTTCCGACTTACTACTAGGTATACAGGTGTGTGCAATAAGAAAACTAGCCTAAAATTTCGCCCTGGCAAGGAATCAAACCCAGGTCCTTTCACTTACGATTGTGCTAATTGCTATGTTACTGGACTCCATGATAAGCATTTAATAAGCAGTATAATATCCTTCTTGAGCTTTTGATTCAAATTTTGTAATGGATTTAGGACAAGCAGGCTAGGGAGTTGTGGATACTCAAATGAATAGTTGTTCATTCGTCCCTTAGAAACATAAATAGCTGCTAGTGTAGAGCTTTTGGCTACTATGTCAAAATCTGTTGATTTTCCTCCTTACTTGAATACCCTCTTAACTCTTTATTCTTTGACCGTACCTTTGGTCAACATATTTAAATTCTGCTCCTTCTCAGTGATCTCCATCTCCTCTGAAGCACTTGAAGATTTCATCCAACATGAAAGCATTGTACAGTTATTCTAACAAGGTGGTTTGGATCTATTGGATCAGATTCTACATTATAATGGGCTGCGTTATAGTCAGCTTCTGCCAATCACATTGCATACTTACATGCACACAGCTCACAGAAAGTCAGCCAGTCAGCGGTGACTGCGCTCACATGCATTTCCAGCAATTGCACGACACGTGTGACACTAGGAGGTCTGTGTGTTTTGCATAGGAAGCCAACCAGTCAACACTGCAAACTGGAGGTTTACCACACTTCCGGGATACTGTGGTTTGGCAGTGAACTTGTGGTCTACATGGAGCTGTGGCTTTCATATAGAGCTTCATAGGTAGTTTGCTTGATATAGATCAGTGGTTTTAGTTCTGGGAACTGGAATTCCCTTCCCTTCCCTGTAATAAATAAGGTGCATAACAGCCATTAAATGAGCTTGTAAACAGATAGTAAGAGACAGAGTTTGGGTGTTTCCTTTGTTCCTTAGCCTTGTCGCAGTGTTGCATAGTTTTCATGCAGTTACTTCCAGCAAATGTTATGCTGCCCTGGAGTCCTGTAGCTTAGTGGTCAGAGGACTCACCTCACAAGCGAGAGGACCTGGGTTTGATTGCCAGCAGGGTAAAACGTTGGGCAAGTTTCCTTGCTCCACACTTCTCTGTTCACCTAGCAGTAAGTAGGAACCCAGTTGTAAGTCAGTTGCCCGATCGCTTTTCTGGAGGTAATAATTCCTTCAAAAAAAGTAATAAGTTGGTCACTTCAATCCACGACTGTTTCTAGGCTACTGCTGTGCGCAATTGGCTATCGAGTTTTGCCCACAAAATATACAGACAATTCACTTTATAGTGAATAGTGAAGCGCTTTGAGATATCTCAAAGATGTGATAAGGCGCTATATCAAATGCAAAGATTATTATTATTATCATCACTGCATTGTTCAAAGGAGGGGCAAGTGGCTGTAACATGGTTAAAGAAATAGGTTTCAGGTGGGATTTAATAATAGTGATAATCCTTGCATTTGATACAGCGCCTTATCATTTGTTAACAGTCTCAAAGCGCTTTGCAGGATATACTATGAAGTGGATGGTCTGCATTTTGTAGGAGAACCACGACAATCAGTTTGTGCACAGCAGTGTCCCACAAACAACAATGGAGTGAGTTGGCCAGTTTTATCTGTGGGATTGTTGGCTAAGATATCGGGTGAGAGAAACTCCCTCTTGTTTTTCAATAGTGCCATTTATTGATGTAAATGACCTAACAGGCGAAGCAATGAACAACTCTCACTTGGCATCAATTTGGATAACTGTCCCAGCAAAAAGTTAGGGCCTAAGTACCTTTTCTAAGGGATTAATGAAGTGCCTAAGGATTTCTTGACCTCAAAATATGACTCAGGAAGGACCGCGAGGTGAGTGCTCTAACCACTAAGCTACAGGCAGCATAACTGGAATTAATTGCATGAAATCTATGTAACACGATAGCGAGGATAATGAATACAGGAAATACCCAAACTCTGACACTTACTATCTGTTTACAAGCTCATTTAAAAATGTCTGGAACTGAGTGGGTGAGCTCCAGCAAAGATACGAACAATTGAACTCTGGAGGAGGCAGCTGGAAGCTAATGCTCTCCCGTAACAACAGGGTAAATCCCCTCATCCCTCCAGTTTAAGTGCCTAGTCAGCTGTGTAAAGCGCTTTGAGATGTTTCCCCGGCCTGAATGGTGCAATATATAGTAAATATAAATAGTTTTTCCATCATTGTTTACATTAGGACATTCCTTGTTTAATAACGCCTTGTTTTTAACAAAATCTCTGAACCTCTCCCATTTTGTTTCGATATGATCTTATTTTTATTAGCCTTCTAGTTACTAACTCACTAATCAGGAGAAATTATTTTTCACTATTTGCCTGAAAGAAACCTTCCATAGAATACCTCTGATCAAGTCTCCATTCAACCTTTGCTCTCGTGAAAAGAGATCATGTGTTTCTAGTGTCTCAGATTGTGTCAGTTCTATGGTTCTATGAGGATAGATCTCCTAATCTGAAATCAAAATACTTATAATGAAGTGCAGCTTTGTATTAGGGAAAAAAGTAGTGAATCCAGTCTTATTGACTTAATTAAAAAATATACTTCTGACTCAGTAGCGTATGATTGATGCCTCCATTACTAGAGTAACAACATGCATGTTGAATATGCCTCCGCCCACTGCAAACTTTATTACTGTGGATAAAAATCACTAAAGCAAAGGTGGAGTCTTGTAGCAAATTGATTAGAGCATTCACCTCGCAAGGCGAAACCTTAGGCAAGTTTCCTTACTGTTTATTTAGCAGTAAATAGGAACCTGGTTGTTAGTCAATTGGCGGATCGGTTTCCTTCAAAACACAATAATAATAATAATCACTCAATTCACAGCTGTTTGTGGAACACTGCTGTGCGCATTT